TGGGCCCACCACTGCAGCAAGCCTTGTAACAAGTATAACTGGCTGCATTTTTGTTCAGCAAACCATGTAATAAAAATACAATCGGTTGCCTTTCAAACAGATACCTATTAAAGTAGCAGACCCATTTTGAGAGTAAACTTCCAGTGGTACCAAAAGGTTAAGTACAATAGGAATCTGACCCGCTGGAGGATTGGAACTTTCCTTTTTATGTGCTCTTTTAAAATGAATACATTTTCAGCTCACCACCAACTGATTGTTCTTGATTTCCTCATTGTCTGGATGACAATGCAGCCCTCTTACATGGCTACATACCAGTGAGCAAGCGAGACCTGCAACACGAATATGGCTTTCTTTCCCCCTTGGCATAATAGGGTTATGCATTCAACAGGGTTTCTGAAGTAATAAGGACTGGAAGGAAAGCATGGGTTTCTTTATGCGCAGTTCATTTTCATCTCTGCTCATTGTATCTTTGCAGGACAGGGTGCCCTGAAGATCCTTTTAAAATTTCTCTTACTGTGACCTTCTGCAGTTTCTTTGAGCTCTTCTGTAAAACGAATTGTATGATAACTCAAGAAAGATGGCCTCAGGCCCTCCACACACAATTCGCTTCAACAAGAGCTGTTTCTCTTCCAGTGTCCCTTGTATACAGAAAAACTCCTGAAGCTGAACTTTGCTTAGAGGCTTGTATGCTGCAAGCAGTAAGGTGGACAAATATGGTGTACTTGCAGATGTAGCCAGACTGGTTTAGGGACCCCAGTTTACTACAAGCTTTGGTTCTTCCCAGTGGAGAGTTTACCCTGATGTATAGTACCCATGGGACGACTGATGTTGGGATCTCCGGAGCAAAGGTGCTGGGCAATACCAGCTGTTCGTGTGCGTATAAATCAGAAGCACACTCTAATGGGAGTGCCAACAGAAGCTTTTCTCTTTATTTTCTTAATGGCCAGTTTAAATTGAGGTTTCATGTGCTGTACTTTTGAGAGGACAGTGGTCTCTTTGAAAGGCTGTCTACTGCAAGTGTGGTTTAAAGATAGAGAAACAATGAAAGGAACAACCTGGGTTTGAAGTTGCCCATCAGTATTTGGCACTTAGAAAACAAACTGAGCGGGCACTCTGGTCACCATCTTCCCTGCTAGATGAAATATACCGTGTTTCTATTTTTATTATTGTAATTTATTCTAAATTTCTGTATATAAACTAGCACGTGCAAATAGTGCATACATCTGTGTTCTCTTCTGTCCTGTCTTTTAGCAAGACAACCCTATCGAATCCACTTTTTAAAAAGCATGTTTCTCTTAAAGTGTACTTTGGCCCTGTCTCATTATCTGACACCACTACCACCACGCTGGTCTAAAAAGGATAAAAAAGAAACTAATGGGAAATCAACAGCGGAAACATCTGCCCCTGGCCCTTGTCCCTCCTAAAACTGAGATTGAGAAATTATGTCTATGTCATAGGCTGGGCTCAGATTAGGGGTGGCTGTACAACAAAGCTGGACCTGGAGGGTGAGTTCAGCAGCCCAAACTCCTTGCGATTGGTTGCTGGGGCTTGAAGTGAAGTAGGCATTTGCTGTTAGTTAGCAAAAGCAGGAATTCAGGCTTGTGGTATTTATACTGGGATTACCTCCAGAGCCTTCATCTTGTCTGCCAGTTACAAACTCTGAGGTTTGCGCTTGTGTGATCCTATGTAGTTTATTAGTCTTGATCTCAGCCTCTGGGAGCAGTGGGACTCTACTTAACACCTGAAAAACCTTGACACCCACAGAAATGTGTAGCCATCTCTGCACCTGTTCATGAAAACACTTCAGATTTCTTTCTTGTCAAGCAGAAAGGGCAAAACGGGGTCCAGTTTGCTTTGCCAAGGCAAGCTAATGAAGGAGGAGGGACTCATGACAGTTAGAGGCAGTGCCATCCAGCTGGAGTTCCCATAGCTACTTCCCATATCATCTTTACACTCTGCCATAGAAGTCATGCTAAGTTCCATGAGAGATGGCATTATAACTCCTATCATTCTGAGCCAACACAGCACTGGCACATCTAGGTAGAGATTTATTATTTCCTTTTAGGTTTTGAGCAAGCAGCATTAGCAAATTTGGTACCCATGAATAAGGGTTTCCATGTTGACTGGGTATGGATGATGGCCAGTGTTTGCAGCACTGTATTGCCCCAGAATCCACCAGAAGCTTCAACCCACCCCAAATCTGTTCTTCTTGTTAGGTGCCATAAAATTTTGTCTCTGACTTATGGTAACTTCATGAATGAAAGCCCTCTAAAATGACCTGTCCATGCCAGCCCCACTCAGCTCTTCTAAGCTCAAGAGGGTGGCTTCCTTTATGGAGCCAGTCCATCTCATATTTGGTCTTCCTTTTCTTCTTCTGACTTTCTGCAGTATGACTCCAGGGAGTCTTGTGTTTTCATGATGTGTCCCAAGTATGACAGCCTTAGTTTTGTAATTTTGGTTTTCTAGGAAAAGCTCTAGAAGCTTGATTTGTTTTATGACTCACTTGTTTGGCTTTCTGTCCATCAAGGGTATTTGCAAAGCTCTCCTCCAGCACCATGTTTCAAACACATCAGTTCTTTTCCTGCCAGTTTTCTTCACTGTCCAGCTTTCATATCCATATGTTGTGATTGAGAATACAATAGTATGGAAGAGCCCGCTCTTCCCCTTGGTATACACCTGAATTGTGGGCGATGAAGCAGGTTGGGAGACGGCTAGAGCATAGGTGGAGGAGATCACGGGATGAATCTGACCGAACACACTTGAGAGCCCACTATCGGGCCTATGCTGTGGCGGTGAGGGCGACAAAAAATAGGTTTTTTCCCGCTTCCATTGCCTCCTCACAATGCCGTCCGGCTGAGCTTTTTCGAGTGGTGCAAGGCCTGGTTCGTCTGGGTCCTAAGGAAGATCAGGTTCCACCCTCAAAGGCCCGCTGTGACAACTTTGCCAGGCATTTCAGGGAGAAAATTGCTCAGATTCGTCACGAGCTGGACTCCACTAGTGAATCAGAGGTTTCTGGGGAGACGCCAATGCTGCCGTCTGGTCCAGAATTATTGGATGAATTTCAGTTATTGCGGCCCGATGATGTGGACAAGGTGCTTGGACGAGTATGTCGCACCACTTGCCTATTGGACCCTTGCCCGTCTTGGTTAATAAATAATTCCAAGCACGGGATTGGGATCTGGATCTTGGAAGTGGTTAACGCTTCTCTGAGGGAGGGTCGGGTGCCTGCCCCTTTAAAGGAGGCAGTAGTCCGACCGGTCCTGAAGAAAGCGTCACTGGATCCAGAGATGGCCACTAACTATAGACCAGTGGCCAACATCCCGTTTCTGGGCAAGGTGTTGGAGCAGGTGGTGGCGGGACAACTCCAAGCACTCTTGGATGAAACTGATTATCTAGACCCATTTCAGTCCGGCTTCAGACCCGGGTATGGTACTGAATCTGCCTTGGTCGCCCTGTACGATGACCTGTGCAGGGAGAAGGACAGGGGGAGTGCGTCCCTGTTGGTTCTCCTGGACCTCTTGGCGGCTTTCGATACCATCAACCATGGTATCCTTCTGGATAGGCTAGCGGGATTGGGGGTCAGAGGCACTGCTTTGCAGTGGTTCCACTCCTATCTCAATGGTCAATTCCAGAAGGTGGTGCTGGCGGACTATGGCTCTGCACCATGGCAGCTATGCCATGGAGTACCGCAGGGATCCATTTTGTCCCCTTTGCTGTTTAACATCTACATGAAACCGCTGGGAGAGGTCATCAGGAGGCGTGGGCTGCGGAATCATCAGTACGCTGATGATACCCAGCTCTACCTCTCGTTTTCCACCAATCCAGGTGAGGCAGTGGCTGTGCTGAACCGGTGCCTGGCCGAGGTAATGGGCTGGATGAGGGCCAATAAACTGAAGCTCAATCCAGACAAGACGGAGGTCCTGTTGGTTGGTGGTTCGGGCTTCGGAGAGGGGGGACTTAACCTAGTCCTGAATGGGGTTGCACTCCCTCTTAGGGACAAGGTCCACAGCTTGGGAGTGCTACTCGACCTGGAGCTTTCATTGGAAGCTCAGGTGACAGCGGTGGCGAGGAGCGCTTTCCTTCAGCTTCGGCTGATTCATCAGCTGCTCCCCTACCTGGACTTCAACTGCCTGGCGACAGTGACACACGCGCTGGTGACTTCCCGTCTGGACTTCTGTAACGCGCTTTACGTGGGGCTTCCCTTGACGACGGTCCGGATACTTCAATTGGTATTGAAGAGCTGCCAGGCTGCTGACAGGGACTGGGCGTTATGTTCACATGACTCCAGTCCTCCGTCAGCTTCACTGGCTTCCCATTGAAGTGCGGGCCCAATTCAAGGTGTTGGTGATGACCTATAAAGCCCTAAATGGCTTGGGTCCTGGTTACCTGAAGGAGCGCTTACATCCATATAAGCCCGGCCGCCCCTTGAGATCTGTGGGAGAGGCCCTTCTCCGGGAACCCTCCGTGAAAGAAATTAGGAGGGTAGGTACTCGGAGGAGGGCTTCCTCAGAGGTGGTGCCCAATCTATGGAATGCGCTCCCCAGAGAGGTCCACCTGGCGCTGTTGTTATTTGTTTTTCGGCGCCAGGCGAAGACCTTTTTATTTAAGTGTCATTTTAATTGTTAACAGCATTTGCTTATTTATCTGGCCAGGGTGACTTCTTTTATATTGTTATTTATTTTATATTGTTAGTTTTATATTGTTATTTTGTATTATATTATATTGTGAGCTGCCCCGAGGCTTCAGCGAATGGGGCGGCATAGAAATGTTTTAATAAATAAATAAATAAATAAATAAATAAATAAATAAATAAATAAATAAAATGATCTTGGCCTTGGTCTCCAGTGAAATGTAAACCACCCAGAGATCTCTTTGGGCTAGTGGGGTGGTAGATAAATGCAATAATTAAATAATACCCTTACATCTGATGATCTTTTCCAGTTCCTTCATAGCTGCCCTTCCAAGTCTCAGTCTTCTCTGAATTTCATGGCTGCAGTCTCCCTTTGAATTGATGACTGAGCTGAGGTATGGAAAAAAATTCACAATTTTGATTTTTTAATTGTTAAAAATAAAGTTCTGTAATTCTTCTGTAGTTATGTGGGGTTTTTTTTTTGAGCGGGGGACTTTCTTAATCTTTAGCTGCAGTCCTGTTTTTGTATTTTCTTCTTTCACGTTTCAGGAGTCATTTCATTGCCACTTTCTGCCAGTAGTATGATATCATTTACCTATCTTAAATTACTACGTGTCTTCTGCCAATTTTCACTCCTTCCTCTGATTCCAATGCAGCTTTCCTTATGATCTGTGCTGCTTACAGATTGAACACACAGGGAGATAGGCATTACACCTTTGCCTATGGGAAACCATTCTACTCATCGGGTACTGAGGCACACCCATTTCTTCCAGGGCCATCCATAGCTTCTTGTGATCCATGCAAAGGCTTTGCTGTAATCTATAAAGGACAGTCTGATCTTTTTCTGAAATTCTTTGGTGCTCCAGGAGCCAACATTTATTTGTATATTTATAATACGATCTCTAGTGCCTCTTCCTTTTTGAAATCCAGACATTCCTCACTCCATATCCCCCATAGTTTTCAACATCTACATGAAACTTCTGGAAGAGGTCATCCAGAGGTATGGGCTGAGATGTCATCAATACGCAGATGACACTTAGCTCTACCTCTCTTTTTCATCAGACCATTCTGAAAAGTGACCATTTTAAATCAGTGCCTGAGTTTGGTAATGGATTGAATGAGGGCCAACAAACTGAGACTCAGTCCAGACAGGACTGAGAAGGATCATCTGTCCAACAGGAAGACGCTCAACTTGTCCTGGACAGAGTTGCATCCCCACTATAGGACAAGGTCATAGTTTGAGGGTGATACTGAACCCAGAAGTATCACTGGAGTCTCAAGCAGTCTTGGTGAATCAGCTGTAGCTGATAAAAGCTGCTCCTAGCCACCAAGTGCAGACTTATCTGAACAGGCAGAGCCTGGCCACAGTTATCCATGCTCTGGAAACCCCTCATCTGGACTATTGTAACCTTCTCTACATGGGGCTGCCTTTGAAAACTGTCCAGCAACTGCAACTGATTCAAAGCAGGACCTGCCTGTTAACGAGGACTGGTTGTATTGTGCCAGTCCTCTGTCAGCTACATAGAAAGAAATTATTATTTGGCATTCTTCCCAAATAATGTCTTGGTTTCAGTCCACAGTTCTACTGTCTCATGGTCAATTAAGTTGAGTAATGCAAATCTGTACTTCATGCATACTTTAAGTTTCTTGGGGTTGTTATTGTTGAAGTTGTATCTTGGCGCTATATTTCTCTTGGTGATCTTTTTCAGCTTCATTTGGATTTTAGATAACAAGAATTCACAGTCACTTCTGCAATCTGCTCCTGGCCTTGTCTTGGCAGTGCTAATACAGATTCTTCATCTTCTGTATCCAATTACATAGTTGATTTGATTTCTGTATTGGCCATTTGGTGATGGCCATGTATATAGTCTTCTGGGGGGTTGCTTGAAATATCTATTTGACAGTCATCTTCACAGATTCTATGAGTCATTCTCTGGCCAAATCACCCAATAACATTTGATTCTGTTTTGTTTCTTGCTTTTGCATTCCAGTCACCAAACATTAGCAGCAAGTCTTTTGGTGTGTTATCAATTTCCTTTTGGATGCTTGCATAAAAGTTTTTAGTTCTCCCTCTGTTGTTGGAGCATAGACTTGAATGATTATAGGTTTTCAATACATTCTGATACATATTATTCAACTGGATTTTGTGTTTTAGCCCCTGTGCTACATCTTGCCTCAGTATGAGAGCTACTCCATTCCTTCTGAGTTTTTAATTTCTGTAGTAAAATACTTTGTGTTTGACTAAAAATGTTCCATTCCAGTCCACTTTAGTTCTTTCACACCAAATACTGTAAATTTTAACTGTTCCATTTCCTGCTTTATGGTTTCCAGTTTGTCTTGGTTCATACTTCTCACATTCTGCATTCCAGTTGTATGTGTTGGGTAGCATTGGACTTTCCTTTTACCTCTATGCGTATCAGCCACTTAACTCCCTTTCATTGGCAGTATTCGTAATTGTACTTTGCTCTTCTCCAGTAGTTTGTTGAGTGCCTTCAAACCTGGAGGTCTTACCTTCTGGCACTATCACTTGTTTCTTTTTGGATTGTTTCATCATGGGGTTTTCAAGGTAAGAATATTCAGAAGTGGTTTACCATTGCTGCCTTCTGCACAGCACTAACCAAAAATAGCTTGAGCATCACTGCCATTATCAGTGAAAAATCCTCCACAGTATCACCTTCAGCTACTGCTGCTGCCCAGTAGCTGCCTTCAGGAGTTTCTCTGCCTCCATCAGCATTAGAGACATCCATTCTTTTGTGCTAATGTAACTGTTCTCCTGAAGAGGTTGGATGTCTCCTAGTCCAGTGTCTCCACTTTGACCATTTCAGTTTGAGTGACGCTGCTAGGAGACCAGTGCAGTGAACCAGTCTGGAGTTCTGGCAGCATCACCCCCAGCTTCTCTGACATTCTTAAACTCCCTCCCCACATTAAGGTATGTACCCCAGATGGAGACCAAATTTCAGCAGTGCAAAAGTGATTTTTCAAGCAAGCAAAGAATGGTGGCCATACACACCTTATTTAAAAACTGAATCATGCTTCCAGTTTTTAAAGGAGTACTCCTGGCACTCTTTGTTTCCTTGAAAAAGTGCTGCTTCTGCTGCCATTGTGGCAGCAGATTCAGCGATGGCCACAAAAACAGACAGAAGAGGCCACATGTGCTGTCCACTTCCCAATGCAGATTATGTAGCTCCGGAGATCAGAGCTAAGGTGGATGCTTGGGCTGGATATGGATCTTCCTAATAGATTAATTTAGAACTTGCACACATAGGCTCCAAGGCAATATGCATTATTCCATATGGCTATGATTATTTTCAACAGCTATCTTCCTTTCCCAAGGCAGATGAAAAACAACAGAATGATCTATATATTCTACATACCAGGACTCCTATATTCTGTATGCAAAAACTTGACTGCCTACCCTTTGAATCTACAGCCAGATTAATATGTGCTTTTGGGTGGCATTTGCAAGAATCCAGATATTATGTTTTCTTAAGTAGAAATGTGTTCCTAAGAGATAGTCAACCCACATTCCATGGATACATGTGAATATGGCAAGGGAATAAAACCCACAGTGCAGTAAATCCTACAGGGCGGACATGATGTCATCTTTTCCATGTCCTTGTACAATGGGTAACTTAGAGCCATAGCAAGTTATCACACATCATTGGAGAGAATGGGGAGTCCAAGCACACACTGAAAGCTTTTGCATGTTCTCTGTGAATACAGAATGGCCCATAATTTCCTTATGAGGCTTATTGTGTTACTTGCAGAAATCTCCCAGCCCATGTAATCTGTCATTGGGCTTGCCTAGATGGTTGTTTCCTGCACTGCTGGTGGTTCTCCGGTTAATGCTGGGTTGGAAGTGTGGCACGCACTGCCTTTTGAAAAGTGCAGAGCTGTGCAGCTGGTTGCAGAGCAGTCCTGGTTTTCTGTTTGGTTTTGTTTCATTCCCCTTTGGAAATTTCTTGCTGCCTGTTGAGAATTACTTATAGCCATCTTGAATGCCTGGGAATGGCAGGATGCAAATATTTCCAATAAATAGGTTTAAATAATGCTATAGTGCAGCCTTACTCAACTTGGTGATCAGACATGCTGGATTTCAGCTCTCAACACCCCAACTAGCATGGTCAATGTTCAGGAATGCTGGGAGTTGTAGCCCTAACAACCGGAGGTCGGAGAAGTCACTATAATGGTGAAGTAACTGAGCTGTGAGCCAGAGAGTCCCTTCCTCATATCCCATCTTTTGCCATGAATTTCCTTCTATATCTCCCAGCTTCAAACTGGGTACAATAATACTGAACTAGTACTAAATGCCGAAGTTGCAATGCTATGTAAAATTAACTGGGAGCGAGCTTCACTGAGCACTGTGAGATTTCTTTATAGGAAAACATGAAATCTCTTTTTCAGAGATAATAAATGTGAAGTGCTTCGTATACTACATGTTAATAGCTGTCATTGTCCTGCTCCTCCTCCTCCTCCTCCTCATTATTGTTGTTGTTGTGGTTGTTCTAAAAGATATGCTAACCCTGATAACCCCCCACACTCTTTTTTTGCTGTTTTGGGCTTCATGAGGATCAGTAAAATTCTTGTGGTTTTGAATATACCGAAACAGCCTCCATGACGCCTATTTTTTCCCCCTCCTTGCCTTGAAGTGTCCTTAATTTTCACTGACAGGGATTTTTTTTAGCAATTGTCCAACATGATTCTTGTACACCTTAGCCAAGTGCTTTGAACACAACACGGAGCAGCCGGGGCAAATAGAGACCAAAGAATCCTTCCTCTGGCAGTGTCATGCCAGTGGCAGAGAGACTTGCTTTGTTGCCATCTGATGTGAGAGCCAAAGACTACACAATGCAGTTGGCATGTCTTCTTGGAGTGGGGGATGAGTTCCTGTCACTTATCGGTGCTCCTCCCCAACACATGGATGGCTTTTGTCTCCAGAAGATGAATCTATTCGGTCTCTGGTGGGCTGTGGCAGGGATAGGACTGGACCAGGACTGCAAATGGAAAGATGCAGGTTTCAGACTGAAAAGGCTGCAGGAGCCAAAAAGCAAGTGGCAAAGGAAACCCAATAGCCTGAAAAGCACAATGATTTGTTCAGAGAAGGGCAGGGAACCGAGATAAAAAAGCCCTGCTAAGATCAGAAACTCTGGCGTGCACAGTGCCCCATTGTTCAGCTGTCACACTTCCCTTTACTTTATTGCTTTTGTCCAACACCCTATTGTTCCACTTCCTTTTGTCCCCTATTCAGTGTGCTGGCTTTTCATTACCCAGCCAACCCTGTTGTTTTCGTTTCTTTTGTCTGAAGTTCCTGAGAGGAAGGTTTTATTTTCAGCAGTTTGATTAATTCACAGCTTGAGACAGGCTTTGTTTGTTATGTAATTACTGCCCTGAGCTTTTCCAGAGCTCCACTTGGCCAGTTATAATGGCTGCTCTTGCCCCAAATCCTTTGTGCTTGTGCTCTTGTTTTGCCTTGGCATAACCAAAAGATTGCTGTGTCGTTGCATTGTGTTGGTTCTTGTTCAGAGAGGCCTGGGAGGCCCAAGGAAAGTTGCCTCTGATAGCCAGTTTGTCTGTAACATTTTCTCTACATTGCCATCACTTTTGTGCAGGAAAAAACATGTACCACATATGCATATGACTATCCATAAAGAAAATATACTTGGATGTTTCACTCTGAAGCTATGTCCTCTACCTGATTCAGGAAATTGGTCTTACATGAACTTCGGCTCATGACTCCATACGGTGTATATTTTTGTAATTATTTGGTTAAGTGCAGCAATGTGATATTTCTTCTGAGCAGGGATCTCCAACCTTTTTGGGCCCATGGACACATCTGGAAATCGAGAAATTGTCATGGAACCTCAACGAAATGACTGCTACAGGTTGTGGCCAATCACAAAGTAGCTGTTTTGCATGCGGGGTGGTCACAAATAACAGGTGATCTTCCTGAGAAGCTGAGTAAAAAGCAGAGGTTGGACTTGGGCCCCAAATAGCAGACTGTATCTTTGATTAAGCACCCACTTCACAGAAACCAAACTGGTAAGGCTCAGATGCAAGCAATTTCCCAGAGCGATTGAATACAAACTGGAAGTGGTATCTGAGCACCAAAATGCAGAAACATTCCATTGAACACATCATTTCCTAGTCCAGAAGATCTCCCATTTCACAGATATTGTGCAAATTAATTCCCTCAAATCAGCTAGAAAGAAATTCCTCTAAAATTAATTCTGCCCCTCAAATTTAGATTATGCTGCTCCAGGCAACCAAACAGCTGCAGGGTTGAGGTCAGTGTGGCTGTGATGGGGAGAAAGATGGTGGGGAGAGACATCCTTGTTGTCCATCTCCTTTCCCAGTGTTAGCTGGGCAGTGACCCCTGCACTGTGGTGAAAGGGGTAGAGCTCCGCAGGTAAAGTGCCTACAGGAAAGACAATGTGTTGCCCATACTACATTCATACATACCACATGCACATAGGTCATTCTCTCCTGTTCTTCTCCCCTGCGCTGCTTACTCTTCCAAAATAGATCTGCTTACTTGGCCCACGGTTGCAAGCCCTTGTCCCCATAGCTTACCAAGCATCAGTGGGAGGAGGTTCCATGGCAGCTGAGGGTACTGCAGAGCGTTGTGCCAGTTCAAGTCCAGCCCCTTTCCATCTTAATTTCTGTAGAGACACTCTGCAGAAATCAAGATGGCGCATGGCTGGAGCCCTGTGGCATTCCTATCCTCTCTGAAAGAGTTTGTTTTAAGAAGTTGCAAGGGGAAGGGGCAGGAAAGATACGCAGGTGTCTTGCACTGGGAACGTCCATTCTAATTTTAGTCCATTTATTTCATTCGCTTATAATTCTGCCTTTCTTCCATTATTGTGCTTCAGTTGCTGAACACATTGTTCTCAAGCAATCTCTGAAGAGGCTTCTTATGCAGCTTGGGCAATGTGCTTCGCTTGCTTTTTAACAAACAGTGTGCAGTTCAAACATATGTAACCATTTCTGCTACAATTATTAGCTGATAATTAATTTGGAGGCTGAATTTAAGGTACTGGTACTCAATTTCCCATAGCCTTTGACTTTGCATATACTGGAAATTACTTCTCCTATTCAAGCCCTCGTAGTTCACTTACTTAGGCTTGGGTCCGCTCCTTTCCTCTTAGGATGAAATCCAAGACACGCTTACGACCAAGGAGTAATTCCCATAGATCTCAGTTAGGCTTAGTTCCAAGTGGGCATGCCTAAGTTTGTGCCCTTTGAGAGATATTACTGATGGTGGGAAGCAGGAACGACTTATCTGTGGTAGCCCCAAGGCTTTAGAACTCTTTGAAGAGATGTATTAGAAGAGCTCTCTTTTAACTTTCAGAAGGAAAAACAGAAAGCATGTATCTGTAGCTTAGCTTTTGTGGCTTTGTTTTATTCTGCTTTAGATTTGATGTTTGAGTTATTCTTAGGCTTGTAATTTGCTTGTCATTTGTTTGTTTTGTAATGTTGTTGTTACTTGAATTGACAGTTAGCCACTTTGAGCATACAATAAGGCAGCTTGTTGTGTTCCGTTTATAACTTTTGTACCCCTTTCTTTAATGGGGTATAAAAGGACGGGATAGAAATGTTTGAAATAAAAATAAATAATAAATAATGGCGAATCAGCATTCCCAGGTTTAAATACATACATACATACACGCATATCTTTTGGGAGTTGCCAAAGTTCACATTGGATTTGCACAGTGCGGAATGTGACTTGAAATGTTCCAATGAGGAAGAGGCTATCTAATTATCCGTGCAGCTTGTCCTTTGTAGGACCCATGTTATACATTGTTTGGCTTTTGGAAAGCTGATACTTTTCTAAGTGAATGAATGACTGGCTCACCTCCTCTATCCCCACCTCCCATGGTAATTTTTATGTCTCTCACGCTCCCCACAGGATGTCCATGAGGAGCCCTGCCTCTCCTCAGCTGGAGCTCAATGGAGCTGGGAACATGGTGAACTGTGCTATTAAAACAGAAGAGAAGAACGAGAGCCGCTACAAGCCTGCACAGGAAGAGACAGCTAGTACTCCGCCTGGTTCTGACAAAGCACACACATCACCGTCACTGCTGGGTGACATTATCGATCCCCCGGTCCTTCCACAGGTGGGCACAGTCACTTGGGCTCCTTCCAGCCTCCTTCCTTTGAGGCAGGGCTAGGCACTTCTTGTGGTCTTGAGGGACTTGGGGCTGGCTGCAAGAGGGAGAACCTCACTTGGCCCCAGCCCAAGACATTGTGCTGCTCAAGGCACAGCCACAACCCTGCACACACTCCTTCCTTCTTCTTCGAGGTCCCTGTGCAATCATACGAATGGGCTTTGCTGTGCAGCACAGGGCCTGAATCAGAGAGAAAACTTCCAAAGCTCAGTGGAATGGAGTGGGAGGAAGCCCCCCCCACCTTATCCGGAAGTCCAGATAAGGTGGTGGGGATCCCGCCTAGTCCCTCAGTTCCTCTTTGAATGCACACACACTCACTCAAAGATCGGAACTTCTCCGCTCAGCTAGCCTTGCTCTTTCCTCTCTTCCCTGTTTTTCTCTCGTCTAACACACACACACACACACACACACACACACACACACACACCTGCCACTAAAAATACAAGAATAGTACATAAGTTAACAGTTGTGCTGCCCATTTGTGACACCCAAAATCAGCCTCGCTCTGCCTAAGGGCAGGGCTGGCCCTGAGTTGGTGTTGTATTTGCATACATGAATGCCGATCTGAGGCCAATCACCTGCTCTTTTGATTGAAAGGGACTACAAGGAAGTCCAGTTTGGATCAGAGTAACAGCAGTGCACTGGCACTTAAAAAAAACTGTTTCCAATCTGCCCCTCTTCCAGTCTAAATCACCCATACCCACAACCACTGATTAGCCTACCTGGCTTATATCTGTCCACAGAGGAGGGGCGCGAATGGCGGCTTTGCTGAAAGCACCTCAGCCTTCCTGCAGCAGCGCTGCTCCGGCGAAATTCAGAGCACCTCCGTGACTATTCTGAAGTAAAAACAGTTGGGCTCCTGGGCAAGAAAAAGTGACATCTGAATGCTTTCAGTTCTGTGGTACAGAATGATGTTCCTAGTGACCACTGCATGTTTGCTGACATTTTTTACCCATATCAGTAAAAAGTAAGAAGGAATGGAAAGTTTAATTTCCATCAAAGGAGAGGGGCCATAGATGATTTGTAAGGTATGTACGTTGCCTGGAAAAAACCCGAGACCCAGTTGTGGGTGGTTCCAATGAATGGGTTGCAGGCCTGAACAATACAGATCTCCTGCCTGAGGTCTTGGAGGGCTACTGCTTGTCAGAGAAGATGCTAATGAACAAATTTTGGTCTGTCCTGTTCTCCCACATTTATCTTTCCTTTCAAAATCCAGTCTGGAAAAACATTTGTATATTACAACTCCAAACTTCCCAACAAACAAAGTCCTCTGGGCAGTGTACAGATAAATTAGAGACATAAAATACAGGATAACAGTGGAACAATTGCAATAAAACAGCACAAGATGAAGCCAAGGTAAAAGTAAGCTGTAATCAGCAGCAGGAATAAACAGTGCGACACATAATAAAACCAGAAGGAAAATGGGCAGTAGGGAAAAAGCACAGCCAAGATCAAAATGGTAGTTCCTAAAATGCCTAAATAAATGAAAGGGTTTTTTTTCCCTAGCATTGAAAGGACGGTAATGTGAATGTCAGCCAAGCTTCACTGGGGATGGCATTCCACACGTGGGACAGCACCACTGAAGACCAGTAGACACTTTACTTGGTCTCTCCAGGAGGGGCAATTTGCAGAGGTCCTTCAGGTCTGGCCAAACATGGGAAGAGATGCTCCATCAGGTCACCTGGCCCCAGGTGCTTTAAAGATCGAGTGGCAGTGTGAGGTGGTGCTGAGAGTGCTGGGCTGGGAGTTGGTGACTCAGTTTCTGGTCCCCACTTAGCCATGAAGCTGACTGGGTGACTTTGAGCCAGTCGCTGGCTCTCAGCCTAACCTACCTCATGGAGTTGTGGAAAAAGGGGTTGAGGAGGAGAACCATGTTCACTATCTCAGGTTTCTTGCAAGAGGATGATAGGTGGGATATAAATGCAAAAATAATAATACCCCCAGCACTTTGAAGTGGACTTGAAAATGGGCTGGCATAATGTGATTGTAGCAACCAGTCCCCATTAATAGGCAAAGTGGCCAGTTTTGGATTAGCTGGAGTTTCCTGACCATTTTGAAAAGCAGCTCCACTTACAATAAATGCAAACAGGAGGGTTCAAGGTTCAAGAGCATGCATGCCTGTTGGCAACATTATCTCTGTCCAGGGAATAGTGCAGTTAGCATACCAGCCTAAGCTGATGAAGGGTGATAAGAGCCACCAAAGGGCATCTGTGTCTCCAGTGATTGATGGATCTGAGAATATCCCCAGCGTGTGTTGCTGATCCTCAGAGGAAGCCATGCCGTCTCTTCCATTTACCTAGGCAGTTTCTGCTCCAAAGCTAGGCCTGGAACCAGATTGAAATGGATCTAGGAAATCAGTGGCATCCAAGATTACCTGGAGTTGATCAGCTGCCCCTTGCCTGAGCACCCTGCCTGGGAAAGAGATAACAACTTACATGTGTTGGACAGGTCATTGTTGATATAGCAGCTATAAAATCATGGGTGCCCCAGAACCAATGGCCTCAGTATATATTTTGTGCAACTCAAACACACCAGAAGGCAAGTTCTATTAGAGGAAGAACCAAAAAAGGGAACAGGTATAGGTTGTCTACTCATTTTTATTCCCAGTTGGGCTTTTGCCTCCTGATGACATGACCAAACTAATTTAGGTGCTTTCCTTCCTGCACCACTAATTTAAGGACTGATATGCAGCCCATTGCAACAATTTAATTATTTCTGTATGCAGTGCTTTTAAAGTGTTTGTCTTGTGGGGTAGAGGAAGATGGAATGCTTTGACCCTTTCCCCATCTATCAAATGAGCCCCTGACTCATCCCACAGGTCTCTAGCTCACTCACTACAGGATGCTCTGACACATCTTGCATAAAAGGAAGACTCGGAGAAGATAACAGAAGATTTCTGTTATCCTTCCCTTTTTAATTTCCTGAAAGCTGTTGGTGATTGACAGTGGCTCACTGTCTTTCAGGAATCTACATCTCTAGCAGACAAGGCAATAGATTCCAGGAACCCTGCATTCGAACCGGCACTTACCAATCGGGAAAAATTGGATTTCAATAGAAACTTTAAAGAAGGTAGGAAGGATGTTTCATAGCCATTGTGTTCACCATAGTCTCTGTCTCCCACCCCTGCTTCAGATTTCCTTTCAATTCTTTCTGAGAAGAGGGCATCATTGTGTATTGAAACACAGGTGTTGCATTCATGGGATCCAAGGTTCAGTCCCTGGCATCTTTAGTTAAAGGCTCTCAAGTTGCAGGACTGCTTGAGGCATCTCGTGTAGTGTAGGTACTAGCATTGGGAATGGATGGACCTGGGCTTGGCAGATAATTGAATTGACCTTGTGAAAGGTAGTGATATATGTATCCTTTTACCTTTTCTTCATTGAAGCAGACCCTTAGCTGCCACAGACCCTTAGCTGGATGTAGTGTTACTGGAAAACATGCAATAATTTTAGAACTTTCATACTAGATCAAAACAAGCAGCCAAGTATCATGACTTAAAGAGTGAATAATAATTAGGTCTATGGAAGCAAAGGGAATGTATGGTCAGTATTACCTTTTGTCGATTGAAGTCTAAGAACTGATGCATTTCCTTGACCACTGAAGGATTTTGTCCTTGGGAGATTTATCCTCTTTGAACCAATCTAGTATTGTTTGTTATTCTGTGTTATGAACGCAAAGTTTCACATTATCTTTGAAACATGCTCTTTTCAAACAACAAAACTACCTTCATATTGTGCACTAACATTCTTATTGCAACAGTAATGCCAACCATTGAGAAATTACTCTCCAGCGATTGGAAAGAGAGACTTCTGGGGAAGAGTGCCATGGAATCCAAAGAGGTGAAAGGTGAGCAGTTGACTTTTTGGCTGTGACTGTTTTAAAACCCCCACCATAGAAGTAGACATCTTTTGATGTAATGGATAGAGAGGGCAAATCTTGCACCCATAGCCCCCGCCTTCCTCACATCCGTTAAGTCAAGTCAGGTGCCCATATGTCATCAAATTAATATAATCAGAGTGCAAAGAGATTTGACATACTATAGAGGATGCAAAAGCACTAAAATATAAGATATAGCCTCCACCCATAAGCTCATGTATCTTGCAAAATTTGTGGTCTACGTCTTTGGTGGGAACTCACTCGTCTAGCATAATAGGCCTATAATTCACAAAACTATTCATGCATGATTTCATTAGCGTTGTCACCCAATAAAGAAATCTTAATTGATTCATGGTCTTGAGTCTGAATGTATTTTATTAATTTATCAGTTAAGACTGCACACATCTATGTGCAGAACAAAAGTCACTATAGGAACCCATCAACCTCCCATGTGAGAGGGAAGAAGGAACGCCTCTTCTAAGATGCTGCCTACCACCCCTGCATCTTGTACCTTAAAAGCTTGAACCCTTCCTTAAATGCATCATGTTCCTAAAATGTGTCTCCTAATTTATTGAAGGCACCCTTTCAAGCAAGTCAAAAGATTTCTAATCAACTAAACTAAATGATTAACATAATATCTTAAGGGAGAGGGAGGAGCTGATGCAGAAGGACTTGTTCTTTCAGTGGGGCTGCAGGACGGGAGCTATAGGAGCAGAAAGAAGGTCCCCCTCCCTTTATCTGCTTCGTCCAGCCGTTTTTCTTCTTTCTGGTGTCTCTCCCCCTCCCCCATTGACTTCAGCTGTAAGGGAATTAACTATACCAACCTGTATAGTTGGCATTGTTTTCCCATTTCAGGGGTTTTGAGAGCATGGAAGGGCTTTGGAATCAGTGGAGCCACAGCTTATGCTAGTAGCCTTCCATTTGTGCTTTCTGATAGTAGGACAAGCTCTAGCTCATGAAGGAGGCTTGCGAGGCAGTGTTGCTTGTTTTGAGGGTGGGTAGATCTCTATCCAGTCTTGGAGACAGAGATCTGAAAAATCCTACAACCCCTGGAATGGCTTCGCAGGTGCTCCAGGATGACAGTCTTACTAGTGCATAGATCTATATTTAAGTATGCCTTCTTCTCTCTTCTCTTTGGGCTCTTGCTTATCCCAGGAACTCAAGAAAGCCTGGCAGAGAAGGAGTTGCAGCTGCTGGTCATGATTAACCAGCTGTCCATCCTGCGGGACCAGCTGCTGACAGCCCATTCAGAGCAGAAGAACATGGCAGCTATGTTGTTTGAGAAGCAACAGCAGCAGATGGAACTGGCCAGGCAGCAACAGGAACAGGTAGGCGGTAGAACACTATTTGGGGACTTTTCAGCCTTTGGAATCTTCAGAAGATGGCTGGAATAGCAGTGCTGGAAAGTTCAAGACCTTGCCTAACCTAGAAACATGGTCCTGTTGGCTCTAATAGAGCTAAGCATGCTTAATTGCACTGTTCTTGCCTCACATGATAATGAAAAGGCAGTTTGGAAATAGTGTAGTTATCCATGCTGTGGTTTAGGAGCTGTAAAGTACAGAGGCCACCCACATGGAGATCCACACAATCACAATGCACAAACTATTAAAGAAGGACCCCATGCATTATAACTGTAATCAATATCTATGGAAGTATAATTAATCAAATGCAATTATGACCATTTTTCAGTGATCTATGCTGATCCATCTTTCTCTACCTGCGTTTTAGAGATCTCTGCATAATTCCCCAAAATTCTTAGATCCCAATATTAATCTAGCTCTCATAGTATATGAGAATATTTAGAAAATTGTGAAAAGATATGAAATAGGGAGGGAGGGGGGGAGGCGATTCTATCAGTAGAATTTCCAAATCTGTAAATTAAGATTTTCCCAATTTTTAAAAGTCAACATTTCAGAGCAGTTACATGGAAAAATAAGTGCAGCATGTACATTGTACTTTATGTTTGTGCTTTATGTCTGTCATATTTCTGACATGGACGTATAGCATATTCTTCACAGTGGTACCCTTCAGAAACTTAGCAAGTCAGAAGGGGTCTCCCAGACTATCTAGTCTGACCCCCTGGCTCCAGCCGGCTCCGCTCATGTAATATCCAGCATGTATTTGTCCAATCTTTCCTTGAACACCCTCTCTGATGGGGCCCCCACCACCTCCTGTGGAAGCTGATTCCATATCCTGGGCTCTTAACCATAAGGAAGTACTTCCTGACATTCAATCTGAAACCTGGTCCCTTGAGCTTTGCCCCATTGGATTGCACCCTTTCCTCCACCACAGGGGAGGACAGGTCACAACCTTCTACTGTATGATGCCGCTTCACATACCTATATGTCACTATAAGATCCCCTTTGAGTCTCCTCTTCTCCAGGCAGAAAAGACCCAGCTCCTTCAATCTCCGCTCATGTGGCAACTTCCCATTCAGGCTACCATCGTTGTGACCCTGCACTGATTCTAACCTAGCTATGTCCCTGTTATAATGTGGAGCCCAGAATTGGACCCACTATTCCAGTTGTGGGTGCACAGAGTCTTCTAGAGCAGTACCAGCACCTCTCTCAATCTGGAAGCCACCCTTCTGGTTATACATCCAAGGGTGGCATTTGCCTTTCAACTATGTTGAACTGTAGGCTATGCTGGCTGGGCTACAGCAAAGCTCTGCAGTCAATTACATCTGGAGGATACCAAGTTGGGGAAGCTGCCCTTCATAGTGAACAAATTACTTGTTCCTGGAATATACTTCAGGACTTGCTGTTTCAAGAATAATATGTAACTGGACATACTTATGAATATGAGATTGCAAAAAAGTTGCTGTGCCATTCTGTTGCAGCAAAGACAAAGACTTTTTAATGCCCCTGAATTTAAGAGAGGGAATTGCACACCTTTGAGCTTAAGCCAAAAGGGTTTTAGGAGTGGGTAGGCAACCTGATGTCCTTCAGATGTTTTGGATTACAGCTTTCACTTTGACCCCATGGTGGAGGTTTATGGTATCTATTAGACTAGTTTATGGGGGGAACCATGTTGCTGACCTGGTTTAGGATAAAATTAGATTGCATACCTTCTCTGGAACCATCAAATGAATTTCTCAGGACCAGTTCTGATGCACTGCTTGTACACACAGTATGTTTAATTGCTTGCCCTTGATTATTTACCTGTCTGGGCACTGATCATAGGCAAATGAAAGTGCACATATCTGGATCATTTCATTAATCACAAATACTCAGCTTGTTGATTTCACCATGGAAATTCTCCTTCTGTAGGTTGGCAATAGCTCTGCCCTACCTCACAGGGAGATTGGGAAGTTATCTGTAGTAATCAAGATGGGGAAGAACTTGAAAATTAGAATAGGAAACGTGTGCTTGAACTGATGGTTTTAGCACCTGGTTTCTTTTACAGCAATTATTATTGGCTACATATGTGTGTTGCCTTCTTCTGAGATGAACTGCCATGTTTTGCCAGTACCAGTTGGGACCTTCTCTTAGTTTGATAGAGCCATTCTGCCAAGGTCATTCCCAGTTAAAAGAGAAAGCTTCTTTAGTAAGCACCTTGGTCCTTCAGCACCTTTCCTTCTTACAGATTGCCAAGCAACAGCAACAGCTCATCCAGCAACAACACAAGATCAACCTCCTGCAGCAGCAGATCCAGGTAAAAGGGGAGCTTCCCCCCCTCTAGGCATAGCAAGCGGGGCTGATTCAATAAAGGTTATTATCCTGAACAATGAGGGATATGGCCTTTGTGCCTTGTTCTGTTGCAGCTTCTCCACATAACTAGGGGAGAGTTGTTTCAAGGTGTGCAAAAATTAACAAAGAAGCAGTTTAGAGTGTTGGTGGATTCAACATGATTTTAAAAGGAGAGAGATGCCTGTCATTGCAACCCTCAGCCCCTTGAGTTCAATGAAAGCTGGTTCCATTGAAGTCAGTGGGGCCTTTTTAAAAAAAGTAAATGTGCGTATGGCTTGGGGCATGAGTCATACAGCACGCCATCATGCACAGGCCTTACTGAAATGGAGTTCGGTTAAGCAAAAGGTGTTCAAGCCAATTCTGCACATGTCCAGAGGTTGGCTTTGTACACAGTAGTCATGGCCCTACCAGCTACAGGTAAAGGGCCTGGCGGGGTTATGTGTATATGTCCACATGTCTTTCTGCTGCATGCTGAACACATGCATGCGTGCAGAGCAGGGACAGGTTAACACCATCTGGTCCTGTGAGCCACTCACGTGTTCTTCTAACATTTGAGTGTGCTTATCTGAAGCCATTTAAAATTGGCATTTTTATGGTACATCTATGAATGTAAATTGGTTTGGCATTAGTGTAATTGTGAGATCCCCCCCCCCCCCGCCCGGCAACTGAGAAATCTCTGAGAACTCTGGTCTTGCGAGGTGGTGCCTTGTTAGCTAACCCCTTCACATAACAGGTGCTCCTTCCTTTAAAGGTTTCCTTACATTAAAGCAGAGGTGAACAGCCTGTGCAACTCGTGTAGCCCCCTGGCTGCTTTGGCAGCCCCCTCCCAGCCTGTTCTTCCTGCTGCCAAATTTTCTGCTGTTGGGACTGCAGAGGCAGCAAAAAGAGGGTGAATCTGCTTTCAGACAGACTCTGTATGTCTTGTTTCCTTGCAAAAACAAGGGGAATGCAAAATCAGCAACAGCAGCACTTTTGGTTGGTGTGGGGGACTTGCTTGGTTCTAGGGGAGCAGTCCAGTCCCCTGACCCCTGGATATTGCCTGCCCTTGTGCCAAAACCATGACTGCTAAAGAGGAAAACTAGGAGAGTTATATCCAAATGAAGCGATCTGTGTTAAGTTCCATGTCCCCAGGGGGTTAAATTTACCTCACCTCACACATGTGCTGCTTTGGATATTCTGAGGGGCAACTTATTCACATGACTGGGAGGGAAAGCTGAAACTTCAGGCCAAATGATCAGCTAATATCTATGGAGGGGAATGACAACAGTACAGTTAATAGCAGTTGACAGGATCACAAGAAGCTGCCTTGCATTGCATCGGGCTATTTATCTTCTGTCCCAATCCTGTCTGGGACTGGTGGTGACACTGCAAAGGTCTTTCCCATGAGCTGTTACTTGATATCTTAGCTGGCAATGCCAGGGATTGAATTTTGGACCCCCTGCATGCAAAAGATGCTCCACCACTGAACTGCAGCCTATCCTTCTGTGAGGAAGGGCAATTTAGATGTGGGTCATGGAGTCAGGGGACAGACTGAATCCCCCACTCCCTTTCATGCGCTGTAGCCTCAATTCAAACCCTAGTGGCTGCTTTTAGCAAAACGGGGGAAAGTGGAAAAAAACATTGGGAATGTATTTGTGCATCTATAATGCATTAGCTTAGATTGACACTCCAGTTTGCCTTCATTGCAGTGTAAATAACACCACTCTGTTCTCTTTGGATGCATTGCAAGAGTACATAAAATAGTTGCGTAACCGTTTGATACTACAGCAGACCCAAAGCCACAGTGCAAAGAAGGAAGATCATGATCATTGATCCCTCTATATTGTAATCCAGTAGAGAGTCCTTGGGCCAAATTAGCAGAATATAAGTTTAATTAATAAAATAGCTCCCTCCAGGTGTTCTCAGACTTGTCTGGATGGGTATTGTTGTTTGCTGATGGTAAATTCGTATTTGGCCCAGTCTCTCTCTTTGTCCCCCACTTCCCTTGTTCCTTTCTCTCCAGCAGGTCAACATGCCCTACGTAATGATTCCAGCATTTCCTCCCAACCACCAACCTCTTCCTGTCACCCCAGATCCTCAGATGGCACTCCCAATCCAGCCAATCCCATGTAAACCAGGTATGGAGAGGCTAAGAAAAATGGAATTTGGGTCATGGATGTCCTGGATGCTTTAATTCTGGCATCTTGGGACGGGAAAATGATTTACTCAGAATTACAACCATGTGATTAGTGAAAAGATGAGTCAGGGCACTTTCACTGAATGGGATGCATCCACGTGAAGTTTCATTCAGTTTGAAAAGTTAGCCAGGGCTGCATGAAATCCCATTGATTCTAACGGAAAATACCTTGCGCTCTATGCAAACATTGGCCTGCTACATGCCCATCCTGCCCCAGGTGCCCTGCACCTGCACCTAACTCACAGACCTTCGTGAATTGAGCGCACAGGTCTGTGTGGGGACTCGTAAGTGTGTTTGGTTGAGTATGTTTACCATGATCAAGGAGGTGTCCAGTTGCAGGACCTGTGCAGTTGCATTTACTGAAAGTTTATGAGAAAGCTAGGGGCACTTGGGTTGGAGTATGTCTGCTTATGGATCCATTACAGTATGCTGTGAAAAACATGGAATGTATAAAGGCAGTGTGGATGTCCCCATACATTCAGACTGGGGAACAATGATTGGCTACTGAACAAATTTAGTTTTATACAAATCTTTTTGATTTGCCTATCCTGGAGAGGCCTATTTGGAATTTCTTAGTTCTTGATGCAAAAATCTTAATCCCTTGAGATTTGTTGCTGGGAGAGCAATTTGTGTTTCGGCTTGACTCTGTCCTTCATCTCTGATTCTCTTGTTTCTGTATCTTTATAGTAGAGTACCCCATGCAGCTTCTGCACAGCCCCCCTCCTTCAGCACTCAAGAGACCTGCAAGCTCAGGACACCTGCAGATCCAGGTGAAACTCCCAAAGAGGTTTCTTTGTTGGCTTCCAAATTCCCCATGAGGATACTTTTCTACTGTCTGTCTGTCTGTCTTTTTTTTCAGGAACCTTCACAGCCACTTAACTTAACAGCAAAGTCTAAAGGCTCTGAACTCCCCAATGCCTCCAGCTCACCTAGCTTAAAGATCAGCAGCTGTCAGTCCCTCAGTTCCAGCCACGGAGTTTCCCGGGAGCTGCAGGCCAGTCCTCCCAGTCTCCCTTTGGGTAAGTGCATGAAATGTGCTTTGTTCTGGCTCTGAGCTGGCACTGAAGCAGTTCTTCATTCTGATCCCTTAAAAGTGTACACTTATTACAAAAAACAGTAGTGAGGCTCATCAGGTTTTCTAATTGGAATTGCCCCAACTGCAATTGAAAACTAGTGACTAGCTCAAATTAACATTCTAGAATGGAGCAAGTCAGCAGAGCTCCTTCCTGAAATTGCCATTTAGGCTAGTTTCCAATCGCTACAGCAGGTGCTAGCTTCCTGTTGCACTAATGGGAATTCCCATTAGTACAATGGTACCACTGGATACTGCCCAAACTATCCACAATTTGTTAGCTTACTCCTGATTTTATTTGAGTGCCGGGGGGGGGGGGGGGGGGGGAATCAGGCGTTCCTGGATTCAGGAAGGACCTGAATATCACATTTCTCAAGATGTGCTTGAGTTTATTTGGGATTGTTTTCCTGTATGGTATTTTTGCACCAGAGTTAAAGGAGCAGATGTTGTGCCTTAGTAGCCGAACACAAGCTTTGTAAGCAAGAGGTCTTGGGTTCAGTTCCCCACATCCCTGAGTTAGCTTGGGAAAAGCCAGGTCTGAAATGCTGGGAGAGCCAATACTGTGCTAGATGGACCAGTGGTCTGACTTGTGCCAAGATGTCAACATGTTCATTGTATGCGTATTACATTCTGTTTCTGAACAGGAGGCTGGCATGAGACGGTGATTCTCTCTGTGTCTCTAGGATCACTAAGGGTGCAATCCTGTGCATGTTCAGACAAAAACCAATATAAATACGTGTAGGGTTGCACCTTAATGGCAATTGTCTCCCATTTAGTCATGCCGCTATACACAAAATCAGACAGAGAAGATGGATTTTTCCTTTCACATGCATGCATAGGGAGGAAGTGGGGTCCAGTCTGCAGAAATAATGGCACAAGCAAAGCAGGTGTTAGTATTTTCCAATAATCTGATGCAGAGAACATGGATGAGATCTAATCTGTTTTATATTAGAGGTGCAGTTCCATGATAACTGCAGATAAGGGAAAGCACAGGATAACGAGAAGAATAATCCTTTCAGGGTAGGGGAGGGAGAGTCCGTAGTGAGAAAAATACTACCACTTAAGCCCTATTGACCAGAGCAAAATGAAGTGAGTCGTGCCTCCAACTGCTTCTGCCCCCACTCCCAGAAGCACTTTTTGGTTTGTAGACAATAGATCTCCCACTGTCTCCTGCGGGGGAGGGGCAGAATCCCCTGTACCAGCTCCAGCAATGGTATCATTTCCAACTGGTGGATCCAAGCCACCACTGATTTGCCCTTAATATGCCCTCAGAAATGCCGCCCCTGCACTTATTGCCAAGGAAGTAATGTCAGCAGGCAGCCATAGTGGTGGAAAGACCCACTGTGGGGGTGGAGCTCCCTGTCCTCCTGTATGGGGGAGGTCCACTGTATCCCATGGCTCCTAAGATTGCCCCAGAAATCTGAGAAGAAAACTTGGTGGTTTAAAAAGCAGATTCACTGAGTACTTTAGAAGGTAATGGATGGACCTAGAGACCTGCCTGCACAGAGGCAACTTGCTTTCTTGACTGACTTCTTGAGATCTGAGGATCTTGGCAGGGATGGTAGTGGTTGCCACAGGGTCATGTGACACCATTTTTTAAAAAACAATTGTAGGGTTCCTTGGAGAGGGAGATGCTATAACCAAAGCAATCCAGGACGCCCGACAGCTCCTACACAGTCAAAGCAGAGCAATAGATGGATCTCCAAATCATCTCTACAGGAAAGTAAGTGGTAGTGCAATTACAGATATCACTTTTGATCTGGGTTTACAAGGGCAGTATGATAAGAATGCCTTCTCTGGTAAAAGGACTTGAGTGAAAATTAAGGTGTTGAGGGAAGTGGCTGTGTGTAACTGTAGTGAGGAATTCAGTGCGATAACTTCATCTGTAAAGAAAGGAACTGGTATCTAGGTTTTTTCAAAGCCTTCCTGCATGATAGAAATAGCAATGAATGGACTTCCCAAAGCTCAGCTCAGGCTGGGTTCGTTAAAAATGAACTAACTGGGAATGATTTGGACTGGGCTTGAATTAGTTAATTCTCAACTTAGGCTCATTAGGAGCTTCAGGCCATTAGGAGCATAGCAAGATTTATAGGCCTCTTACTACTTCTTTCTCACCTCCGAAGAACACAAGGAGGGCTTGAAGCCTCCCCAACTACATTTCAAAACCTGTGTCTCCACTAACGCCCAGAGAATTCCTGACAGGTGCAACAAGAAGGGTTGCTGCCATACCTGAGATGCAGGGACAGTATCTCGGACATCAAGATATTTAAGAACTGTTAATGGGAAGCTCCAGAAGGTCTTGACACCCACCGGTCTATTTTCCAGGAAGCCTTGACACCCACAGTACTGCTACAGGTTGCAGCAATGGTTCTTTTCCTTGCTTACCACCAGAGCTCGGTTGTCTAAGGGATGGGACATGCCACTGGGGAGGCTAGAACTAGCTAATTATGAATTGAAGCTGGACTTTGAAGAGATTTGGGACAGTTTTATACTTAGAAGTTCACTAATTTTGAATTTCAGATGCCATCACTAAATAAAACAGAATATTTTAACCTAATTCCCATTTGCAGTCTGTCTTGTGCTTTCAGTGGTACCTTCTACTTAATTGGAGTAATTTTGCTATTCCTCCCTTTTAGGAACTTCTTGTCCTGCACTTGTTGCACCCTGTTTTTATATTCTCCTTTGCAGCCCACCTAAGGAGCAGCTTTGGGGCTGTGCAGTCCTGCATGTGACTCCTTATTCTCAGTGGTAAAATGGAGGTCTTCTCTGGTGACTTCTTGACTAGCATGGGATGAAAAAATCTTGTCTTGTCAAACATAGACTAGATGCAATGCAATGCTTTGCTTGAATATTTCATTGCTAGTTGCTTCTAGCTTGTCCTGGTAATATGTAATAAAGCATCTTCCCATGTGTTTTCAGGACCATGCCAGCATGGATTCTTCTCCTACAAAAGAACAGGTGGAGGAGACTTCTTTGCAGAGGCTGGATGAATCCATGTTAACCTGTGATGGGGATGGTAAAGAGAGTTGTCCTTCATGTCTTCTGAGCAGAACTTTGGCCTTTGCTGATTTTCTCACAGCTGCTGCTTCCGTCAACATCTTGCCTGACTTTGAAGCTCTGGGCAAAACACCTGTAAAATTAGTTCAGTTTTGGTGGTGTAGAGAGCCCGTAATGTTGATGAACACTGCTTCTCAGCTTCTATGGAGTTTCTCATACTGCTGAACTGTGAAATCCACATTGTAGTACCTCACTTGTTGTGGTTTCTAGAAATGGAGATTTTCTCCTGTTGGAATGAGTCTTCAAATTATCTTATTCAGGGTTATGCAGCCCTTCAGATTTTTTTGGCTGCAGCTCTGACAGCCTATGATCATTGGCCATGCTAACTGGGAATTTGTAGTTCAAAACTTGTTGGGGGCGCCTGTTTGCCTACTTCTGATCTAGTCCATAAGTTCTCAAGCAATGAGACATGCTCCTTTGGGGTGGGGGCACTGGGGATATAGTTTTGAGAGAACCCTGAAGGTCTGTTTTTCTTAAAAAGTAAAGCATTCCAGGCCTCTGTAAATGTCCAGTCTCAGTGTTTTCCCACAGTGATCTCAAGTAATCCTGCACCATCTGTACACTCCACTGTGAGGGCCAGGGAGAGGTCTTGGAAACAGATTGGGATGTCAGATTCATTATAGGTCAACACTGGTGTGCTGTGTGAGTAGAAGGGTGAATATTGCATCTTTCATACTGCAATACTGAGGGAAAGTTTCTGCAGCAAGACTTTCCTTTGTGTCCCAGTTTAAAGGCCCAATAGCCTTGCCTTGCACTGAATGTCATAACTGCAAGTGTGAGAACTGAACAACAGTTCTTTGTCGTGGCCTCTGTGCATCACACATATGTGGAGCCACCCCTGCTTCCAGGCCCCAGGATAAGGGGGAGGGGGTGCCCACCAACTTCCTCAGCTTGTTAGTGACTGCACATCTTGCTGCATCTCCTTTTCAGTTTGAACTTTGTCACTTACCTTCTGTCTATTGTTTCCTTCTTTGTCCTTCCCTTCCTCTCCCTTACCATATCCATCTGGACCATGGCTTACTCCACCGCCCACACTATGCGGAGGTTGCTGGGCTTTGTGGCTGCCCCACTGTCAGTGGTATGCCTCCTTTTCCCTGGAGATCCCTCCAGCTCTGGTTCATGAAAGTCTTCACTACAGACAAGGATCTTCATTCCATAGTCCCCTCCTCCCCACCAGGGTCAGAAACTTAGCCAACCTCTCATCTGGGGTCCCTTTCTCCCCACCACAGCTGGAGGTCACACTCATGACAGATGCCTCAAAGACAGGATGGGCACTCACTGTGGAGATCTCTTGGGCCTCTGGACTGCCCAAGAAACCCGAAGCCATACCAACCTCTTGGAGATGCTGGCCACTCACAAAGCCCTGGTCTCCTTTCAGGACTCCTTGAAGGGCTGCCACATCCAAATCACCAGATGATACAACAACTAAGTATTACCTGAACAAGCAGGGTGGCCCTCACTCAGCCTGCCCATCCAACCTTGCATCCACCATCTGGCAGTGGTGCCTGGAGAGAGCTCTTCATCCCAGCCATCCATGTGGCTGGCCACCAAAACACCCTGGCAGACGCCCTGAGCTGTGCCACCTCAACACCCCATGAATGGGAGCTCAATGACCTGGTCCTCCACAATCTCTTCACCAGGTGGGGCACCTCAGAGGTGGACCTCTTCACCACTTCCCAGAATGCCAAGTGCCACCTTTTCTGCTCCAGAGTTGGGATCCCAGAGAGGCCCCCCTAGGTGAAGCCTTCCTTCTGAAATGGGATGGGGCACTTTTCTACACTTCCCCTGCTCCCCCTGATCACCAAGGTGATTGCCAAAATCCAGAAGGGTTAGGGGTAGGGTTAACCCTACCCCTAACCCTCACCAGCCCCTGGTGACTGCAATAGCCATGGCTCCTGCACCACCTCCACCTATCCAACAGGATGTTCCTCTGCCTCTCAGAGATTCATAATCTCCTCTCCCAGGAAGGGGGCCCTGTCCTCCACCTGGGCATCAGGACCCTGAACCTGACCACCTGGATGATTTGTGGGCAGTAGACCCCTATCCGTCCTTACCCCACCCCTGCGCAGTTCCCTCTATCCTTCATGCTGCTCTTAAGCCCTCCCCACCCCATAAGTCCTACCTGGCTAAATGGAGCGCGTTCACACGCTATTCCATGTCAGGGGGCCTAGGCTCCTTCCACTCCCCCTTATCTCACCTTCCACAAGGACAAGACGGCCCTCAGTCCAAACCCACAGTTTTGTCTCGTGGTCACATCACATTTCCACATCAGTCAGGACATCTTCCCAAGCCCTTCCACCCCCATGGAGGCCTTCCTCCACCTGCTGGATGTCCTCAGAGCCCTCGCCTTTTATAAGTCACGTACAGAGGGTTTTTGCTGCATGAACTGCCTCTTTGTGTGCTACAACAGCAGGCCAAGGGGATCCTGTCTTGTTCCAGAGATTATCCAAATGAGTCTCCAACACCATCTCCCTGGCATACGATATTACTGGACTTGACCTTCCCTCATGTTCCTGCGCACACTCTATGCATGCACAGGCAACATCCCCTGCTCTCCTGACTGGCATCCCTCTCCATGATGTAAGCAAAGCTGCTACATGGTCCATGCCATCGACCTTTGTCCGGCGCTACAGACAGGATGTTTGTGTAAGACAAGACTGCACCCTTGGCCAAACAGTCCTATCAGCTGTCCTGCCATGATCCCAGCCCCACAGCCTGCTGAGGGGAAGCTTGCTAGTCACCCACATGTGTGATGCACAGAGACCATGATGAAGAAAGGCAAGTTGTTTACCTGTAACTGTAGTTCTTTGAGTGGTCATCTCTGCGTTCACACAACCCACCCTTCACCCCACTGGCTGCCATCAGTTGCTGGGCCTCTCATCCCTGTCCCAGGTGCTCAGCAGGGCTGGACATCACGTCCTTGATTCAGATGCCTGGAGATGACATAGTCTCCAAGGCAACTGAGGAAGTGGGTGGGACCGCCCCCCTCATCCAGGGACCTGAAGGGGTGGGGGCTCCTACCCACTTCATGACATTTTGCTATGAAAGTTTCTTTCCAATCCTGCCCACATATGAGAATGCACAGATGACCACTCAAAGAATGACAGTTACAGGTAATCAACTTGCCTTTCTTTGGAGCTACTAAATGGAGGAGCCATACAGGATAGAATACATTTAGTAGAAAAGGAATTCTAAAATATGGGGGGGGGGAGGCACAAATGTGCATGTCAAAGAGGTGATGGGGCAATCAGGATAAGGAGGTATTGAAGAAATAACAAGGGAAACTTCCCAGGTTGCTGCTGTAATTCACCATCTCTCTCATACCTAATCAGTGTTGTTCAGCTCCCCTCTGGAGTATCTTCTTACAGGTTGTTCCTTGATCCTTTCCTCACAGGCTCACGGCATTTCCCTGAATCCAGAAACAACAATCACATCAAGCGTCCTATGAATGCCTTCATGGTGTGGGCCAAGGATGAGAGGCGCAAGATCTTGCAGGCCTTCCCAGACATGCACAATTCAAGCATCAGTAAGATTCTAGGTAAGGAGGGGTGCCCACACAGTGTCCTTTCTGTAGTTCTGCCCCCCAGTGGCTTTGGGTGTTTTTCTAAGGCACGATTTTGGCCCCTGTGCACCCTGAGGCAGGGAATTACTGCTCAGCTCAGGCAGGTTCTCACAGCCTATGCATTGCTGTGATAAAAGCAAACAAGAAAATTCTCCTCCTCCTCTCTGGCGACTGTCTGTCACAATTGTCTGAGTCTTCAGAGCTGTCACCTGAGCATGTCAAACAGTTGTGAAAGCAGCCTTAAAAAAGAAGAGAGCCCACATAAGCAGAGAGGAAACCAAAACCAACCCTTTCTCAGAGAGCTACATATACAGCTGTGGTTGTGGGCCTTTTCTCAAGTCAGTGACATGAATTGCAGACTTATCACTCATCCAGTGAATGTGTTCTCAGTCTCGTCTGTCAGTCACACTACTTGTCCCAGCCAGTCTCCGCTTTCACAGAGGTAACCCCTCCACTGAGTAGCAAGGCTCAGGCATAAGCTGCAAGTCCTGGTTGTTTAAGAGGCTTTGTTTGCTACTGGAGGAAGGGGGAAATAAGATTTCCAGTGCAGGAGCAAAGTGCTGAGCTTGCTGTGGTAGGATGTGAAGTCTGGTCTGCATCAGTCCAAGGAGCCAGTGCTGGAAAACCTAGAACTTAGAAGAAAGACTTCCAGGAGGGCAGACTCTTCCTTCCACTTGCCATTCAGTAATGAACATGCCTACCAGGTGGAATACATAGTGGTTCACACTAGGGATCCAGCAAGATCCTAATCGGGAGGCACAGATGTCTGCAATCTGTAGAATGCTTGCATTCATTCTTATCAAGCCTAGGTTCTAGGACTGGCAGAGAACCCTGCCTAATTAGGCAAAAAGAATGGCTCATCTCCAAGGCAGATGTGTCTACGCGATAAAGGGAAGAAGGTTCGTGGGTATGTCAAGGAGGTGGGGATTCAGTATAGGAACAGCTTCAGGAGAGGTGAGTGGAAATTCATCTTGGTGGGGAATGCTGGACAACCTACTTCAAATTCTCTAGGGCAGTCTTACCCAACTGGATGCCCTCCAGGTGTTTTGGACTAGAGCTACCAGAATTGCTGACCACTGGGCATGCTAGCTGGTGCTGATGGGACAAGTAGCCCAACGCATCTGGAGGGTGCACAAGGTCGATGAAGGCTGCTCTGGAGGTCCTTCTTAGAATCTTAACGGCAGGCATTTGATCATCTAGACCGACCTCTCTGTTAAAGTATATGTAGCCAAGAATATTTCTGTTATCAGCTATGTTGCACCAAGGCAGGGTGCAGAACCTGTTTCAGGGCAAGGGCTGAATTTCATTTCAGAGAAGCACTCTGGGACTGCATTTCACTGGTGGGATGGCTGAAGGGAAAAGGCTCAGGGCCAACATTACTAACATACTTTAGCTTAAAGCTCTTACTGCCTGCAAGTAAGCCTTAGGAGAGGCATTTCAGCCGTGTAGAATGCAGGAGCAGCACAGTGGAACTGCACAAATGCGGTGGAGTCATCAAACAGTCCTTGACTGGGGGAAAGGGCTGGAAAGTGGGAGGATGTGGCCATGTAGGAAACCCCAGAAGGCAAGACTGGGATTCCAGGATGGGGGTTCCACTAGTGCTAGCTTTGACTTCTTGCCAAACCAATCCCTCCTGGGCCAATTCCTTGTGATTAAGCCCATTTCTTCTCCTGTATGAGGTCTAATCTTAGCAACGCACACAAAATACTCCCTTGAAACAAAGGCTTTTGTGTAGTACTGAAACTCGCAGCCCAAAGCCCATTAGGAAAAGGTCAGGCACCCGACCTCTTGTGTGGACAGGGTATGCTCTAGAATTCAAAAGCACATTCAGTTTGGGATCAAGTTCCACAAAAATGAATGAAAAAAGATGCCCGAGTACATTCACTGAAGCCTGAAGCACAAAACTGAAAACAGTCTCTAAACTACTCTACAGAATTGTCAGAAGGGGTGCAGCAGCTCCCTTAACTAGGTGTGTTGCACAGTCTTGTGCCTGTTACAGGATGGGTTAGTCAGATTGCCATATGCTTCCAAAGCAGAACAAATCGTTTCCCTTTTCTGTATCACACAAAGTGCCATGGTGTTGTTTCCCCTAATTATGTTTCTAATATTCTGCATCACAGAATAAGCACCACAAATAGATGACAATTTTTTAACAGCAGAGGCAAGTAGTTAGTTGCACTCAATCAGTCAGTTTTATTGTTTCTGACAAAAGCCATAACTGCTTTTTTGCTGTCAGAAACAAATGTGATAATCTGTAAACTATATACCAATACTGAGCGATGCAACACACGTGTGTATATAATAAAGCAGATTATCTAGCCTAAAAATGATAATCTAAAAGGCAACATCCAAGTCTGGCAAAGTATATCACCATGGCAACACGCAACATTTGAATTGACACAGTAGCATAGGATTTTTGCAGTGGCCACAGTGAGCTGAACCACTTTTATGAGTGCGATTGCCTTGCACTTGCCATTCAGCAGAAGATCCAGCACATGGCAATTATCCCTGTTAGCAAGCTTATAGACCCCAGGGGTTTGCTAGAAATGTCCAAACAAAAAATAGTAATAAGGCAGGTCTTCCTCCACAAATTTCAAATCTGGCTTTGCAAGCTGCCCAGGTGGATGATGCTTCGGTGAGCATTCAGTGCAGAAGCCGGTTCGTTGTCGTTGCTGTGGTTGTTCTTGTTCATGGCACTTCTCTAACTATGCAGGGCCTGATTCTATGCACGTTCTGAGAGCTATAGTGCCCTTTTCAGCCTAAACAGACATGGGATAGTGCCCAAGCTTCCTGAGGCACTGCTTTCTGCCAAGCTCATGTTTGGTTCTTCAATCTACACATATGTACACAGACACCCTAGTCCTCCTAAGGTACTGTCATTTACATGGTAGTAAACAGTGTTCCCAGATTCACAGTGTTCTTTCTATAAACCAAAACATGCCTGAGACATAGAGTCACTTAAAAATCTCTCGCTATTTGCCCCTGGGGTTCTTTTGGCACCCATATGACGTAAATGTATTGGGGAAAAAAACAACATGTCCCATGCTCTTCTGACATTATTTCAGGTCATCGTAGTCTGTTTTGAGTACCAAGAAGAGGAGCAAGCCCCCTTCTTCACTCAAAACTGGAGGAGCTGAAACCTGGAATCAATAGTTATGCTGATTGTAAGAGGGAATGGACGTTCATAGGGGACAATTGCCTCACCAGAAGCAGTTTTATACACATTACAGAAAAATTGCCCCAAATTCCTATTCCAAAATGTTTTATTCCCAGTTCATGCCAGTTTATGTTGAAGTTTTGCCTATGTGGTGCAAAAAAGGGTTGTTTTTATTGTTTCTATTGGAATATAAGAATAGCAAATGTTTGGAGATTCAGAAATGTTGCTGGGTGCCATATATGCAACGATGGGGGCTTCAAGCATGTTCAAACAAACATCCAGTTCATGTGCTGTGTGCTTTCTGGATCTGGGCCTTTTGGTATTTCAAACATTTCACCATGATGAAAGCGGCAGCAGCAGCAGCAGCAGTGTGGGACATTTGATAGCCCCTAAATTTCTTGGAATTCAGGTTGAAGTCCCAAAAGACTCCACATAGGAAATTTGTTAGTTACTTTTAGGTACTGAATGAAGTTTAAGCAAACAAGTGTAATACCTTTAATAGGCATGTGCGTAGTTCAGAGAAAATATGCAGGCGTTCAAGGTTTCCAAACCTCTTTATTAGACAAGATGTTAAACTAAGCAGGTTGCAGGGTGAATGGGTAGAATAGGAGGAGAAAAGGGGGGCGGAGGACTGGGTCAGGGTCATAAAGTCAAAGTCATAAGGTGGTGGGGGAAAATAAGAGGGTTTGCAACAGGGGGTATGTCATATTCATTGTCGCTTTTATTCTGAGTTTTGGGGTTGGGATTTTTTCTTCGTGTGATTGACTTTGTCTTTTGGGAGGGGGGCCCAATAGAGTCCTTCATATAGAGAACTAGAACTATGCAGACATTCATAGAAGCCAATCAAAAGAGCAAAGTGAATGGAGAAACACCCTGTTTGGTTGCATAAAGTAAACTCTGCTAAATAATATTCTTGGGAGAGGAAATTTTACATTAAAAGCTGCTGTCTGCATGACAGCCACATCAGACTTGTAATCAGCTCATGTTATGGGCAGTAATAGACAAAGAACCCAGCTATAATTCATCTATACCTTTGCAAGCACTGATTTCGAGGACAACCTAAATCATGAATATTCTGTTTAAAGTGCACTTGAAAGTCTATGCCAATAACCACATTTTGAGAAGTTATATTATCTCTTCTCACTGAAAGCATAACTCAGAAATTATGTAGAAGTCTGTGAACTTTGGATAGTAGCTTACACCTGTGCTCAAACCTAAGCAGGGGGTGTTAAAAGGGGGAAAGCACTTTGTGAGAGTCTCTCAGAACAATCTTTTATCCATCACTTTCATTCTGTTCAATGGGGCTCACTTCCAGGTAAGCAGCTATAGAGTGCTGCTTTAAAAACCTCACTAAGGGCTATGTCCAGTTCTTTGCACGTTATGTGTAATTTCTTTGTACACCACAAGTATAGAGCATTAAATGTAACAACAGTGGTGCCTAATATGGAAGTAGCATTCTGTGACATAAAAATAATCCTCCCCAGTGGTTGTCTACCTTCTCTCGGCCCTGGATTTCCCACATTGTGGCCTAGTGCTATGCTACTGGCTCATCAGCTAGTCTAGCTCAGCTGGCTATTTAAAGAGATCAATGTGGTTTCTCAAGAACTCAACCATGCTCCTGGGAGTGAACATGCATCACATGTTCAGCCTCAGGGTTTTGTGGGTTGCTCGCACCATGTTTAATTTGAACTCATGCATTGCTTCTCAACTTGGGGTCCCTTGTTCGGGGGCTGGAGGTTTTGATCGGGTGCTAACTGCAACCCACATTGGCCAAGACCTTCAGGGGACCTTGTGAGGGTTTTCTTAACCGTTGGATGGAATCGTGTTTGGGTGTGAGCTACTTACTATATTAGACTGCATGCAGGAACTTAGCGGCATGGCTTTGTCTGAATAGTAACCAGCTTGATAAGATTTCTCACGTGTCATTAGAAACATAAATTTGTGTCATTTTCAGTAGCCAAGTACTTCACCTGTTAATGGATGTAGCATTGGTTGGATCTAAACAGGAAGCAGAATGATAATACAGCTTGAATCCCTTCTGACTACAGGTGGTGGTACCATTTTTGAACGTTCCATTAAGTTAAACAAACATCCATCTTGCAAGTAGTAAACTAGCACACCAGGGAGAAAGCCTTACTCTTTGTTATGCTGGTTTCTACTTGCAGGAAGGATTAAAACAAACAAGGTAGGGCAGAATTCAAAAACGGTATTTGCTACCTGAAGTGGTACAGTCTTTACCACTTCTTTCTGTAGTGTCTGTAGATCTGACCTCTGTCAAGAGAAAAAGGAGATGTGGGCTTGCTTTTCTTTGAACTTAACTGTCAGAGAGCTAATTTGGGCACCTCATTGGCTGCAATTTCCCATCTGAGAGCCCACGGCAATGTATCTTTGTGGAGGTGCAGTTTTTCTTTTTAAAAAGGAAATTCTCCCCACTAAGGCAGTTGCCAACTGGTCCCCTTCCTCTGTTTCTCTTCCCTGATCAGACTTGCCTGAATGAAACTTTCCCTATCTCTCCAGTCTGCATTCTTCATGCACACTCTGGTGGGAATGAAAGTAAAGGTCACTCAGCCCAGGGAATTCAAATCACACAGCAGGCAGCCTATTTTAGCTGTTGCACCTGCTCACCATACCTTGCGCTTGAAAGAATTCTGAGAGCAGCATCAGAAGGTGACAGAAAAGGTCAACTGGAGGGAGGGGTTCTAATTGGCCATAGGTGGGCTCACTGGTTAATCCCAATTTTCGGGCCTTCCATATACAGGGAGAGAAGAGTCAAGGAAAGGCTGTTTAGTTCTTTGGCATTTCACATTCCCATTTGCCTGCTGTGGCCTTTGGGTCTTCTCTACCTCTTGTCCCTCCTCCAAAAAGTAAAATTAATGCAGAGTTGGGTATATATAGTCCCCCTCTTTATACATGGTAACATATACAAATTAAGTTTTTAGTCTGTGTTTCCTGTTTGACAATAGCTGTTCACCTCAAATGAAAATTTTCTCCATGGTATTTACTCAGAGCAAGATTGCATCATGTCAGGGTTGATGTTCACAGCTGATGTGGTAGGAAGCATGTGGAGAAAACTGTGGTCCTTCCTTCTGGCTAGAGTGGAGTGAAAATATTTGACAGAGACCTTCACTAACTTAAAAGCACCCATGCACACTCTCTTGCTATTTGTGAAGCAAGGAAAGGGTAGGTTTCTTTTTCTAAAAAAAGTGGCTGATCCACTATGTGAGCTCCATCTGGTCTATAAGTTGCCTGAGCAACGTCTGTGGAATTTGTGATGCACAAAACACATCAAAACCCATTAACTGTATATGCTGGTTTGCCAGGAGTTTATCAATCTGTTCCTGAAATTCGAATAGGAGGTATGTCAAGCCCCTGGTAGGCGCCTGTGCATGGCCATGCTTGACTTGATGGGGCACAAGTTGTACAGGCCCAGCCTAAGTGCAAAAATGCACAAGAGCATGAGAAATATAGCACACTCCTCTCTTGCTCGATAGTGAGAATTGAAATATAGAAACATGAACCTGCTCAGCAACTGAGATCAACAGGAAAAGCCCTTTGGAGGAAGCAGCCTTGCTTGCAGAAGCCTGCTTCTTGGGCCTGTAGGAAAAGGCTCCCAAACTCTTTAACACAGTCCATCTAGAATTGCAACTGGTCCCTACTCTCTCTGCATTCAGGAAGGGGTTCAGGGCATAGCTTTCTAACATTGTTTTAAAAACTGTTATGGATGGCTTTTAATGTTTTTAACACTTTTTAATCTTTTATTTGTTTATGAATTGTCCTGACTTGGTTTACTTAAAATGTACTAAGTAAATAATTAATTCATGAATCTGATGTATTCTTGGCATTTCCACCTGGGAAGGAGAACAGTTCCTGAAATGCTTACTGTTTGTGATGTGACAACATAGGAGTCCTACCTTATGGCTGGTCTTGTATCCAGCTCAAGTCTTTTAAGAGATTCAACACTTTCTCATCATTATCTTTTTTAGGGAGATTGTTCCAGACTTGGAGGAATGATAACTTATCTATATTTCCCATTTCGTACTTAAAATACATGAATGACGAGCTGATACCCACTTGGTTTTGGGTCCCCCTGTTCCTTTTTGAACAGGGGGACCCAAAGAACAGGGTCAGACTAATGAGTGCCATGTTGCTGTAGAAAGGAAACCATGGTGGAATCTCTTCACTTGCCTCTTGCCCTTCTTTGCAGGTTCCCGGTGGAAATCAATGTCAAACCAGGAGAAGCAACCCTACTATGAGGAGCAGGCACGGCTCAGCCGCCAGCACTTGGAGAAGTATCCCAATTACAAATACAAGCCCCGCCCCAAGCGCACCTGCATTGTGGAAGGGAAGCGGCTCCGCGTTGGGGAATACAAGGCACTGATGAGGAACCGGCGCCAGGATGCCAGGCAGGTCTACCTGATTACGTCGGGCATCCCTGTCCCCTTCCCCCATTTTCTTCCAAGCTCAGCTCTTTGTACCAGAAGGTTCTGGTTGCTGAAATGCACCTAGTCTGGGAAGACAGCACTGCATGTGCTTTGCAAAAGGGGCCCTTCACCTTAGGAAGAAATGCATTTCTCAACCCATTCAGTGAATCAAGGGTCATGGCCAGCAGCTAATCTTTTCCAGTGCCTCAGCCATCCACTAGAGGGCAGCATTGCTCAACCACCCTGGCCAGTGCACTGTTTTATCTATTTCCATGTGGGGAGGTGGGGTTTGTATTGCTGGAGATAAGGCGGCGGGGGGGGGGGGGCACCAAAGGGAGGAAGCTACACTTCTTACAGTATACTGTCTTTTCTAGGCCCCAGGGCAGCCAGATGCCACCTTCCTCTTCAGATCTCATGTACCAGCGATCAGTTGGGATTCAGCTGGCTCCACCCCTGATGGATCACTACTTGCCCCGTGGCATGGAGCCAAACATGCCAGTCATAGTCAACACACGCAGCCTGAAGCCAGAGGAAGGGGATGGGACTGAGGACAGTCATTCGGTGCCCGACGGGGAAATGTGTCACTACAGCGAAGACGAAGATTCGGGGGGCGAGGAGAAGAGCGATGGTGAACTGGTGGTTCTCACAGACTAAGCCAGTGGTGTGAGGCGAATGCATGTGTGGTAATGGAGGACTCCACCAGCCATTGCCCTCTGTGCCCAAACCATGAGTTGGCTTGGAAGGTGGCAAGGGAGGGTTTCATTCAAGCTGTCTGGCCTGGCCAGGTGGGAGAGCCGTGTAGGCTTTTCTGCAGGGTGCTGGCGGAGGACTGGGAAAGGCAGCAATCAGACTGGGATGGTGGTACCAAGCTGATCTAAGGAGAGGGGCTATAGCTGAGAGGCCGATCACGTGCATTGCATGCAGAAGGTCCTGTGCCGATCCCCAGCATCTTCTGCAGAAAGGATCTTGCCCTGAAAAGCCACTGGCAATCAAATAGGCCTGACTGGCTTTGATGAATCGATGACCCAACTTGGATTAAGGTAGCTTCATGTTTTGTTCTTTAATTTGTTTGGGCATGGAGCAGCCAAAGCGAGTATCTAGCCTGTGTCAGTGTCCATGGTGTTGGCAGGGCTTCTTGCTCATTCATCTTCCCTCGGGAAAGGAAAGGAGGATGCACCGGGGTCAGGTCAGGCTAGATGAGATAACTCAATGAGAATCTTGTACTGCAGCTGGCATTAGAACATTGCTCCCCCTCCCTTCCCTGCTAAAGGACAGAGTTCCTGCAATCACTGGGCTTAGACCCAAAGCTGCTTTGAACTTAAAAAAGGCAGGGGGAAATCTCAAGGGGGGGGGGGGGGGGGGGGGGGGGGGGGGGGGGGGAGAGGGTGAGTTGGAAGGTAGTGCAGTGCGCCAAGCTGTCTTTCTTCCAATTGGCTTGATGCCAAACTTTATGCCAAAGGTGGGCCATGTGTGGGGATGTCACTGGACTGCAGCTCCCATTGGCCCAAGACAGCCTTATGTTATGTTATTCACAAAGTCATGCCCGACCCATTGTGACCCCATGGACAGCACTCCTCCAGGCTCTCCTATCCTCCACCATCCCCCAGAGTCCACCCAAGCCCTCACTGACTGCTCCAGTGACTCCATCCAGCCACCTCATCCTCTGCTGTCCCTTTCTTTTGCCGTCAATCATTCCCAGAATTAGGCTCTTCTCCAGTGAGTCCTTCCTTCTCATTAGGTGGCCAAAGTATTGAGTTTCATCTTCAGGGTCTGGCCTTCTAAAAAGCAGTCAGAGTTGATCTCCTCTAGGACTGACTGGTTTGATCGCCTTGCAGTCCAAGGGACTTGCAGGAGTCTCCTCCAGCACCACAATTCAAAGACTTCAATTCTTCGGCGCTCAGCCGTCCTTATGGTCCAACTTCCACAGCCATACATTGCAACTGGAAAAACCATAGCCTTGACTATACGCACTTTTGTTGGCAGGGTGATGTCTCTGCTTTTTAGTATGCTGTCTAGATTTGCCATAGCTTTCCTCCCCAGGAGCAAGCGTCTTTTAATTTCTTGGCTGCAGTCACCATCTGCAGTGATCTTGGAGCCCAGGAAAATCAAATCTTTCACTACCTCCATTTCTTCCCCATCTATTTGCCAGGAAGTGAGAGGACCCAATGTCATGATCTTAGTTTTCTTAATGTTGGGTTTCAAGCCAACTTTTGTGTTCTCCTCGCTCACCTACATCAAGAGGCTCCTTAGTTCCTCTTCACTTTCTGCCATGAGAGTGGTATCATCTGCATATCTGAGGTTGTTGATATTTCTCCCAGCAATCTTAATTCCAACTGGTGATTCATCTAGCCCCACCTTTCTCATGATGTGCTCTGCGTATGAGTTAAATAGGCAGGGTGACAGTATACAGCCTTGCCGAACTCCTTTCTCAATTTTGAACCAACCAGTGGTTCCATGTCCAGTTCTCACTGTTGCTTCTTGACCTGCATACAGGTTTCTCAAGAGACAAATAAGATGGTCTGGTACTCCCATCTCTTTAAGAACTTGCCACAATTTGTTGTGATCCAACAATCAAAGGATTTAGCATAGTCAATGAAGCAGAAGTAGATGTTTTTCTGGAACTCCCTAGCTTTCTCCATGATCCAGCGTATGTTGGCAATTTGATCTCTAGTTCCTCTCCCTGTCTGAAACTGCCTGTACTTCTGGTAGTTCTTGGTCCACATACTGCTGGAGCCTAGCTTGTAGGATTTTGAGCATAACTTTGCTAGCATGTGAAATGAGTGCAATGGTGCAGTAGTTTGAACATTCTTTGGCATTGCCCTTCTTTGGAATTGGAATGTAAACTGACCTTTTCCAATCCTGTGGCCACTGTTGAGTTTTCCAAATTTGCTGACATATTGAGTGTAGCACTTTTACTGCATCGTCTTTTAGGATTTTGAATAGCTCAGCTGGAATACTATCTCCTCCACTAGCTTTGTTGTTGCTAAGACTTCCTAAGACCCTTTTGATTTCACATTCCAGGATACCTGGTTCAAGGTCAGCGACCACCCTCATCATGGTTATCAGGAACATTAAGCTTTTTCTTGTATAGTTCTTCTGTATAATCTTGCCACCTCTTCTTAATCTCCTCTGCCTCTGTTAGGTCCCTGCCATTTTGGTCCTTTATTGTGCCCATCTTTGCATGAAATGTTCCTTTCATATCTCCAATTTTCTTGAAGAGATCTCTGGTCCTCCCTATTCTATTGTTTTCTTCTATTTCTTTGCACTGTTCATTTAAGAAGGCATTCTTATCTCTTCTAGCTATTCTCTGGAATTCTGCATTCAATTGGGTGTGCCTTTCTCTTTTCCCCTTGCCTTTCCCTTCCCTTCTTTCCTCAGCTATTTGTAAAGCTTCCTCAGACAATCATTTTACTTCTTTGCATTTCTTTTTCTTTGGGATGGTTTTAGATGCTACCTCTTGTACAATGTTGCGAACCTCCGTCCATAGTTCTTCAGGCACTCTATCAGATCTAATTCCTTAAATCTTATTTGTCACCTCTACTGTATATTCATAAGGAATATGATTGAGGTCATACCTGAGTGGCCTAGTGCTTTTCCCTACTTTCTTCAATTTAAGCCTAAATTTTGCAACAAGAAGCTCATGATCTGAGCCACAGTCAGCTCCTGGTCTAGTTTTTACTGACTGTATAGAGCTTCTCCATTTTTGGCTGCAGAGCACATGGTCAACGCCGAAATCAGATTGACTGTCTGGTGATGTCCATGTGTAGAGTCGTCTTCTGGGTTGTTGGAAAAGAGTGTTTGCTATGACCAGCGTGTTCTCTTGACAAAATTCTGCCTGCCTGTCCCCTGCTTCATTTTGTACTCCAAGGCCAAACTTGTCTGTTATTCCAGTTATCTTTTGGCTTCCTACTTTAGCATTCAAATCCCCCATGATGATAAGGACATCATCTTTTGGTGTTAATTCTAGAAGGTGTTGTAGGCCTTCATAGAACCGGTCAACTTCAGCCTCTTCAGCACCAGTGGTTGGGGCATAGACTTGGACTATTGTGATGTTGAATGGTTTGCCTTGGATTCGAACTGAGATCATTCTGTCATTTTGGAGATTGTATTCCAGTACTGCTTTTCCTACTCTTTTATTGACTATGAAGGCTACTCCATTTCTTCTGAGGGATTCTTGCCTGCAGTAGTATACCTGATGGTCATCTGAATTAAATTCACCCACTCCTGTCCATTTTAGTTCACTGATTCTCAAGATGTCAATGTTCAGTCTTGTCATCTCATGTTTGACCACATCCAGCTTGCCTTGATTCATGGATCTCCCATTCCAGGTTCCTATGGCGTATAGATCTTTGCAGCATCAGACTTTCCTTTCAACACCAGATACATCTGCAACTGAAAGTCCTTTTGGCTTTGACCCAGTCGCTTCATTCTTTCTGGCGCTACTAGTACTATGATGTCCTCTGCTCTTCCCCAGTAGCACATTGGACACCTTCCGACCTGAGGGGCTCATCTTCCGGCATCGTATCGCTTTGCCTTTTGGTACTGTCCATGGGATTTTCATGGCAAGTGGGTTGCCATTTCCTTCTCCCTTTGTCAGAGCTCTCTGCTATGACCTGACTGTCTTGGGTGCCCTTGCACAGCAGAGTTCGTAGCTTCATTGTGCTACACATGCCCCTTCACCACTGCAAGGTAGTGATCCATAAAGAGGCGAGCCAGCCTACCCAATGGTAAAAGATCATAGGAACAGAATTTTGACAGCATGTGGAGGGCCATGTTTTTGGGAGTGACAGGAGGACTGGTGAAGGATCACTCTTCCATCTCAATGTGTGTTTGTCTTCCGTGCAGCATTGAGTTGTGCTGGAGATAAGCAGGGAGTGTTTAGGGGCTGGATGGCCATTGTGTCTATAGCTTAGGCATGCTCTCCCTCTCCCGGGCTCTTTCTCCTGAAAGCTGCTGTAGAGCCAGCAGAACAGAGGCCTCAACTGTTTACAAGCTTATGCTAGCCATGGAGTTGCCACCCTTCAGCTGAGCTCTCCTTCTTCATGTTGCGAACACGCAGTGTCAGGTGGAATACTTGTTTCTGCTTTGTTCAGATGTCAGCCAATTCTGCCTCTTCTCCTGGACCCAGCTTCACTTTGTCCTGTGTTTGTTTCTTTCTACTCCTACTGGCCCCTGCCAGTAAATTCCCATGGAGCCATTTTTAGCTCTGGACTTGAATGAATAACAACCGAGGTCTCGGAGGGGCCCTCTTTACTCTTGGCAGTCCTGGCCCAGCTTGTAAATTAAACCACTGCCGGTTTCCCTCCTGCATGTTTGCTTGCCAACTCTTAGTATACATAACAGGAGAGGATGCCCTACAACAGCGATGGGAGCAGCAGCAGAAACCTAGCCACATTTTTCAAGCACAGAGCAAACAGCCTCCAGGGCATCTGCATGAGATGATGAGAATTCTGCTGGACTGAGACTCTTGCACCGTAACCCTATGCAAGTTTAGCCAAAAAGGGTACTGCAATTCCTGGCATGGCCCAGCCAGCATAGCTTCCATCCAGCACACCTGTGTGCTGTATGGGAGACAAATATGCATGCTGGGAGGTGTCAGCCTTTCCTTCTGTCTAAACACGTATAGGATTGTATCTTTAATGCATGATTCTGGATACATCACACTGCTTATGTAAACCTGTCGTAAGAGCCTCAGCGGATGTCTTTGAAAATTCACCTGCCCCAATCCCTGTCCAGCAACAGGTGACATAGTAGGAGCAGAAGTTGTCACTTGCTTTTCATACACATTCTCCCAAATCTGAGTGTGTGATGTATGCAGGTAATTCCTCCTGCATCCCACCTATGCCCACTCCCTCTTTTTGTGGGATTAACAAAAAATGCATGTCCCTGGTGCTATTTCAAATTAACTAGACCAAGCATACAGAATCCCAAGCCTGTGATCCTAGTTTGGCTGTCTGTGGGTCCTAATCCAATCCTCTGTCATTCCCTAAAAGGCCATGCTACCTTCCCTGGGCTCTACCTCTTTCCCCAGACACACATCAGTTGGTGATTTCCCAGCTTTGGTGCAGCTTTACCCTTCATTCTGAAAAAACTACACAGCTGTCTTAAGGTTTGGCGACTGATAGTAAGCGCTTTATGCTAAAATAGACTAGTATTTTTGACTCAGCCACTTTTGCATCTGGCCCACCACTGGAATGTGGCCCCTGAACAATTTTCCAAAATGGAATTGAGTCCTTGGGCTGAGGTGGCTAGTATACAATCGCAAACAGGCCCAATAATGTGGAGAGCTTTTGCTCTCTGCTGGCAGAATATGGAATGGCATCCAAAAGCCAAATTGGTAGAGCTAGAGCAGGGGTCTCAAACTCGCGGCCCGCGGGCCAGTTGCCGGGACAGGCGGGGCACGGGGGAGGGGCCCTGCGGCCTTCAAAGCGCCGGCGGCGCCCGGGCCAGACACGGGATGAGCGGCCCACCACCACCACCGCGGTGGTGGAATACTTGATGTGGCCCAGCCTCAGCCAGACTCTACTTCCAGCGGCCCCCAGGTAAGTTGAGTTTGAGACCCCTGAGCTAGAGGATTAACCTTTTCCATCCACTGTGATCTTGTGATACTCCAGTGGACAATTAAGGTGGCAAGGGGGGTTCTGGGTAAGCTCCTGTGAAGAAGAAGAAATAGAAGGAGGTTTGAGTGGAGAATGGACTCCTAATGGTGGCTTCTCATTCCAGACTTGCCACCAAATTTCAATAGGAGCAATAAAGCCTTTTCAAGAAAACCCAAGATCATATGAAAAGCCATTGTAAAGAATTCTTTGCTTGAAAAAATTAAGAATCCTATTTAGAAATCAGGCTTTATTTTCCTATGACCCAATCCGGGGAACCATCGCAGGCAAAGTGACATTTGCAACTGATGATGTGGGGTCCAGTTCACAAAAATGTGTTTCGCCATGAATACACTGAGGCACATTCAGACAAGGCTTTTAATGCCATTTTTATGCCTTATTCACACGTTTACAGGGGTTCCTGAAGATATCACCCAGCTGTAAACCTCCCATAGTTCCCCCATAGCTGCTTCTGCTATTTTTCATTTTTGTGAAAAATATAAAGCAATGAAAGAGCAGAGGCTAATAGCACAATCCCATTACAGGTGTCGATAAGGAAACGTGCAGTGGGAGTTGTCGTCCCAGGAGAAGGTGCAGGATTTCTGTTTCCCTTCGAGCTGACTCTGCATTTCCTGTTTCAGGGAGAAGCATGTTGACAAGCTTTCCAGCTGCGTTCTGAAACAGATTGGGTCAATCTTGAGAGTGCATACAACCTAGTGCAGCCTTCCCTACCTTGCTTTCCTTCAGGGATGCCATACTAGAAAGGAGTTCCTCCAGCATGTGAATGATAGGTGATGTAGTCTTAACAGAGTTGCAGGGCAAGTTGGTGATGGCGAGTCTAGTGTTACTAGGGGTGATTAGATTTAGTTGTCCCTGGGTAGAGGCGAGCATTTCCCGAGGCTGCTCTGTTCCTATTTGAAGGAGATGAAGTTCCTGTCAAGCTTCTGAACCCGTGTGTCCTCTAAGCCTGCTATGACAACCTTTCAATCATCTTGCCAGCATTCATAGGATGTGTTGGCTGCTTTTGCTCCACTGACTGGCTTAGATAAGCTTGCACTGCTCCAGTTATTTATTCACCCCAGCTCCCATTTATGTTAAGACAGCTTTGCAAGAGCAAAGCTGGGCATATAACAGGCTCATGCAGGGAAAATGAGCTGTTGCATTTCTTGGGCAGAAAGATCTTGGGAATGGGCTTTACCCCTTCCTGTTTTTACAGACTTGTCCATTCCCCCAACCTTTCTTGGTGTGCTCCAGCAACTGGCTGCTGTTTTCTTGTTTTGGGTTTGTTTTTTCAAATATTTGTACATATAGATAGAGCTTTATTTTGTTAATAAGACTAGTAATTTAACCTGTATATTTCAACATACTTGTTTATAATGAATTTTCTTTTTTCTTGGTATAATAAAGACAATGTTTTGGAGCAGACATCTGTGTCCTTTTTAGTGTTGTGCAACTTGACTGACATCCTAGCACAGCCTTCCCCCAACACGCTGGCCTTCAGAGACATTTGGATCACAACTCCCAGAATTCCCACCTAGGACCATTGACTGGGATTTCTGGGTGACACAGTTCAAATGTGTCTGGAAGGCAGAAGCTTGGGGAAGACTGTCCTAAGACCTTGTCCCTGTTTGAATGTGCATATGCCTCCAGAGACAAGATACGTGTCCTGAGTGTTCTCAAAACTCAAGGATGTACACTGGACAAAACTGAAAATAGAGCTGATTAGGAGGCTATAGGTGTGAGTTATGCAGCCTGATCCCTGTGTGTGTTTACTTGTGATTGTTTACTTACAGTACTGTGAGAGTGTGAGAAAGCAGGGGAGAAGGCTAGAAAATGAACAAAATCTGGTGCTGGGTGGCTCCAATGACAGTTCCACTGTGTTCAGTGGGCTTATTCTTTAGTAAGTGTGGGAATTTACTGGTCTTTTAGCACTACTAGTTAGAAGGCATTTTACAATTAAGTGTCGTGCCCCCCCCCCACTCCATAAATAATGTCTTGCAGCAAGAAGGTGGAAGCAGCCAGCAGAAAAGGCAGGTGGACTATAAGTGAAAGATGACATCTTCTAGATGCTTTGCAAAATTCTGTAACTGAGGCTGAGGAATGATGCAATAAAAGCCTAGCGTGGAACACCAAGTTTAGGATTGAAGCTTTTCATGAGATCACACATACACACAACTGATGCCCTGACTAATTATCCATGCTCAGTTATTTTCCGCTTAAAAAAAAAATCTCATACTCACCCTTGCTACATGCACCAACATGTGGATGAAAAAAGCACATGTCTAAGGATGTTCCTTTTGAATTGAAGTGGCTCACATCAAACAGGTTCTTAAAAACCAGAACACCTTCAGAAGCAAATATGGTCTGGGTATACACACCATGAGTAGCAATATTCTTTAAAGTGCATTCAGATAGTGGAAGGCGGGTGGGGAACATTGGCTTTCTCCAGCCTTCATCTCTATGTGAGGAAGTTAAGTTTCCAGACTCCTGCTTCCCATATAGTGGAAATCTCTCTTATAGTTTAGCTAAATCCTTAAACTGGGGAGGGATAGATCTCACTTCATTTTCTAGTGGACACAACAGCCTGGTTTAATCATCTAAATTACATTTTATCTCACTTTGAAATAATCCTTCCCCCTGCCCTCTCCCCACTTCAGATAATTAAGGGTTTGGTTGTTTGTTTTTTAAACCTTACACCAATGGTCAATTTGAAGGAATAGATGGGATGCTTTCAGTATGCGGTTTTGGACTCCTGAGAACCTACCTGCCTTGGTTCCACCTGGACGGGTACATCTAGCAATAGTATTTTCTTTGTAACAGTAAAGGCCAGAGATAGTGTTTCAGTGGCAATTCCCTTGCCAGTCAAAAATCACAACCCATCAAAAAAAAAATGTGGCTAGGAACCTTAAGCATTAACAACTCAAAGCTATGTGAATACGCTGGCAATTCTTCAAATACTAACATACCAGGGAAAGTTGGCTTTGTTCTCCTCCATCATTAGTGCATAGCTCCTAATAAGAATGTCTGTACAAGTTCAGAGTGGGAACACACCACACAGTGTTGATGTAATGGAATTGTTTTCTGACTGCTTTCAAGGATAGCAACCTGCTGTTGGAAATGACCTTGGGCAGGTGAATGACTCTTGCAATTTGTCAGGGGGCTGAGGGGGTGTTGAGGATTCCCATGGTCTTCTCTTGGTCAGGGACCCATGCATGTTGGCTTGTTTCCAAGGGGACAGGATAAGGGTTGTTTTCTGCTCTCCTCTCCCAGAACTAGCCAAAGAATGAGGAAATATTCTATTCTGAAGCAGCATGAAGGCCATGGAATGGCCGTCTAAGTCGTAGTGGTAATTTTGGTGAGACACAAATAATGGGCATTATTATTTTCAGAATGTAGCATTTGTCTTAAGGAACCTTGTAGCACTGCATTAGATCCAGACGTACTCATGCTTAGACTAAACCCATTGAAACTAATGAGGTAAATAAATCATTACTAATGTGAGTCCTCAAGCAGAGTGGGGCTGTTTTGGCCAGGACATCTTGAAGGGCTTTCATGCATGGAGTTGCCATTAGTTGGAGAAGAATCGGTGGTGCATAACAACAAATTTAGTCCCATTTACATTTAAGAATACAAGCAGGAGAGTACCATTATGCTCATATACTGCTTACGGGATTCCCAAGGGCATCTAGCTAGCCATTGTGTTAACAACAGGACTTTGGAATGACCCGATTTGGCTCTTCATGTGTCCCTCACTTTAAGCCACTGTTTGGAATGCATTACTTCTCTATCAAAAGGAAGCATATTCAGGCTCTTAATTATTTGCTTTTTGCTCAACAGAAACACAAGAGACATGGTTTTATTATTTGTATCCTATCAGAGAAGCTTCTCCTTTCTCTGTTTCATAGGTAAAATTGGACAAACTGTTTGTTGTTATTCTTGGAAACAAGAACAAACTAATGCCTATCAGTCTTGCGGTGAAACACATGACATGTAAAAATACCAGACGGCTTAGGAAAAAAGCATCTCCCCTCCAGTTTTTAATTTCATCACGCTGGCTTTATAGATAAAAAGAGACACACTGTGTTTTAAAAGGTTCCTTTCTTCCCTTTTTTTCAGGGAATAAATGCCACTGATTTTCACTTTCTCCTGTGAGAATACACAATTGATTTGATATTGTCAGCATCTACGACATCATACAGAGAAATATTGTATTTTCATATACACAGAACTGAATACATAGGCTGCTAATGAGAAAAGTGGTTATGCCACATCTCAAAAGGTCATGCCGACATCAGCACCTCACAGGAAAGTGTGTCACGACAAGCGGAACTGGCCTCGGTTATGGGTGAACAGCACAGTTAATCACATTGACTCAGAAGTAAGCCCCACTGAGCTCAATGGAACTTCCTCCCAGTAAAGTGAATATTGGACTTCAGGTAAAGAGATGCAATTCTAATCCTCAGGAAATTACCTTTTCCCAGTTCATTGACTGATGGCTTTCAGCTGGACCAGGAAAGTGCTGCTCATTTGCTGACCGCTTCTTTGTTGGCATGTCCTCATTTAGCCCTGTTACTTCGAGCCACTTGGCTGTTTTACCCTAAAAACAACCTCAACTAAACAAAAACAAAAAAAATCACACACACACAAACAATAGCTCTGAAGAGCTCCAGAGTTTTAAAGGAGTCATATTTCAAGGAGTCCTTTCTACATTACACAATTACACACTAAGGCTTATCTCTCAAGTACATAGTACAGTAATACACATGGACACCTACACATCAGTCTTCATTTTTGTGTTCAGATGCCGGCTGTGGCACAATTTTTTCCAGGATTCTACAGAACTGTCCAGAGGCATTAAAATCAAACAGCAGGCATGAAAGGACATACACAAAAACACGAGTCAGCATGGTGTGCGGGGTGTTGCTGTCTTTGGCCCCTGTGGGGCAAGCCCAGTGTCTGTCTTCATTGCTCTTTGTCTAAAGTGGCTTTGCCCACCCTGGTGTCCTCCAGCTATGCTGAACCGCACGGCCATTGCTGGCTGGGAATTATGGGAGCTGCATCCCAACAGAGCTGGAGGGTGCTAGCTTGGGAAAAACCAGTTTAAAGGATGTTCACAAAATTATCCATGAAAACAATCACACAGCACATTACTTTTTTAGGCAAAAGGGTACCAATGGAAAAAAAAAAAAAACTTCAGTGGTTTGTTTATACTGTAAAATTGCTCTGGCAAGGGGGCACTTGATGATGTTGCGGATGCTTAGCCAATCAGTGCTCTGCACATCCCCTTCAGGTTCCAACGGAGGGATCCATTTCCCCTACATTTGATCCACGAGAGAAGACGACATGCAGCACAGCATGGTAAGTGCACGTTCCACAGGTGAGCGGCTGCTGCGTTCACACCGTCTAAACGAACGGCATGCCAAAAATTTCTTCCACACTTTTTTTTTTATCAGTCTCTCTCAATCTGATAGCAAAGAAATGGCTTTTGAATAGAAATTCAAAGGAGAAGAACATTTCAGAGAAAAGGTCATGGGCTGGCTTGAGGGTTCTTCTGCTTATCTTACATATAAGGTGGTCAAGGAGTGTGTATCAGAATCCTGTCTCTCTGCTGGTCTGTAGCCTCCTCAGCAAAAGCCCAGGGAAGGCAGCAAGCCGAAATTCCTCCCACAAGGCTTTTTCAGAGCAGATTTTCCGTTCAGGAAGTGCAGGCAGCCTCAGAGGATGCAAAGTGATGGGACGCATAACAGCAAATACACACATTCACACACACAGCATAGAGGGCTGTGTCCCTTCTCTGCAGCTGGGCAAAGCATTGCCCCTCTAATCCCTGATGCGGGATGTCCAGGGAAATGCCACTATAATAAGCAGGTGCGTAACAAACAAAATGCATCCACAATTATCCCTCAGATACTTGGAATGACTAGAGCTGCGTAGCCACCTCTCTGCAATGCCCCCAGAATGATGCAGAATGATACATGGAATTTAATCCTCTGAAGATATGCACTGAGCTGGTTTTTGAAACTACTAGGTAGGCTTTGGCAGCATGAGTGTGCTGCAGGGGAAGCAGTTGGGGAAAATGATACTCCCTGCTTTTGAAGCACTGCTTTTTCCTAATAGGTTGCACAGAGAAGGCCCAACGTACTTTCACAAGACCTGCTCAGTCATTTCATGAAGTCAAGAATTCTTCCTTCCCCATGCGGAGGTTTTGCCTAAAGTTGCAGTCATCCCTGCGACCATTTGTCTGAGAACAGGACATCATCGAAGACAGATTCATAGAACTTGCCTCTGAGCAGAATTATGATTGCCAGAATTGCTGATCATGCATCTGATCTGATCATGGGCAAGATCCTGGAAGTTTCTTCTTCACCCAGCACATTGCGTTCATGTGCATGAGCCATTCCCACTTTTGCATAAAATGAGCAGGCCTTTTGTTGCTGTATTTTCTTGCCACCTTCACAAGATCATATTCTGCATCTATTGTGGGGCAAGGGGGGCATTTCTAAACGAGAACCTCCGTGCAGACCACAACAGGTATTTTGGGAGCCATCAACTTGCTTCCATAGGCCAAATGTAATCCCATTTCTTTTGCACTAAGGGCGGATTTTTAAGTAGCTCAGGCCCCTCCATAGAGTAGAGCAGCAAATCCTAGCACTATCATCAGTCTCTGCTTTTCTTCCCATCCTTCTGCTTGCATGACTAAAGGGGACTGCTCCCTATTTGGACAGAGGCGATTTCTACGGGGTACTTAATGGCCTTTCTTAACAACTATTATATACCAGTTTATACCAGGACAGGCAAACCACAGGAAATCAGATCCTGGGAGCTGCAGCCTGTAGGTAGGAAGTTAATTATAAGAGCACAGCAATTAAAAGACTGCAGGAGGCTTACTGTTTCTATCTTTGCTCCAAAATACATATTCAGTGAAAATTTGATCATAGGGGATATTTAAGTCCTCAACTAAGCAGTGGAGACATCATAACAAAGGGAAAGATGATGTTTTCTTGACTGTATTAACGGTTCACTACACAAAATAAAAGCCCATCAGGGAAAAATAAACGCAAGTAGTAAAATGGTACTCGGTACATGCATCTAAAGACTGGCTGGATGCTAGAATCCGGATTCCCAGGCATTTTTCTCTCCCAATCACTTTTCTCCTTCTTTGGGGAAAAAGCAGGACCTGAATTTGTGATATATCGTGTTCTCCTTACTCAAACTAGAGAACCCACGGGAGGCGTGTGTAGGTTTGGCCCTCTTGCCAGAGGAACCCAACCGGCCTTCTTGGGAGGGAAAGCACCATGTTCAGCTGTTCACAGTTCATAAGGAATGTTTCAAGTTGGTTCCAGTTGATCACTATCTAGGGATAATATAAAGTCTATTTACATACACAATAAGGCTAGTTGCTGAGAGGGCTGCAGAGGGGACCGGGAGCTCAGAAGCTTCTTCATGCTACTGTACACTACAGTGCCAGCACTGCCGTTGAATCCATCTCCTCTTCTCTGTGCTGCTAAAATGACAGGTAGCCATTCCTGGGTCAAAAATTCCATTGTGAAGCTACTGGTGCAATTCTCCTCCACTATATTGAAACGAATTTCATCTTGCTTGTTATTCATGTAAACATGTTAGAAAAAAGCACAATCCAATTTCATGTAGGGATATGCATTCTCACATTCTAGAACTACTAAATGACACAAACTGAAGATACCAATTCCAAGTGGCAAAGTGATCATTTTCGGGGCCTAAAGAAACAATGGGTGGGGGTGGGGGTGGGGGGGATGACAGACAGCTGAACTTGCCCCATGCATGGCTACCCTGAAGACAGGGCATCAGGTAAACTTGGTATATCCATGCCAATGTACTAAAGACATACCTGCTATGCATTTCCCTGCCTTATCAGGTTTTAGGCAGCAATGTCTGTCCTCTTCAAAGCTGCACAGCTTAAACTATATGCACACAGTTCTAATGGCAGCCGCCCTGTGCCACTTCTCAAGCGGTCATGCTACAAATGCTGAAAGCACCAATAACCTGTAGAAAAACGTCCAGGGCAGACACCTCCTGCTGCATTACCTCACAATTTGACTAAGCACTAAGTAATTCTTTATACATTTGGGTGCTTTTTCACTTTTTATATCATCCGTACCAAAGATCACTGATGGGCAAGACAACATTGTTCCAGATTCTCTGTTTGAATTGCTCGAAAGAAGCAGTCATGGGGAGAATCCTGCCTCTAAGTGTGGGCAGAGGACTAGATCTAAGAGGAACTCAAGCTCCTCTTAGTTCCTATCAGTCTGGTAAAGAGATGCAAGCACTCCTCAATTTAACTCAGGATCAAAAGAAGAGAATTCCATGGATTGTGACAAAAAACGAACACTCTGTACTTGTCAGACTTTTCTCCCAACCAAGGAACAAAGTGTTCCATCCAACGCTGACCTTCAAGGCTGCATAAATTTCAAAGCCAGCCCCTCCCCAACACTCTTTGTCTCTCACACTTTAAACCTCGAAGCATTCCTTAATACCCCAGACTCTGTGAATGGAATCTTTTGTCAGCAGCCATGTCCTAATATCACCTTCTGGAAGCAACATGTGGCAGATAATCCATGGATGGCACAGCCATGTCCCAGGGGCCTGGTTTAATTTTTTTGGCTTCATAGGAGGCGCACTTTCCTTTTCCATCCGTTTCATGATGTCTGACCGCTCAGCAGCTGCAGGAGGACAGGGTGGCAGGTGCTCTACACCAGAGAAAATAAGTATGGAATCTTGAGGACCAGAAGACTCTTTGGACTTTAACCTCACTTTGACATTTTGAGGGATGTCACCACGGGTTTTGTTTTAAAGTACTGTTTAAATCTTATGTCTGCGTACCTGCACAGCAACAGAGAAAGAGAGACAGACAGGCATTTCGTATATCTAGTTCTTCCACAGAATATCTTACACACAGCAGTTTAGCTTATATAGGTGACGCCCTGCAAAATGTAGAGGTATGCATCTTGTTTGTGTGTGCCTGTATTTCTATACCATATGCATCCACTTACTGCATCCTCACACATGATGCATATAGCCATTTACACTTCGCATTCTTTTTCTCACACATCCATTTCAGCCCCCCGATTACACTCATACACATGCCCCTCCAAACCTCTACTCACACACAACAAAGCTTGAGTAACTTGTGCCCTTGTAGCTGTTTTGGCCTACCGATTCTCATCACCCCTCTTCATTGTACGTTGGCTAGGACTGATAAAATCACAAGTTGCCCACCTTGAGGTAGAGTATCACACTGGGCTGGTGGAGACCTACATTCAAATACTGACTTAGCTCACTCATGGCCTTGTTCAGCTGCCCTCTCCCAGCCTATACAACCTCAAAGAATTGCAAGGCCCACAGATGACTGCTGTCCTCATTTTACAGAGAACTAATTTTGGCTGAGATTGAAAGGCAGATTTTTCAGTGGCACAAAGTATTTGACACAAATGCCTGATTGCCATTAACAGTCTAAAGTTCTGAGTGATGCTTACTGTTTAGAATGAAAGCTTCTAAGGCTCAGGCCCAGCTAGAAGTTAGGCTGTATCGCTAGAGGAACTGACAACAGTATGGCTACCAAGGCCCTAAAGTGACCTTGTTTCTAAGAAAAAAATTAATGCCACTTTCAGAAAAGTGAAAGCCTCTGTGTGTCTACTCAGAAGGCAATCCCAATGCATTCAGCTGAACCTGCTGCCAGCTAAGCCTGTATAGGGTTGTTGATTTAAGATTTTATCCTGATAGCAGGCCCACAAATCAAAATGATAGAAAGGATGTCTGGCCTTCCACTTCAGAATCTGTGTGCTAGAAAGAAGCAACGCTCACAGGTTTCTCTCCCTCAGCCTTAACCTTCCTTTGCTGATGCATAAAGATGCACTCACCTGGCAAAATTAAAGTCTATGGTAGAGAACTGGGCTTGAATGAGGCCCCAGCAAGCCCACAGGAAATGAGAGGCCTAGGGACACAAAATAAAACAAACTATCAAGGACACATATGTGCACTATGTGAGCAAGAACTGAGTGAAAATTCAGGTGAAGACAGACAACTTAAGATCAGTGGAGCGAAAATGCTCTCACTGCATTCAATGAATGCATATATTTCTCCCGTCCTAAACTGACCTCTGGAAATATGATTCTGGGAGTAGAAAACATGGTTTAGTTTAAACCAGGGAGAATCCTACGCCTTTGGCTTTGGCTGTGCTAACCCAGTCTCCCCCTGCAGTCACTGAGCTATTCTGAAGGTATTTTAAAGGGTTTGCATTTTTTAAAAATGATATGAAGTTGACCATAAATATACAAATTTTAACTGGCTTATTTTCGAAACAGGCCACCCACATGAAGCATGAGAACATGAGGGGAGAAACAAAGGGTGCATTTGGCAATTTAGCTCAGGACCCAGCAGGCCCTAACCGCCACTAGTTCCTTCTCCCTCCTGAGGCCACAACATGTTGTCTGAGACTTCTCTGTTGTGTGAAATGTAGAGAAACAGTCTTCACTATTACTGGACATAGTATGGTATGTGGCTAGATTGACTGTATGTGCTATGTGTGCATAAGGGGCAGATGCAGTTAGAGTCGCCGAGGCAGAACAAGATGTCCAGGGCCTTGTGCAGTAGCGAGTGTGTCCAGTCACATTTTGGAATAAGTGAAGCCATACACATGAGCGTCTAACCCCCCACCCCCAATGAGACCATTGCCACTAACATGTATTACCATCTCAAGATGCAATCCATGCTAGACAGGGGCATGCAAACTGTCCGACCATTTGGGGGTTGAGGTGCCATAGTAGGGTCTGGGAGAGAGCAAGGTACCCTTGGTGCACCTTGAACCTAAAATTATCTGACCGCAGCACCGAACAAAACTGATAGAGAAAGAAGAAAGCAGAAATCTGTGAGTAAGGGGAAAATGTGATAAAGTAACTGGAGTTACACCGAGACCAGTATTAATGAAAAGAGATAGAAAGGAGAGCTACAGGTTGCAAAGAGGAGAAGGAAGTGATGGAGCTGTAGGTGAGTAAATAATAACAACAAAATGTTCTTGCCAAGAAGGCCAGCCTGGTACCCACATTCTTTTCAGAGTCAGAAGGAGGCATTTCTTTTCTGCCTGGTATTTCCGTTTTTATTGTTTAGATTTGCCCATGCAGTGTTGGAATGGCTACTTCTGTCTAGTTTTTACTGTTATTTCCTGTGGTGCTTATTATCATTTTAATTATGTAGCATTTTAACTCTTTTCTCATGTAATGTGTCCAGAAAACCTTTTGTTACTGGGTAGACTAAAAACAATTAAGAGAAGAGAAACAAGGATGAGGTGTAGGGAGAGAGAGGGAAAGATGAAAGCGAGTAAAAAGTAAGGACACTGAATTGAGAGAGATGTTCAGAAAGGTCTGTGACATGCAGAAAGAAATTATGGAGTTCGGCTAGCAAAAAGGGAATGAAGGGAAAATGCAATTAAAAAGCAAACACAATTAGAATGGTAAGCAAAACAAAAAGGAGAAAAAAAAATTTCTCTGGTGGATACAGTAATGTGGTCCTCTTGAGTCAGTAAGACAGAAAACTAGCCCTTAGAGCGATGCAAGTTGCCCACCCATCGCCTCCAGCAGGGACCACATATCTTCCTTTTTAGTGGGCCTTTCTTCCCAATGCACATACTCACTAAAGCAAACTGGTTCACTTGTCCATAGAGGCTCTCCAGTTCTTCTTCAGTCACACCTCCACTCCATCCTCTGCTTTTGCTTCCTCCACCTCCTCCCTGGTCTTCCTGGCTTAGCTTCTTGTAGGCCTGCAGGTAATATCTCAGCCACTGCAGCTGGACCTCCTTGCAGGGATACAGGCTGTAATCCACCTCATTCAGCCCTGGGAACAGAAGTTGGCAATGGATAAAATATGAGATGGGATGGGCAGCTTGTGCCAAGACAGGATGGGATCTCAGGCACAGCAAAACTACTGGAAGGCCTTGTCTTGATGTTAAGTATTAGGACAGCTGAACTCTTCCTGCTACTTTTGTGGACCCATGCCCTGCAAAAGAGACTGTGTTTTTGTTGCCTTTTTCATAGCGAAGAAATGGAAGGGTAGACAGGGGTTCCCTTGACCATGCAAATGCAAGAAGTGACGAAACCATCTTTCTTCTTCCCTCCCGCCCTCCCCCCCCGTCCCCCCCCCTCCTCTCTCTCTCTCTCTCTCTCTCTCTCTCTCGCTCGCTCTCTCTCTCTCTCTCTCTCTCGCTCTCTCTCTCTCTCTCTCTCTCACACACACACACACACACACACACACTGGCTTGGATGCTGTCACAGCACTGTGGCTCCTCATGTAGCGTTTTAGCCCAGGAACACTTCCTGGAATGCCCAGGAGAACACATGACATTGTATAGTCTCCTGAGCATTCAGGAACTGCAAGCCAGAATGGGCTTTTAGACCTTTAGGAAAGCTCTTTTTTAATTTTCCAGCTTCCCCTCCCTAATCTATAAAAGCCCCCTTCTTGCCTAGAGCAGGTTGAGACTCAGAACAGAGAATTTCAGCCATCAGCAGTTCCTAAATACTCTGGAGACATCGGGTGTTCTCCTAGGTCATTCCAGGAAGGGTTGCTGGCTAAAAGCCTCTGTGTGAGGAGTCCAGTCCTATGACATTTTGGGAATGGGAAAAAAAACCCCTGGCCACCTTTTACAATTAGGTAATGGGAACCTTGCATTCTCACTCCCCATTATAATGCTTGACAAAAGTCTTCCCCTCCCCAGCCTTTTTCTTTGGTGTCTTAATTTTGCCTGCACCCACCACAAACTGCTGAAAACGGAAGCCTCAGGGCATTTTGCACAGCACCAGTTTCGAGGTGTGCTTGCTGTGCGAGGCTGCCATGCTAGCGAAATACCACCCACTGTTCAAGTTGCATTGCTGCAAATGTTACCATTAAAATGGAAGAAGCAAAACAGAGTTGAACAAAGAGACACCTCTCATGTGATGCAAACATGAATCAAGACCAATGGAGGTAAGTGGAGAACCTGGGGATTTAGAAGGGGAAACATGTGGAAGGGGCAGTCCAAGAGAGCAACCTCACTTCCTTGCACGTCTTGCCAAGAACAGACTTGTGTGGGCCTCCTTGGACTGGAGTAAAAGATATCTAATCAGCAAAGGCTTTGCGTGAAGGAAACTAACTGGCTAGTCCTTATGCTCTTGCTTTCCTGTCTCCCTAATGTTTTTCTCCCTTTCACTGGGCACAAACAATGACTCAGGGTGTTTCCAAATGAAGGGTTCCTAGAGGTGCTATTCAAGAGACACAGTGCAGCTATTCTAGCCATGTCCAACACATCTGGAGGATGCTAGGGTGGGGAAGGCTGAGTTACTCCATCTTTCTCCCCTTAATAGGTTTTCTTGCTAAGAAAAAATGATAGAAGACGTGGTAGGAAAACAGAGGAGACTTGCAAATGGACCCTGTGTAAAATTGCATGAATGAAACAGGGCACTTATACAAAGAAAGTCTCATCTGGAAGCACCCCAAGTTACAAATGAGCTGGTTTTCCACTCTGTACTAGTTCTCAAGAAATACTGACTGAATCTTCTGTACCAATCTTCTATACTTCTTGTGGGTCCCTCCAGAAAATCTTCCAGTTTGACCCTGCTTAGCTTTTATGATTCTCATGGAACTGAGCACATGCTGAGATGGTAGCAGACATAATTAGCCATACAATGATTTCCTGTATTATAAAAGCTCAACAGAGAATTAATATAGAGACCTGGATAATTACATGCAAGTCCTTCAAAAGGAGCTTGCCTCTAATCCATCCTTTGAGTCAGGAATACGAGAGCAGGGGGAGGGTGGAGAAAGGAGGAAAACAATCTTACTACAATCTAAAATCACTGTTTACTGCAAAAACCGTAAGTTTAACATGTAGTATCCTTGTTTGTCAGCAGTCTGTGATTTTTTGAAAAAGCATAACCATCCAAAATCCCACACTGAGCATCAACGTATTCAAGTTGTGCCTTCCATGCTTTCCTGAACTTGTTGGCAAGAAATATGATAGCACCAGTGGCTGATGGCATGGCCAAGGTACCGAGGAAAAGTACTCTCCGGGTACAGAGAGAAAGGTAGTCCTTGTGCCTTTGCTGGTAGGTGGTGCTTTGCAAACATGGGGCAGCTGACTAAAAAGCAGAAACCGTGGCAGGTAATGGTAATAATATCAGTACTCGCATTACAGTTGTTCCAGGATAAAATTAAGATTCTAGGAACCTTCTGTCTCCCTGAAGAACTCACATTATCAGGCAGTGTTCTGGGAATAAGAAGGGCGTACATTCAGTTCGTGTCTCCGTCAGATAAGATATAAAGGATCTGAAACAGTATTTCCTGCTTCCAGGAAGAGCAAGAGGAGGGAAAGAAGAGGAGATTTCAACTCACCTGCAAATTCATTAAAATGATTTCCAATGTCATACGCTTGATAGTTGTAACCGGTGTATTCATAATCTATGAAACGGACATGACCTGAACAAATAAAGACAGCAATAATTGAGACCGGGGCAGGTTCTCTCAACCTGCCTGGAAGAGACAAGAGGATTACTTCTCTGATTTTTGTACCTTGGAGGTTTTTGCAAAGATTCATGCATTTGTGATAGGAAGGCAACAAACCTTCTGTCTCATTGTAGATGATGTTCTTGCTCAAAAGGTCATTGTGGCAAAAGACTATTGGAGAGCGGAGCTGGGAGAGGTGTTCTTTCATCCAGCAAATCTCTTCTTCTAGCACCTCTAGGCTGGGAATGTGCACTTCCTGATGGAGGCTTGGGAAGGAAGACAAAGTGATGCCACGTCCACGTGCAGACATTAAACCTTTCTTAGTGTGAGAGATGGATTTTCTAAGATTAGTAAAATTTGTAAGGGAGGTTTCACACACTGGAGAAAGACGGCTCCCAGGACACACTGTGCCTGGATTATCCCATGAGAGTTAAATCCCATGAAAGTTAACTTTCAATACAAAACAGTTTAAAACAACAATGCCGGGATCTGCTTGGATTTGAATTTTGCCTGTTCTGGAGCTGTTCGAACCCCCAAATGACCACATCAATGGAGATAAAATGAGTCAATGACCCTGTGTGTCTCCCCCTTATTTGAGGAGTCATTTTAAAGGATTAAAATGTCTCTGTTTTTAACTTCTGAACCACTATTTACTAAAGTGAGTATCTAAGGGATCAAATCTTGTCTCTGAAATGCCTCATCGGCTTCCTCAAAAGAATGTTCTTTTATGGCAAGGAAGAACGTAATTTTGGAGAAACTCTTGGAGGGCTGCATTGCAGCACAGCAGACAAAAAATATCTATAGCTTAAAATGCTTGATGCCGATAACTAAGCCTTAGGGGAGGCATTTCAACCTTCTAAAGGATATGGCAGGGGGAAGGGCAGGAACTCACACAAAAGCTAGGAAACCATTAAATAATCAGTGGTTGGGGGCAAGAAAAAGGGACCAGGGGAAGGGGTGCGGCTGTCTGGGAATCCCAGGAGCACCAAATTTGGTCCCTGGCCTTGAGATTCCCCAGCCCAGTTTTATGAATTTGGCATGTCAGTCTTGAACTGATCAAGAGATTAGTAACATCAAAAATTAAGGAAAAGAAAAGGCGCTGGATGTTAAGGGCTGTTGTCTCCCTTTAATTTCATACTGGGATAACTGAAAACAGCAGCAGTACCACTGCTCTCCATATGGCAAGGTTTGGGATTCAATGCAACCTGACACTGACCTGATTGCTGGCAAGGTGGCACCCCTGAAATACCCTAGGCACCTTTTCTGTGGAAGCAGAAGTTGTGGATTCCATATAACCAGCCGCTGAATGAACAATTCCAAGTTTCTCTGATTGTGTAACAATGATCTGAGCCTGCAAAGAATCATTTAAAGTGCTGCTGGCACAATTCACTATGTCACTGAAGCTACGATGGACCAGTCATTAATGTTCAATGGGCCAGTTTGTACACTATCAGGCCTGACTGCAGCTGCATATTTCTTGGCCATGCTCAATGTATGTAAGATGCAATCTGGAAGGCGCTGTGCTGGGACCTCTTGCCCTTTCCCCCATCTACACCCATGGAGGCAGGATGCAACCGTAAGAAACAGCACTGAGAAAGCTGGTAAACCATGTGGGTTATATCCAGGCATGAATACATCATGCTGCATGACCAGTCTAAACGTTTAGGTATTGTTTGAGAATCTACTTCTGAATAGAAAATGCTAAAACAAAGCTTCAACACCTTCGAAAAGATGGGGTGCACTCCTGAGTCTCTGTTAAAGTGTCTGGAGATACCTCGAATGTCAGAGGCATTATAGAGACAGAAATCTATTTCAGGGAAGAGAGGAGATGCACAACAACCTTCTGGAATCAGTTCCAGAGGATGCAATTCTTCTTTCTAAAATAGGTAAATATAAGTTCTCATTAGTCAAAATCATCTATCTAAAAAGGCAACTGTTTAAAGGGGGGGGGAATAACCATGAATTTTGGCAACAAGAAAATGAACTGTGTACATGGAGCAACTTAAAGCTGGAAAAACCACCAAGCACATCGAAAAGTTTGTCCTTTTTATTATGACATTTTGGTGGCAAAGTCTAGCATCCAATAATGACTTTGCCATTCTGCTGTGTGAAGTGTTTTGCTTTAATTGACTCTAACAAGTTCTCTTTCTCCAGTTCATTACTTGGCACCCTATGCTTTCACCCTATGCTTAAAATACATGCAGCAGAGTAGACAAGAACTGCTAGTAACTAATGTGCTTACTAGAGATTGGCTTTCAGGTTCTTTACCTGGAATGTGATGCTTTTCTGGAAAATTCAGTTTTCACAATGTTAAAGTACTTGAACAGTCTGTGCCACAGGCAGGGCTTTGGGAGACTCCCATTGGTGTGAATCCTGTGCATTTTTGCCATTTCCTGGGCAACTAACCTAAAATAAATCACAGAGACACAGCAATTCAGTGAGTACACATTCTGATATCAATGGAAGTTGCGCCAACTTCTGGACATTTAAAATTGTAATTCTGAATAGCTTTGTTAATGCAAATTAATTTCATAATATCATTATGAAAAAGAAACCATCCCATCATGGCATTTCCACTTTACTGTCCTTATACACGCCTTCCTACTATCGCCATCCTTGTCTTCGTCAGTCAAAATTGGGTTTGTTCTCACAAGGACACATCAGAATATTTATCTAAGGACTGAATGTAATCAGTTGAGGGCATTCAGTCCCTGCAAATGATTCAGGACTGAGACTTATGCCTCCGAAGAAGAGAAGGAAGATGACAAAGCCACTGTGTGGGAAGTATTCTTTGTAACCTCCAAGCAGCAATGCTGCTCTGCATTTCTTCAGTCCTGTATCAGTCTCTGTTGCCTTTCAGGTATTTTGGACTTCCATCAGCCCCAGTCAGAACGGCCAATGGTCAGGAAACCTGAGAGCTGTAGTCCGAAACATCGCAAGGTTAGGGAAGGTTGTTGTACCACATGAGAGAGAAGGGGTGTTTCAACAACACCTGATTAGATTAAAGCCAAACTAGATGCAGGTAAGTTCATGTGCAGATTATCCAATGCTTTGATGGGGGTATACACACATGGTGTTTTTAACTGGTATATTATTGTTTAGCTATTAACCAATTTAAAACATTTTAGACTTTTAAAAAACGTATTACAGCAATGTTTTTAATTGCATCACAATCCAGTTAGGAACTGTTGGAAACCACCCAGACAACTTCAGCTGTTGGGCGATATAAAAGTTAAATAAATGCAATAAATGCTGAAAGCAAATATTGTGGACCCTTTGCAAAATGATCTCCCTGTCCCTCCACGCCACACACACCTGAATATATTTGGCTGCCGGATATGTTCTGGTCCCAGTGCCTTTCCCGGCATGAACTCATAGCAATAGCCGTTCTCAAAGGTGCAGTAGAGGCTGGGGGCACAGCCATGGTCCTGAAGCACTTGGAAGTTCCTCAGCTCATTAGCTCGGTCCACGATAAGTTCCGTCTTCCTGCCATAGACCCGCACCAGGACGGCATCCCCCATGTTCTCCTCTGTGAAGCAAGCCACAAGCTTGTTGGTGATGCCTTCAGTGAAGAGCTTGGTGAGGAATGAAGACAGGGTGAATGTTAGCTCATGCTGTGGCAGTACTATCAGGACTGAGGCTGAGGATGGGGAGAAGCAATTATGCTGGGCTGTATCCAATGTGAGACTAAATTAAGTCTTCTTTATTTCAACAGATCTACTCGAAATAGGGGAATCATTGGCCACAACCCACTTATTTAATGAGTTATTCCCACTTGAGCTTGCTATGGGGCAAGGTGATCAGAGGATATCTTAAGAAATGACATAAAAACAAAGATACTCAGTCCATGTGGGAACAAATCCTTAACCCACAGTTGGGCATTATCTCTATTAGGACCAGCTAAAATGCCTCAAAAATGTGCAAGTGCTGAGCACTTCACTTCCAGTGAAAAATAATACTAGAGAACTTGAAAGTCTGGAAAGGTACAGTAGGAAAATGACCCAACTGGAAACCATGGTAACAAATGCTTGGGACAATCCATTTGCATTGTTCATTAGTAGATATCTTTTGGCGTTATGCACTGAAAGCCAACATGGTGCAGGGCTTAGGCTTCTGGATGAACCACAGGGAAATCGGGGTTCGAACTCCTCCTCAGCAGTGGTGTTCATGGCCACGAGGTTCTCTCATCTTAACCAACTTCACAGAGTAGATGTGAGGTTATAATTTGCAGGGAGGGAAAACTACACAGGCTATCCAGAACTCTCTGAATGCAAATCTGAAATGTAAACCATGAGAGTCAGCAAGCGCCAACTCTAAGACAAGGAGAAAAACAGGATGCTGAAGGCAAACACTTCTGCAGTGTTGCTGCACAGGCTAAGCAAAAGGACGGGCAGCACAATATCACTCTGATTAGCTCTTGTCCTCTCCTAATGACAAGATGATGCCAGTCTAGTTCTAATATTAGAACAGCATGGATCTATAAAATGAGAAGCTAGACTCATGAAGAATTATAACCCAGCCTGGCCTCAGAACACACCAAGGATGGTGCCCTCCAGAAATACCAGACCACAACTCCCACCTTCCCCAGGCACAGTGTGCCAGGAATGGTGAGAGCTGCAGCTGAAACTGTGTGGAAGATGCCAACTTGGGGAAGGGTGACTTAATACATTCAGGCAGCATTTCAGATAGATTTCATGGCTGGGAAGGGAAAATCCCCCTGCATGTGGGCAGTCCCTTTCCCCAGACTGCGTCTTGCTGGAGCTGAGCAATTCAGCTCAGGACAAGTACAAACTGGAGTTATGCATTCTTCTGTTCCATCTGCAAGAGGGAGGTTTGTGCAGAAGCACAGAAAAGCAAGTATTACAAACTTCCATTTGAATCCAAGCACCGTGAAATCAGGGTAGGAATGCAAAACATATTAATGCAAGGGAGGGAAGATTTTGGGAACCTCTTGGCAGTTTGTCTGCATAAACAAGTTGCTGAGAAACTTGGGCAGCATGGCACTGTTGCATCCATGTCCTGCGAGAGCGAAACTGTGGGCAGCTGGTTGGCCACTGTGTGAGCAGAATGCTACACAAGCTGGGCCACTGGTTTGATCTGGTGCAGTCCCTCTTATGTTCACACGTCCTTTTCCTAAAACTTGAAGTCCCACCAATCAGAGCCCGGCACAAAGGACTTTTGAAATTCACAATAAAATCAATTTTTAAAGACTGAGAACTTGTGAGAGGGTATAGTACTCAAGAGTAATGAAGGAGAGGGCTGCTTGGGGCATCTCCCCCCTACTTCCTTTCTTAAGTGTAAGGTGCCTTTGTGGTCATTTTAAATTGAAAAGGAAGATTCTAGTGCTGGGGTGGGAGTGGAGGAAACCAGTCAATAGTACTCATAACCAGAGGAGTACTTGACAAACACTCCCTAATGCAGAGAAACATTCCTGAATTTGGCAATGCACAACAACAAAAAGGTAGGATCCAGAGACACAAATGGAATGAGTGGCACTGAAGTCCTAGATCAACGGAGACGTCTCGGATGAGGATGCCAGCATTGTTTTCCCTGCATCTCACAGCTGGATAGATGGTTTTGTTCTATCCTCTCCCTCACTTGGCTGCTTGCCTGAGCATACAGGATTCTCATTTTTCCCTTGCTTAAAAACAAGTGACTGGATTGGACTTCAACATCCAGGCTGTCTCTGTATACTCAAGCATGCACAGAATACCACCTTTCTCAGGGCAGTATTAGATCCTTAGGCATTTTTCTAAGACAGAGAGAGGTGGGTTGACTCCAGGCTTATGGGATCTAGCTTGTTGTTGCTGTTTTACTGGAATCCTGAGGTCCAACCTGAGCTAAGTACAAAATAGTGGCTCGGGGTGAACATACACTAGAACATGCATAGCCAAAGAATTCACGATTGGTACCAGAACTAACATATAAAGACTCCCATATTCCTCTGAATTTACAGGATTACAAGCATCTGGTGCGGGGTGCAAGAAGCACAGAGGCAAAGGTTCTTTCACACGGCTCTTGCACTTGATTCTGGGCAGCCAACTGCAGCACTTTGGAGAGGAAGTGAAAGAAACTGAGGTGCCCCAGGATGAGATATCTTGGCAGTGCTGGTCTGGAATGCCCCCTAAGCCCCCTCTGAGGTTGCTCTTGTGACCTAGTACAGCTGTTGCCCAGCCCTTAGAGCTGAAAATTTGAATGATCCTATGGTGCTCCAGATATTGTCCAGAAGGCCACAAAATCACCCTGCAATTGAATCAATTGGCATCTAACCAGAACAGGTCCAGAAAACAGGACTCTGTAAAACAAAAACTAATCTGAGAATGCCCATTGTCTTCCATATTATAATATAGTGATTCTACTCACACGTTGGGAAACTGAGCATGGACTGCTAGTACATTCAGCACATCCTCATACCATCAGTCCCAATCTCCCCAATCTGTATTTTGAGGACAATACAGAAGTAACTATTATAGCTCGTAAAGCAGTACTGGGGTGAGCCAGCTGCACCAAGATCCAATCTGTTTTCATTGCCTATGTGGGTGAATACTGTCTCTCTTGATCTCTTTGCTGGGATATTTGACACACTCCAGCATGACCAAAAAATGGGCAGAATCCCAGACAACAGAAGAGTATGGGGCTAAGTATAGAAGAGACCAATCCACTGATCTCTTAGAAATGTCAGAGCAATGCCAGCTCACCTCCCAAAAGAACCAGGTGGGAATGGGAGAGAAGAAGGCAACAGTTCATTGGTAGAAGCATTGCTTAAATAGTTTTCTTTCCATGCATTTCTGCAATGGTAGAAACATTGAGAGCAACTCCCCTATGAGGAAAAGTTACATCTGGAAATATTAAAAAAGTGACTACAGGAAGACATAATACAGGAATACAAAACAATGCAAGGTGTGCAGACAATGGATAAATTGTTCTTCCTCTTACATCTCATGAAGCTAAATGGTGTGGGGTTCAGGAGAGATAAAAAGAAGTACACCTTCTCACACTGCATAAACTAGGGAATGTGCTACCAGAAGATGTAATGATGGAGTCTTTAAATGGGATTTGACAAATCCATGGAGGCTAAGGCAATCCATGGCTACTAGTCCTGATGGCTGTTTGCTACCTCTAGTATCAGAGGCACTGTGCCTAGGTGTATCAGTTCTTGTGAAAGATGAAGGGCATGACTCTTCTTATGTTCCCACTGATACCCCCTCGATGAGGATCTGAACTCTGGCTTTGTTTTCAACCATTCTTTGCTATAAAGCTTATTGAGGGTTCCCCCCTCCATGCCTTAATAGGATTATTGCCAATTATCCTCCCAGTGCATTCCATGACATTATTTTTGGCAGCTTAACTATCAATCCTTAATTGCCTTGTACAAATATTATTTTCTTTCCTGTATAACTTGCACTCCTTCTATCCTGTTGGAAAATATTTAGCCTTTCAAAGATAATTTTTTCAGTTAATATTGCCTGCAGTTTCTCTTTCTATATTCTGCCCCACTATGCTTTTAACAGTCCACTGCTAAATGCTTGACTACTTATAAAACAGCTTACAACATCCAGCATTTATCAGCTGGAGGAAAGGCTGATCTAGGTTGCTGTACAGTCACAAACTGCATCATACCTATTATAATCCCAAATCCAGTAATTTCTGCCAAGGCAGAATTCTCCATTTGCAAAAAGAAAAAGAAAGGAAACAGGAAAAAAAAACGTATTTTCTCAGGATGCATGCTTATGCCAAAAATGCACTATCAATTACTGCAACATTTTCAGACACCAAAACAAGGCACCTTGTACAACTCCCACGAGACATGGTACTTCATGCATAATCACTACCCTCAATTCAAGTTTCTCTCTTGTGGTTTCCATATGCCATCTTTGCCTGCTGCAACTGCTCCTGTGCCCTAGAGTAACTCAGCAGCTAAGCCTAAGCACGTGCCACTGAAACAACCACATATTCGTTCTCTTCTTATCCCTGCATCTTCTACTGTGTTGTTCCCCTCGCTACCCATTTCTGATTGTAAGGTCACAAGGGCACGGACTTGTCCTCCTGAACTCTGTAAAGGGTCATGCACACTGATAACAGAGCATTAATAACATAGCATTCATATAGTTATATGAATATATAAAAATAAATGTTATATAATATAATAATGACGCCTGCTTGGCCTCGTCCAGTAATCACAGCCAGATCCAGCATCAGGATTCAACCTGCAAAAGCAGCCTTCCCCAATGTGGTGCCCTTTAGTTGTTTTGAGTTTCAACTCCCAGCAGCCCCAGGTGGCATGGCCAATGGTCAGGAATGTTGGGAGGTGTAATCCAAAGCATCTGAAAGGAAACAGATAGGGGATGGGCAGGCTAAAGCAACTTAGAGATATCAGAGCCTTACAGTGCAATTTTGTGCCTAGACATAAGCCAGTCCTATTGAGTTCAGTGGGACCTATTTCTGGGTAAGTTTGTGTAGGATTATAGCTTCAGTTATTTTGGGATTCAGCAACTAGCAACTAGAGAATCTTCCAAAGTCCTCTGATGTAGCAGTTGCAATGATCCAGAAATCCAGCCTTTCCCCTTTCTTGATCTGTTGTGAAACAAGCTTCCTGGATGCTACAGGAGACAATGAGCCAGCTCAGCTGCCAGTGTAACAGTTAGGCTATTTGACCCCAGCAAAATATAGCATGTGTCAGACGCCATTTTGAATATATTAGCCCTGATGGCAGAGGAAGGCTTGCCGTGCTGTCCAGGTTTGGCTGTCAGGATATATGCAAAGGTTAAGCAATCTTCACATCACTCTTGGCCTTACATAAGCTCTGATGGTTTGTTTCGCACAACATGACAACCTCAACTGGGGGTCTGCATATTCAAATTGTGCTCAGCAGGTGCATTGGCTCACTGTAGTTTAAATAAGCCTTAATGAGACTCAGCATGTATGTGAAATACACAATTACTCCTAATGGGGTAGCCTTGTCCACTCCACCTTAGCAGCCAAATTGTTTGGACCCATGTAATCTTATGGGGGTAGAGTGAAGTGTTTATGGGGGGGGGTCTTTTTCCTGTTTTGGTATCTCCCATCTCCTCTGCTGCACCCATCTTGCCTACCTTCACTCCTCAACTGCTTTCCCCTTCACAGCTTCTCCATCCTGGCAAATATAGGACAGGGCTTGATTTATGGGGGAAAAGAGGATGAGTTGACAACATCCATGTGCCAAATTTTAGCCGAATGAGGCTCTACCTGTAACCTTCTAAAATAGCAGTTGAGTAAACAGTTACAAAAGCCCTCTTTTGTCATTTGAGCACTGCTTAAACAGGTATGTCAGACATGGACAGAATCTCTGCCCCAATGAGCTTACAGGCTAGACTTCAGTGTCTTCTTCCCTGGTTCTCTGAAAATGACCTTTACCAGTCATCTCCACACTGCTCTCTCTCTTTGATTATATGTGACAATTTATAAATTCATAATGATCCTTCTGACACTAACTCCCCATGCTTGCTGGGAGTTTGTTTGCTGAGAGCATCCAGCCAAATTGGGCACAGGAACAAACATAAGTAATGCAACTCTTGTCCTTTCAAAACAACACTGTCCCCACAGGTGGTGTTGGCTCCCTTCCTTTTAAAGGACATGGAGAAGGAAACTTATATTCAAATACTTTTGCACCAGAGTTATAAAACCACTGAAAACATAATATTGTATCGTTATGCAAAAAGCAAATGTAGCTGTGTTGACAATAAAAAAACCCAAAATCCACATCTCAAAAGTATCTTTAGTGTTAGCTGTCTCATGCAATATTCTACTGGAAAAGTGAGATACAAATATTTTTAATAAATAAATGCGACCAGTTAAAGTTTGTTGTTATCTTAGGGCAGGTAGTTAGAGCAGCACTCTTTCCACTCAGATGCTCAAAAGTAGTGATATCACACAAGCTCACAATGACCTAGTTCAGGAAAGCAATTTGTTTGACTTCTGATGCTCACTCTACTTACGAAATTACACAGCCTCCAACAATTAATTGGTTTGGACCAATGGAAGTGGGCATGTGCCTCCCCACTTCCATGGCACTCCGAACAAAGCAAAAACAGCACCCAGGTTTTGGGAAATGGAGGAACTGAGGCTTCCCTGAGAAACCTACAACTAAACTGTTTATTACCACCTGACAGGGGCAATGGCAATGCAGGTGGGATTCACGAGCTCATGAATGTGTGGTGAGGAGGAAAAGTTCATGGAAGCACCTAAGGAAGGAAGCATTCCCTTAGATCCAGTCTGTTAAATTCCGGGAAATGGTTCAGAAAAACAACCTCCTCTTTTCACTTTTAGGGGAAAACACTTCCATTTTCTCTGCCCATTACTAAATCGAATTTGTCCATTGCTACTTGAAAGAAGTGAGGATAGTCCTGGGGTACAGTGTAGCTACTGCTTTGCACATGGACAAAACAGTTCAGCACAGATCATCATTTCAAAGGTAGCATCCTCCAAACTCCCTTAGGGTGCTTCCTGATGGAGGGCACCTAGCCACTTAGAAGGCACTGTGAAACTATTTCATTTTTCTTGACAGATTTTTATTTGTTGTTTTATTTTATTTATTGCACTTCTATACCACCCCATAGCCAACAGGTTCTTTGGATGCCTTTATCATTTTCTATGGTAAGATAACAGATGAAGCAGCTAGGAAAACACAGGACTGTTACAAGTAAAAGACAGTATCATCTAGACTCTGTAAAATTCCATATTTGAGGCAGTGCAATGATGCAATAAAAGTACCCTTACTCAACAAAAAGGAATATTGAATATTATATTATTTTCTTTACAGCAAAAAGCAGTGATCCTTCATGCCTTGTTGAAGTAGGCATTAACTTCAGCATCATTTTGATAATATGGAACTAGACTACAAATATGAGAATAAACTACTAGGTGTAAAAAATAAGCTTCAAGTATGTAAGAGATGTACCTTCAAGTCAGTGCTGAGGAACCTGTGGCCCTTCAGCTGATGTTGAACCACAGCTCCCATTATCCCTGACACTGGCCACAGTGCCTATGGGAAGTAGGCCACATTCCCCACCCTGCTTTAAGAGATCAAGATGTTAAAATCAGATGATTAGATCCACTATCTGAGCAGGGTACCACTCCTTTTATAAGTAAACCTAGTGTGCCTTTCCCATCTTACCTAGAGCAGGTTGTTCAGCATCCCAGTTTTATTCAGGCAGCTTGTATGCAGAACTACTGAACATCTATTCTCATATGAACCAAGTTACATTCACTGACATGACACAAAAATATGCTATTAAATCTTCTGATTCAGGTACGGGGTGTGTGCATGTGTGTTTGCTTATTTACTTTGTGCTACAAAAAAACCTAAAGTGATTAAAGGGAAAGAAAGGATGAAATAAACTACAATGCCTATGTGTGTGTTGCATTTAATGAAATGGGTCTTTCATGCCATAGATTACAAATGAACACTGCACTAGTATAAATAGGTGTAGTGAAACAGAACATTTTCCATTTTTCCATGGACTGTACAATGGAAAAGGAAACTGTACAGAACCTGTGCAGGAGAAGAAATCACATGCAGTGTTTACAGCAAGGTCCCTTCCTGTTTCACTGTCGTATAGGCTGATATGAACAACAAGTGGATTCTCCCCAAAACTGTAACATTTGGGGATTTCAAAGTTGTCAAAAGACTTGGCTACATGGTTGCTTCCTGAACAATTCTGGTTTAAAGCTTGGATGCATTTGGAAGTGTGGGCAGCAGGATCTGGAAAAAAACAGTAAGGTATAGCACAGAGCAACATCATGTAGCAAATCACTCAGAGATGTTGTTCAGTGTGTGGATAGCTCTGACTTAGATAGCTTGTTATTGTATATGACTGCATGCAGCCAATTGAGTAAATCTGTATGGGAGATCAGTGCCTAGCACAGACTGCATGTCCCAGATTGGTAAAATGAATGTACTCCAGGCTTGAAGACAATTCGTTGGTGCCATTCCCTAAGATTAATGGGGAAAGATATATGTTCCTTCCATTCTGTTTTGCAGATGTGAACACTGAGTCACAGAAAACAGAAATTACACCGACTGGCTTCAAGCAGGCAGTGAATGTCAAATCCTGTTCTGAACACTGGATTACACTGGCTTGCACATGAACTCCCTTGTAATTGATCTCCATGCTTAAAAGGGGAGGAGAATGAGAAACCTTAACGAGACATATACAATATGTAATCTATTCATTTGTAAATCAATTGCTTATAACCACTGAAATACCTTCTTTGGGTGGTGGTGGGGGGAAGCAGAGTAACATTATTAAGAAATTATGAGGGACGGAGTGGGTGAGTGGTACACCACATTTTCAGGACGGCACCCTTGTAATAATCCGCCTCCCCATCATATTGCTCTCCAGATGCTTTGAACAACAACTCCCATCAGCCCTAAGCAGCTAGGCAATGATAACAGGAGTTGTAGTTAGAAACATCTGGACAGTACCACATTGGGGAAGGTTGTGATGTGAGTTCATCACCTTGTATTATACTTCAAACTATGGTCACATATCCAGATTCCTACTTGGCCCATATCTATGAAGGGGAACAGTGGGAAAGAGCCATCCTCAAACCATCCCAATATGACAAGGGGTTAGATCCAAATTTACTCATACTTGGTGTAGATGCACTGAAATCAGTGGGGCTTCATTCATTTCAAAGCAACCATTCGAAGCATGGATCCAACTGTACGTGATTAAAGGATGCTGTGAAGTGGGGTGAATAATCATTATGAAATTATCTCGCTCAAGAAATGCCCATGGAGACTAAAATAAGGCATTAATAATGTGTTGGGTCCACCTCAATAGAGAACTATTCCACCCTAGTATCAAAAACCCAACCTAGACTTGTTGAATGCACTAAAAAGGCTGGGAGGTGAATTACACGTCCTTCCCCTAATCATTCCCCCCTTCCCACGCCCCTCCTCATTCACTGCCGTCGACTGCCCTCCTACAACCAACCCGATCCTCGTCCCAGCGAGCGAGAGGGAGAGTGTTTGGGGAGGTTTTGTTGTTTCGGCCACCGCCTGCAACCAGCCAACTCCGTGCTGCTCTTCTGTGTTTTGTACCTTGCTTTTAACTCGCTCGGTCTCCCATTGTGGTCTCAGCTTTCGGATCAGCTGCAGAGCCCCCGGCAGGACGTTCTTCTCATCCACCGCAATGCTGACACGCTGGATGGCCGGGTAGCAGCTCGTGGGGACGCGTCGACTCTCCTCCTCGTCGTCTTCCTCCATGCCCCATAGGCAGCCCGACCACCACGCGGCTCTCTTCAGGTGCGGGGCGGCAGAGTTCGGGAAACGGAAGGAAGGGCAGCGCACCCTTAGGGGCCAGCGGCAACTCCACCCCCTCAGCGGCTGGAGGAGGAGGGCGGCTCGGGAGCCCATGTGGAGGGGCCGGGAAGCGGCTGCGAGGGGAGGAGCCAGGGCCGAGAGGAATCCATGAGTCACTCCGCCATCCCCGCCGTGCCCCGCCCCGCCCAGACGAATCTCATTGGAACATCCAGCGCTGCCCGGATTGTGATGTCAGCGGGAGGAAGCGTTCGCCGCGGCCGGCCTCGCCTCGCCTCTCCTTGCCGGGCCGGCAAGAAGCGCCGCCGCCGCGCGCGCGAGGGCTGCTCAGGCAGCTCAAAGGGTGCCGCCGCCCGTGCTGATGCCGCCGCCAGCCAGCCAGCCAGCCAGCCAGGTGAGGTGTACTTCGGTACAGCTCCTGGCGGCAGCAACAGCGAGCTGGCGGCAAAGGCGAGGGATTCAAGGCAAACGAGATGCACGCCAGCGTTGCTCCACGGAAAGAGCCGCCCCTTGCGCTTAGCAGGCGGCTCGAGGAGGCTTGCTGCGCGTCCTGGTAGGCAAGGGTTCGGGTTCGGGTTAGCATCAGCCCTGCCTGGGGCTGTCTGCCTGCCAGTCTTCGGAGAGTGTCTGCAAGTAAAACCCTCTGGCTTTTGAGGGAACGCAGTTAGGACCAGGCAGCCCAAAAGGTGTGTGACAGACAAGGTGTGGCTTAAGAACCATGCTGGTTCGGATCAAGCTCCTCTCTGGTCCAGCATCTGGTTTATGCAGTGGATGCCCAGTTGCCGGTGGGAAAACCACAAGTAAGACTTGGGTGTAATAGCACCTGCTTCCCCATCAGCTGCAGAGGCACACTGAGCTTATCCCAATATGGTGGATAAAATGGAAAGCCAGAAGAGTAATTTCCATTTATCACACAGTGGTTAAATGTGAAAGGTCTGTTCAAGGGTGGGGTGAGAGAGATGTACTAGTAGTGATTGAGGTAAGTGAGGCATAGTGATTAGTGTGGCTTAGGCTACAGCTACTGAGACCCAGGTTCATATCTCTGCTCAGCCTGGAAGCTAACTGGATGATTTATTGCTCACCCTAGCCTGCTTTGCAGGGTTGTTGTGAGGATAAAGATAAGGAGACTGTATGCTGTCTTGTGGAATAGACACGTGAGAATAAAAAGGCCATTTGAATGTAATGCAGTTCATTCTGCTGGGTAGACAGTGTGGTATCCTTTAGGCATTTTGGACTTCAGCTCACGCAGCGGCACGGCCAATGGAGATTGTACTTCAATATATCTGGAAGGCACCAGGTTGCCTACCCTGGGTTAAAACAGCAGAATGCTCTGTAACTCAGCAATCACTTTCTTCAGTTACTAGTTGTTTCCAATATGACTTTGTGCCTTTAAAGTCAGCTGCATGGCAAGCTGAAATCTAACAGATGAAGATATTCTTCACATGGAGATGTGGTGATGGAAAAGCTGCTTTGTTGAGTTTTTTTTTCTCCTTACATCCCATTAAAGGCAAAGAACCTCTGTAAACAACAGTGATGGTCCTCATACTGCAAGGCAGATGTACATGAAATATTTAAGTGTTCTTCACATTTGCCCTTCAATGTCTGCAGCTTATACAAGTCCCTAAGGCAAGACACAATTGACTCCATTAGATCCTACCATTTGTGAAACTGATGCTTTCAACCTACAGGAATAAGAACTCAGTCCCTAGAGGTGTTTACTCAAGCAAGTTCCTCCATGTTCAGTGGGTTATTCCCTACTAAGTGTGTTTTGGATTGTAACCTTTGGACTGCACACTTCTAGTATAGTTATTTGGCATGAAAGCAATAATGTGGGGAGTTCGCCTTCTCTCAGTGTCCACTGTTAGGTATCTCTGAAAGCTTAGAAGCATGATATGATACCAAGTGCCTTTCCCTTTATGGTGCTTGCATAGGAGTTGCAAATTCCAAACCCACTTACTTTAAGATACATGAGCAGAAACCTAAAGGTATTTTGAATTTTTCTCTCTCTTTCATCAAACACAGACTGAATTATTTTTACAAAGAGCAGACTAAGTGCTAAACTTGTATCTGGATGAAAAGGGGAATACAAAAACCCAAACAAACACAAGGAATATATTTTTAAAACCAAACAAGCATGTTAAGGAGGATCAAAGGCTAGAAACCAAATGGCTATACCTCTTGTTCTGCAAAGAACTGTCCATGGTTCTTGTTTTCTAGAGGGCTCTTCTAAGATATCCTCTATTTGAGGTCTATTGAGTTCAAGTTTTGTTTAAAGATAAAGAAACATAAGAAGGCAGACTGCCTTCTTGTCCATCCATCCTAGACAGCTGATTGAGCAGGTATACAGGTCACCTGGGCATAATCTTCCCCACTAAGATACAGCCCGCAGAGGGCTTGCTTACCTGCTGAGATACCTGGCTGAGGCAGTCTGTTTCTTGCTTCCTTCTACTTGTGCAGTATAGAAGTTAAATAAGGTGAGATCTATTTAAATGTTCCTAAGTTTACATCCTTACTTATAAATTAGCATATGTGCACCTTAAATATTTGTCCTCTGTTTTGGAGATGTGTACATGGCAACACTAGCTAGAACCTTTTCTCAGGCCTGTTAGATTGCTGTGTGCAGCATTCTTTTAGTTTTTTATATGGTGGGGCATTAACTCATGTTAGTACCCACTTCACGCTGCAGTCACGAAGTCAGTAATCAGGTATATCTCATTATTCACTGTTTGTGATTATTAAACTTTAATAAATCATATCTTGAAAAACCTTCAGGTGAGCAAACTGAAGAGAAGGACTAAATTAAATTTGATTTAAGGCACAAACCTACATAAATTTAGACAGAAGAAAGGCTTTTTTCTGCTGAACTTGTGTCGGATTGTACCCTTCTTTTCAAAATGAAGTGTGCCAGTTTCTAAAAGGGGACAGAATATTCTTTTCTCAAATATCCACCTTATAATTCAAGCTCATTTTCCTTTTCCTTTTTCTGATGAACTAGAATGACTAATTATTTAAATCAGAGTGGTTATAATTGTCCTAGCTCTTTGTGGGGTTCAGTTTAGCCTAATTGCCTTGCTGGCTACAGTCAGAAGTGTTAATATTTCTGGGTTGCGGCTCTCATCCAAAATCTTCTTCAACTTCTTCACAAAGGAAGCCAGGAAATTATCCTGTCACTTATTGACAGAGGTGATAATAGGCTGGGCTAAGAGTCTTTTGGATGCTTTAGCTGAAGAGAACAAGTGGCAGAAACATTCAGTGGTGATTTCATTTTGGTGAAGAATTAAATCCTACATTGCCTGGGGTTATCAAAAGTGCCATGTGTAATTCGGACTGATGTCCATCTTCTCTCTCGGTTGTTGAAGGCCACCCAGGAAGAACCAGGATGCTTCTTGGTTGGGGTCATTGCTGTACGTACAGCTATTGTTTTTTAGTCATTAGTCAAACTCGTGTATATATTACAGTGAGTAGGGTGTGTTTGTTTGTTTTTTAGTGATTCTGCTTTGTTTGGTTCGTGAGCAATTATGTGTAGGGTTGCAAATGATGCAGTAGCATCTATATTTCTATAAGAGCTTCAGAGAGGACGCCCTGACTTTGAAGTCTGAAAGTCTGCTTTTGAGAAAAGTCAAAGTGCGTCTAATCCACCTACTTTACAATCTTCAGTTTTCATTGTATGCATAGTTGAGACAGATGACTAGGGGCCCTTCAGGGGTTATGTGCTCTGCACTGTGGAATTCATTGTTAACATGGAAGTAAAGGCATCTGTGCTGCACATCTCATATTACAATAAACTTCTTTTCCCTTCCACTTAGATCATCCTAAAGGAGCATCATGCAAAAAGAGCAAGCCCTAGTTTGCACCTAATTTTATTCCTGTTCAGTATGTAAGACTACAAGAAGACATTCAGTTCTTTAGATGCAAAAGTGATGCACACTCAGTTGCTCTTTGCCTTGCCCATTCCTTACTTCAGAATTGCAGAGACAGAATCATGGAAGGAAGAAATGGATGAATACCATGGTTATTCTGATAAATGGAAGACTTGATTCTGACATTTACAGGAAGTTAATGCCACCCTAACTTGGCATCCCCACAGTTTAGCACATTGTTGGATGTTAAAAATTTTCTTGGGGCATAGTTTGCAGATGCATGGTTTAACCACCTGCTAAATCTAAGCAGGTCTGAGGCTAGCTAATGCTTAGGTGGGCAATAATCTCGAAACTGCATCTAGAGCCATGATGGAAGACAGACAAGTTACAGAAGTGCAAAATTTGAGGAGAGGAGGGAATCCTGTGATGTTCCAGATGTTGCTGAACTCCCATTAACCCTGACCAAGATTGCTAGGACTTGTAGATGTTATCCAGATTTTATCAGACAACTGTACTGAGTGACTCAGTAATACTCTATTCCAAAAGCCTTCCTTAATTCCATGTCCTCCAGATGTGTTGGATTGCACCATCCATAATCCACAGCCAGAATAACCAATGGGAGGAGATCATGGAAACTGTAGTCAAGTGCATATGGAGGGTCCCAAATTTTGGAAGGCTAGCTTGCAGATTTAAATATTAATTGAAAACTGCACCAGATGAGAATATGGGTGTTAAATAAGAATAAGTCCTATTCTTCTTAGGTTTGGGGCACTCTGTCCTTTTGTGCTTCCAATTCAATGGATTCTAAAAATAAAGTGCTGTAAAAGCCAATCTCTGTTGTCTATGCCTTCACAAGACTGTGTGAATTCGGGTAAAACCTAGATCATTATGATAAAGAAAATGTGTTTCAAACCTGTTTAAATATGTAATATAGATAAGATTTCTTTCACATCTTTCAAAACTCCCTTTCTCACCTTGATTCATTAGCTTTTAACACAATATTTTGCTTGGTCATACTTCAGCTGAAAATGGGGGAGACTTGCCAAGTCTGGAACATCCCTTTTTGCATGGATGTCACAACCCTCAAAAGTGAAAGGAAGCAAGTAACCACAAAAGATAGCCATTTTCTGTGTTACACAGATAAATTCTTCAATGAAAACAATCTACTTTATAGAAGATCATTTAAGATGGAAAGATAAGTATCTTGGTTTTAAAATGGAAATCTCAAACTTTCAACTCTCCAGCTTCAGTGGACGATATATGAAGAGGAGATGGAAGTCCAAGGTTTATTGGACTGAAGAAGTGATCACTGCTGTATAGCCCATGTTGATGCAACAGAAAAATGTGAGTTTTGCATATATGTAGACACAAGTACTTTCTGCTTTGAAAACAATATATTATTAAGCCATTCTCTTTCACAGTTTCAGTAGTCCCTTCTGCAAAATAGGACTCTCATGGTGTCAGAGAGCTGTGGCAAAGCCGATCCGGTTGTTCTGCCGATCAAATTCGGTGTAGTACTGCCCAATGAAAGTAGCACCCAGAAGCCAGAGAGGACCCAGGGGAGGAGGGATGTCAAGCGCGGAGAAGGCCACGACGCAGAGCTCTTTCCCATAGCTTGCATGCTGCAGAGAGAATGGTCCAGCCAATAAGAAATGCGAGTCAGCAAGACAGTTTCTTGCCTTGGATCTTACCATTTAGTGTTGTGCCATGAGCAACTTCCCTATTTCATGGCTTAATGAGCCTTGCCCTAAGTAGCCATTCTCAAAAGTCTCCCTTCCAGAATTGGTTCTCTCACCGCTGTCTTTCATAGCCCTCTTTTGGCTTGTGTTCCCTTTTCTCAGATTCTGCACCGTAAGGCAGCCTTCCCCGGCCTGGAGCCCTCCAGATCTGTTAGCCAATGGCAATACTGCCTGGGAATTGGAGGGGTTGCAGCCCAACAAATCTGGAAAGACACCAGTTTGAGGGAGGCTGCCAGAGGGCATGTAGGTCTGAATAGCACACATGCCATTTTGTTTTTTGGAAAGTAGCTGAAGTGAAAGAAGTTATGGCTGGCATCAAGGGCCCCCCAGCAAGGCCCCCCAGACTTGCTCCTCCTTTAACCTTTTTTCTACTTTTCTCCAGCTGCTTTTTGCTCTAACTCAGGCAATTGTGGTGTTGGGAAGTGGTCTGTCAAGAAAGTAAGTGGTAACAAAGATGAGAAGCAATAACAACTTGCAGCAATGGTAGTGAGGATGTGGGAGGAGAGCTGTTAAGGGTTTCTTGCCTAAGGGCCCTCAAAAAGCTGGAGACAGCACTGGCTGCATCTTGAGAACGTTCACTGCCATTGTATCCCTTCATCAAAAGTCCCCTAGATGAAGGGCACCCAGATAACTGACTTCCTCTGCTTGACAAAGAATCACATTGTAAACCTGGAAGTACAGCCAATGCATTTTATGTGGCCTTCTAATTAAGGGATTAGGATTACAGTGTGACATTCTTTACATTACCTGTAAGGAGTAACTACAGCCTAATCAAGCCATTGCTTCAACTTGCATGCTTTCTATAGTTTTAAAATTGAGGCTGATTGATGTTTTGTGTGTATTATATAATGTGTAAGGATAATATTGGCTGTCGTAGGTGTTGTTTAAGAAAATTGTGGATAACGTTTTGCTGAGGCATATGAGTGGGCAGTGGTCTCTTTTTGTTTTTGAAAAATCTTAGATAATGCCAGATACCCAGGTAAATTTAGATTGTTTTCCTATAACATAGGTTTAACAGAGGGACAGCAAAAATGTATTCTGAGAGCCCAAATAGTTGCAAATAAACATATTCCAAGCCTAAAAAGATGAACCCCACCACATATTATCCAAGGGAGTGAAGATCCTGCTGTTCTGGCTCCAGTTGAGCATTTATGTTAGTCACCATTTTCATTTGGATACTTATTTATATGCATGGGCTGCTTATATTAAGATATAACATATTAATTTCATTTCAAACATTTTGGTTGTGCTTAGGCATCACAAATGAGTATGGTTTTTTGTTTGTAATCCCCCATTTTTAATAATTATGCACACACACATGTATGCAACCCTATGTTTAGAAAGGAAAACCCACTACAAGACTCCCCAGGATACTGGGGAGCATACCGACTGGGAATTGTAGGAATTGAACTGTCTAAATCCACATAGAATTGCACCCTGAGTGTGCCTCTTCCAGCTCCTTCCCCCCACCCACCCCCCTGCCACCAGCTCCCCATTGTTGGTGCCATTATCTAGCATCTTACCTGGAGCACATAGGCAGAACCGCTGAGTGTGTAGGCTCTGTCTCCAAGATGGAAGGAGATATCAGGCAGCAAATGGATTTTCTTACATTCAATGACATACTGTGAGAGAAGACAAGAATCAGAAGAAAAGAACCTGCATCTCCAGAAAGTTCTTGGGGAACACATTTTGAGAGGATGGTTGGGGCTGAAGGCAAAAGGGGAAGGCCAAAAATGCTGGTATGTTCTAGCTTAAAGTTCTTGCAGCTAGTACTGAAGCTGCAGGAGGGGTATTTCAACCATTTAGAATGAGGGGAAATCTGCACAAAAAGTAAGCAACCACCAAACAGTTGGTGTTGGGGGGCGGGGGGAGGGAAAAGGAAGCATCTCTCTGGGGAAACCTGGAAGAGAGGATTTGGCCCCTGCGATTCTGCACCCCTGGCCTACCACTCTCAGTGAATCCTGCCCTCCTGCCTATATATTAATCTGTTTCCCATAAGCCATCTTCCAGTAAAAGTGACATAAGTCAGGGCTTTCACTTTTTCAGTAAACCAGATAAAGTGGACAGGGCTGGGGTTGCAAGTTTTGCATTCAAAGATAACACCTAGAGCTTTAGTAGCTCTAGGGTGCCAAGAGGTGCTTTGCCCACATGGCAGTCAGGTTTGAGATTCCACTGCCTTTTTTTTTTAATGACTTTTTGGATTGCCATTCTCTTGCCTGCCCCCAGAGGAGAAGGCAAGCTTTAGAAGGACGTGGTCATATTACTTACATCTTTTTCTTCAACCAGAGTAGCCCCTATGGCTCTCATCAGAACAGCCACTGAACTGGCTGGGCCAGTGATAAAGGAAGCCCCTGTATCAATAGCAGCTGTGCAGCCTTCATGACAGAACAGCATCTCACTCCCTACAGATACCCTGTAAAGAAAGCAAAACAACATTTCAGGCTTCAGACAAACTCCCATGCTCCTTTCCACATACCCTCATCAACCTGTTATGTGTCCAAAGCATGCTGTCCTTCGGTGTTACTACTTTTTGAACCTCCTGAGATCCTTTCATGCTTCAGTAGCTCATATAAGTTTAATTGCAGACAGGTTATGCAACAGTTAAGGACAAGTACCCTTGATCTGTGCCATATTGATATATATGTTAGTGCATGCAGTAGTTTCCTAAATAGTGAATAGAGCTATCTCATGTGAGGCTAAAACTTGGCATTTGATGGCTGGTGAGGTTTGTGCAAAGAACACCAGACGATAATGGCATCAGAAGGATTTTCAATCAGTATATGTTTTAGGGTAGCATCATAGACTAACTAAATGAAATGTTTTAAGTTAATATATGAAAAATCATTCATTCCTTTGCCTCTGTCTTTTCCTTCTGTCCTCTCTTTGTGTGTGTGTGTTGGTCAGTGTTGCATGACTGTATTGTGTTTTATTTGTTTGTACCCTGCTCTGGGATTATTTTATAATGAATCATGGGTAATAACGAAGTAATGCTTTCAGTATTGTTCATAACCATTTTTAAAGGATGCCATTTTAAAGCCCAGTAAGAGTTGGGAATTTTTTTCTCTAAGAAACTCAAGTTCAATAAATGCATGGTTGGTAGGAGTTTCACACAATGCTTGATGCTGGCATTGATGGAGGGTTGATTCATGCCAGGTTTTGAGAACAATGAGACAAAATGGAGTCCTGGAAGGCGGGGCCTGCATGGTATTTGCATGCACTGTACCTGAGGACTTTGGAGTATGAGCTGTGAAAAGGGTGGGGAGAAGGGGAGAGTGAGATATTGGCAAAGAGGAGGTTGTTGAGGGGGCAGGGAAAGGAGCTGATGGAATGAGGAGGCCTAGGAAAAGACAGCTGCTGGCAAGCAAGATGCAAGAGCCAAGGGTAAGAAGGGAAAAGCAAATAAAGGCGCCTTCAGCCAGTGAGGGACTGGCAGCAACATTTCAAGAAACGGTGAAACTGACTGTTACTAGCCCATCTATAGTAGCACAAGGAACGGTAAAGAGTTCTAATTTGACATATTGGTACTTCCAGATGAGGCTTTCAGTGTGCAATCACCCTGCTTCGTTCACACAGAATTTTTATGGTGGGGATTGTTTGTGACCATCTCATGTCCTCCCATTACCTTTTCCTTCTTTTCTTTTCTTCCCAGAAAATCCACCCAGGATATCAAAATGCTAATTAAATATTTGTATAGATGTTTAGTTGATTCCAGAGAGTGGGTTTGTTTGCATCCCATCCTGTTTTATCGCTCCATTTTTACATAGCACTTACCCTTTAAGACCAATGTGCCAATAGCCTTCCCTGCTAATGCTGACATAGTGAAAGTCACCGATGTAGTAAGATGGGTCACTGCCTCCCAAGATAATCTCTCCACCCATGTTCAACTCAGCATTTCTAGGAGAAAAATCACAAACAGAATCACATTCTCCTTTCTGCCCACTCCCATGCCTCAAAAGGAGAAGCCCACAGGGGGAAGATAATATACTCCACATCCTGTCAGATTCTGGTCAGCAAAAGCGAGGAAATTTGTATGCTTGGCAATATTCAGCAGCATGGCAGTCTGATTTGAAATTCCAGTGGTCTCCATAACAGCCCCCATACCTATGTCCCCGGGGATAATCCAGAATGCAGGCAGCTGTTACATTATGGCCTTGCTTGTGTCTACATTGCTGTTGAGTCATGGCCAGTTTATTTCTCGGTCACTGTTACATGTCAACCACAAAGAACCCAGAAAGAGAATTTATGGTTTGTTGTTGGGTTGTGAACCCTCCTAGCTGCTCATGATAACTGCCCATGGTCAACCATAGTGCAGGTTTTGCATGTAACAGCAACCCATAATCCAACAGTATCTCACAGTTCAATGGCAACATATTCTGCATTTTTATTATTACTACATTACATTTATATCCTGTCTTTTTTCCTTTTACAAGGAACCCAAGGTGGTGTATAAGTTTTTTCCGCTCCATTTTATCCTGCAAACCTGGAGTTCTGCAAAGGTGATGGGTTTTTCTTACCCATTCTAGGGTGCCCCCCCCCCCCACACACACACCTTGTTAACAGGGATAGTTCACAACAATCTACTCTTGCTGAGAAATTTCATTCCTCCCACAAGTACTGTGAGAATTGCAACTAAGCTCAGAAGGATCAGGAAAGACTGATGGGGTGGGGCTTTGCAAATGATGTTGTTGTCCTGCTAATTGCAATATCCCAGATCTTCAGCCCTGTGAGCCCTGGTTTTCCTATTCCAGTGTGCTAGAAGGAGCTCAACCTAATAGGAGAGAGATGGGCATACACAACTGTGCCGAGTGAGGCTGGACGTTTATATATTAATAAAGACAGGGATGCTAAGCAACTTCCAGCAGAATTTACCACTTTGTCTCAGGGTACAAGGGAGAGATTGCTGTGAAGTGACAATTCAAGAAACATTGTACTTTTCTTCTCACTGAATCACTTTGTCTGCAGTGGTAAAGCTGATCAGAAAGAGGATGATTGCTGGGTAGACATCCAGCCCTGTGAGTTCAGATTTCACCTTTATTGCCTTAGATTTGTACAGCTTCCTTTTTGTAATATAGGGATAATGATGCTGGCACTTTCGTACTCTATAGGAAATCTGTGGCTCATGCAGGGCATGGAGGGGTATGTGTGGCTCTCCACATGTCGCTGAATGACAATTCCCATAATCCCCTACTGACTATGCTGTCTGGGAATGATTGGATTTATAGTCCAACACCATCTGGGGATGTTTTTTCCCCACCTTGTAAGGAAAGTACTATAAAGACACCAAATGCTGCCAAAGCAAACTACGTTGGCTTTACTTTTTCCCAGAATGAGCTCTGGCACTGAAAATCTATTCTAGAATCAAGTTGCAGTTGGGGATCGATGATATCAAAGTCCTTGGTGGGCTGAGACATCCAAAACAAAAAGTGCTTTTCCGTTGCCCCTCAAATCTCAGGTGTGCTGCTGTGGTTACTTGTTGAGAAAAATGCACTCTGTATGTACACAGACATTCTCATTTCCTGATCTTTGCAACATTCATCATGAGTACTACAATTCAAGAGAGAATTTAGGGCCAAGCTGCAACAAACTTCAGCTCAAATTAACCCACATATTTATTCTGCATTGGCTAAATTATGAGGTGGAAACAGAGGGAATTGAAACAGTCCTTCTGAGTGTCTCAACCTCTGTCACTGGCTCCAGAGCACACATGCCTGGCTGAGCTAGGTATTGCTTCTGGTTGTCTGGCATATACACTTTCTGTCCCTATCATCACCCACCTGCTGTAGTAAACAGAGAAGACTTTTGCTGTCAAGACCTTTTCCGATATTATCTTATCGAACACTGGCATAACACCGTCGATGGCCTGGCTGGGATACCCCATCCCAAGTACCCCATCAAACATGGCATAGATGAAAGGTTTGGTACTTAGTACTGTGGCTTCTGTAAACACCTGGACAATAGGAATCTCAGCTACCTGGAGGGAAGAACACAAGAAGAATAACTGGTAAAGAATAAAAAAGCAGTGCTTTTTTCACACTGAATCACTACCATTCAATATTACCAAGGCAACTGAAATAAGGTATCTCTTTCACACATGTATGCATGCTCAAACTGTCTGTCACTCACTCACTCACTCACTCACTCGTGTGTACAAATACATGCACACACTTTGGATAGTTCGAGTCATTCCTACATCAGTCCCACTAGCTACTCAATCAGTATACATGTGGCCATTCACTATCACTAATTTGAACAAAACATATGCATCAATGGGAGAAATCTAATAGTATCCATTGTCCACCCACTGGTGTATTTGCCTACCTGCAGCCCCCTAGTAAAAGCACAAGCCCAAAAGCTGTTAAACATTAGCCAAATTTGGACATATTTAAATGTATGCAAATGAACCTACTCAAACACTTCCCTTCCACTGCTCTGTGCAAAACCAAGGAGATTGGAAGCATCTTTTTGATCCAGCAAAGGTCAGTTTATTATCTCTAAACTGGGAACTACAATTAGTCTGAACTGAAAAAAAACCCTACAATCAGAAGGGATATTTTGAGGTTGGCTTGTTTCAGTAAACCATACTATAGGACAAACTATACTTTGTCTTTGCCAGACAGACCAGGGACATTCACATGTCATGAGACCCACTTGGAAATAAACCACAGTGGGCTGGTTGTTCCCAGGACACCCAACAGACAATTGGGCTCACCGTGGCGTGTTAGCCACCTCTGTCTCCTTCTCTCCCCTTGTTCCTCCCACCAAGTTCTCAGGGAACCTGCAGCAGGACTGACTCCTCTCTCCTTCCCCTGGACAATTTGTTTTCAGCTCACTGCAACTTCTCCTCCCTGTAACTTTTCTCCCACTGGAGAACAAGAAAGCCAGCCTGATACTTAGCTTTTGTGATTTTTTGTTAACCACTACTGTTCTTAATGGTTTGAGGATTGTGTGCATTTTGTGGTTTATTGCGGGGATTTTTGTATTGCTTCTGTATTAGATGTTGCAATTTTATTCTTGTAATGCATTGATGTTTTATTATGTATTTTGTTATTATACTATTATATTCTGCAACCTGGCCAGAGAACCATTCCAGTTAAGGGGTGAGAAAGAAATCTAATACATACATACATACATACTGGAAGTCCTTATAAAATGCCCATTGGAGGTGATGTCAGTTTTTGAGAAACTTTTTAAAATTTCTCTTTTAAAAAATGTTAGTTTTCTGTAAAAACCCAACTGTGGAAGTGCACACTCCCAAAGCTGCAGCAACTGGAAGCCTTAGCTGGGTGATTCAGCTGGCATAGCACACATGTACCAACCCTGGACACTGAAGGAAAGAGCCTTTTTTCTTCCTTTTGGCTTTCAGCCCTCAAAATACAAGTTATCAAGAGAAACCAAAGATGTGAGTGATCTTTGCTCCCAAAGGGGTGGTCAGATTTACACCCACTTTACCACAAGATTCTCCTGAGGTTCTTTTGTTTGCTTGTTTTTGCACTAGGCTGCCGTAAGGGTGAGCTCACTTTTCAGCTGCTCCTGAGCCTTTAGGTGCTTGGGATCCTGGGAAAGCATGCGTCACTTTTAAAAGGCGCTGTCAAACCCTTGGCTCCCTTTAAAGGGTTTTTTGTTTGCTTGTTTGTTTTGGCAAGGTACCTCACGGTTTCCTCTCAGGGGCATACACAGCCATGAATGCATATATCCACGTCAAGAAATCATGGGGAGCCCTGGCAGGAAACAGTTGCTGAAGAGAACCAGAGGAATTCAGAGCCCAGTGAACTGTTCCCATTAGAACTGTTTTATTTTCTCAATGGCTGGGATATAATTTTGAAAGGAGCCAAAAGGCAACCCATCCAAAGCAACTATGAACAGTGCAGGGAAGCCATGGTTTGGTTTTGGGTTGTGAATTCTGGGTTATTTATGATTAACAGTGAAACCATAGTTCATAGTTCAGGGATTGTATGTAACAGCAACTCACAATTCAAGAACAACAGTGCCTGGGTTCACGTGGCACACTAAATAACAGGGAACTGGCTTAGCATGTCATCTGAGCCCCACAGCCAGGCTTTCTGGGGGTGGTTTGTAGGCTACCCTGCAGTATCTTAGAAACTGTCCCAACTAGGCATGGCTTGTAGTGGGGATTAGGAAACCCCCTGCGACTTGGCATGCTCTCTAAGCCCAGATGACCTGCCAAATCACAGTCAAGCCAAAAGACTAAAGAACACCAAAAAGCAGCACTTTGCTTGGCTGGTATCAGTTCCTTCCTGCTCTTTGCTGATGGTAGACTAGCTGGATTGCTCACAAGCAATCCTATTTTTCCTGCTGCAACTGCAGGAGCATGGAAGAAACAGCCAGGCTCTGTCACGTTTGGGGCCTGGGAAGGGGATATGCTGTGGGAGAACCAGCCATCCAGCTTTGCTTGCTTGAGCGAATGTGCGGCTGAGCGGCTGAATCCCACCCCCTGCCACCTCTGTTGCAGTGGCGGGCTAGAACAGCCCACTGCTTGCCCTTCTTGAGAGGCAAGCAGGCTGGCTTGGCATCCACCACCATTCACCCCATGGGGAAAGGGGGGTGCAAGGCAGTTTGCTCCTCCATCCCTCCTATCACATGGACAACTGGTACTCAGCTGAGTGCTGGCTCCACCAGGTGAGGGGAGGGGGCAGGCAGTGCTATCCCTTCCCATTGCTCACCTGCACCTCCTTTCCCCATGCCAGATACCATGGTTGGTGTTACCTGTGAACCAGGTAAAAAACTGAAACTCTATCTTAGGGTGTCGACTGCTTCCCTAGAGAACTGATTTGGGAACAACATGTTTGCTGTCTCTTCTAGTGTTTAAACCAGGAATTTAAAACTTTGCAATCCAGCCTACCTTGGAGCTCTTTGGCCACACCCACTTCTTTGCCCCCAACTGCTGACTGCACATGTCTTCCTCCTTTGTAAAGGCTGAATTGCCTCTCCTGAGTCTTAGTTATTGGAAGTAAGAGCTTCTAGAGAAAATATGCTGGCAGTTTTGGTATTGGGCCTCTCCTTTGGCTCTACCTGGAATGCTGCTCCTGACAACTCCTCTGAAATTGAGGAACCCAGTTTTTTCTACAGGTGGAAGGGGGTTTGGTGCTGTGCTTCTGCCTATGCTCAACTCGTATATTCAGAATGGACACAAATCTTGCAAAAGGCAGGGAGCTGCCAGTGGTCTCCTTCCAATGGAAACCAGACCTGGGTAAAGGCTGTGCCCCTGGAACTTCTCATCACTGGGAGACACTGGAGAGCATAATAGTCGTGAGCTATTGACATCCATATGCAAGGCAGCTCAGCCTGTTGAGAATGTCCATGTTTGCATTCAAAGGGCTGTAACCCTCAGCCACTGATTCTGTATGAAAGAATCCAGCCTGGTACCTGCCAGGCCACAATAACAGGAAGGTACGAAGGAAGGGAGAAAGTCATCCCCTAGCAGTACTTACTCTGACAATGTCTTGGCTAAGGAAACCCTTAATGTATCCTTGGGCATACTGGACCACAATTTCCGTTCCGTTTGGCTTGTATGTGCTTGATTTGGAGGAGTCATAGCGGTTGTGGGAAACTAAAAGAAAGAAAGACTTGTACTACTGCCATATAGGTAAGATCAATGTTGTAGAAACAGCTCACACCCCACAATGAATGAGTGCCTTAATTGTAGTGCAGTTTGCTACATAAATCCCACTACATTCAGTGGGATTCATTCCCAAGAAAGAATGCATAGGTTTGCCACTAGGGTGGTGCAGTTGCACACACCCTGGAAGGGTTGCCCTTCCCCTCTGTAGGCAGAGAGAGAGAGTGGTCCACCTGTGGAGAAGGAGGTTCACTCCAGAGGTCTTCCCTTGACCTGGAACAACATGCTAGTGCGGTGTGATGTTTAAAGTGTTGGGTTAGGACTCAAAAGACCCAGGCTTTAAGTCCATCCTGACCATGAAGCCCACTGAGTGATTTTGAGCCAATAACTTACTCTCAGCCTGATCTACCTCAAAGGGTTGCTCTGAAAATGTAAATGGAGGTGGTGGAGAAAGACTTGGTATTTTGCAAATGGGATAAAAGGTGCAATATAAATGCTGTAATAAATTAAAATGTTGGCTGTTCTTCTGTCACTGCTCCAATGGGCAAAAGGGGAGTGTTTCTTAGGGGTGCACCAGGAGAGGCTCCCCTGTTCTCCAGACATCAAAAATGGGAGAAGAATCCCACACACAGACTTTGGATTCCTGGCTCTATTAGGGAATGAATGAATGAATACACACACACACACTGATTATGGAATTTCCAATTCAGATCCTCAAAGTAATCAAAACTATACCGAAATGTTGGCAATATGCACTTTTATTTCAGTGCAGTTGATTAAAGTATTAATTAGTCACACAGCTGTTGATTAGGGCAGAAATGCTGTGGTGCCTGGGAAGGCATTCTAATAGCCATAGGATTTTTTTCTATGGGAGGGAGGCGCAACCTCCCAGACCTCCTCTGTGGGAAATGTCTGCAGGCAATCCATTCCCATGGTCAGAAACTCACAGTTGGAGATCACAAAAAGGACACATTAACATGAGAGGTTGTGGATCCATGGGATACAAAGCCCTCCCATGCCTTGAAAAATGCCTGAAGAGAACAAGAGACCAGTCCTGGAATTGGAATCGGGAAGTGAAGAAAGAAAAAAAAACTCAAAGAAAATAGCCAGAAACAGGTAAACAAACAGGAAAAAGCTGCATGCCCTTATCTTAGCAGGGCAGTGGAAAAGGCCATTTTTCTGCCATGGTTCTTCCTCCTCCCTCTGCCATAGGATTGCTCTACCTACAATTTGGTGTTTCTTCTTCTTCATATGATTGACAGCCTCATCTCAATCTTTAGCACTCTGAAGATCTTTGAATGAGCAATTAACAATGTAGTATCCAACTAGAAAATATCCAAAGGTCAAACTGCTCTGGATTGTTAATTTCATTAGATTAATTTCATTACTCCATTATATTGCTTCCTGGCAGTGAATTCCATTGCTTCCTGTTGAACTTTCATGCTAAATATTACCTTTTCACATCTAATGTATGACTGATAACTATCCAGCAGGCACGTCGGCAATTTTTAGGACTGCTATCTTCTAACACTCCTACACTTCATGGCTGCAAGTTGCTAAAAATTGTCGATGCGCACAAACAACAAAGAAAAGTTGATTTCTGGGTGCAAATCTGCTGTACCAGGAATGAAAATGCCTGTACTAAGGCAGGCAGCACACCACCTCACAACGGCATCCAAAATCCCATGTGGAACATCTGTACAAAACCATACTTGGCAGCCTGTGCACACGCATGAGGATTCCTCCCAACTTCTTATTTGTTAATTTTGATTTTGAGAAGGAGCAGGAAGCAGCATGACAACCTCTGTTACATTCAGAACAATTAGAAGTCGTAGATCCCGAAAAAGTGTGAAGCTAGAAACCTCTATGTGATGTTGCTGGCATGTGATTCTGTGAGTATGTGCTATAGGTTTAAAAACTTACTGCAGGCACTGAATAGCGGCGAGCATTGGTGGGATGGCACCCAAAGGTTGGCTGAACCTGTGTCAAAGACGACTTTGAAGATCTGAGCTGGGGTGCCAATGCTGATTTCACCGTAATACTGCATCTGGAAGACACATTGTGAGAGAAGAACATGGTGGGACTGCTGACTCCTAAAACTTTACCTCACAACTCATTTCATGACACTATAATATGGGAAGGGGGTGTGTGCGTGTGCACTTGTCCATCTATCAGTGCCATAGCACAAATCACCATGACACTTAGACAACTGAAATTTGGCAGGCATACCAAAGGGACGTTAGGGATGTGAGATTTGGGCTACTTTGTTTATAAAACACATTGACTGCTCTCCTTTCATTTAAAGATGACCATAGTAACATTTTCCATCACTAGAGGAAGACTTTCCTAACTAGTGCATAACATTGCAGTTAAGCCAGTTTGAAGCCAGGAGAGATTAATAGGCTGAGAAGTACATAGACAGACAGACAGACAGATTTCCCAGGGGAATAACATGAGCAGATGTCTTCCTTAGGAACTATAGGGGTACACCATGGCTGGAGCCAAGCTAAGGGGTGGTAGCAGACATGCCTGCACTCAGACAGGGTGGACATAATCTGTCCAGTTCTGTGTAACTTTGCTTGGCTATTTCTATGTATCATATTAAAGGCTATTCCACTTCATGCAAAGCCAGGTCCATGCGTTCGTATCTATAGAAACTGCTAGGTTTGCACCGATTTTCAGATTATGTTGCTCAGGAGCATGTCAAACTCACATCCAGGTAGTTTGTGAGGATGGTTGGTGCTGTTCTGTTATGGGTCCCTTCACCAAGATAGTAGGTGCCATGCTGCAAGGAAGTGAGGACGTCGGACACCTTCAGGCCCATCCCCTGCAGAGTTTCTCGGATTGAGGGCATTTTTTTGAGGGAAATCCTGAAAGGTATGAAGAGAGAGAGAGAGAGAGTGAGAGAGAGAGAGAGAACGATAAAACAAAGCTGTTTATCAGACTTAGTCATGCCTCCCATTTGTGCAGACATTCAAATACCAGGTTGACATCGGGTGCCACTATTATTAGTGGCCATCAGGGAAAGACTCCAGCATAGGGAAAACATATTTTGAAAGATGCTGGAAATACGGAGGAGCAAACAGCATCTTTTTCAGAATACATGGCATTTCATTCTGGAATGAGCAGCTATGTGATGGGTTGCTACTTCTGTACCCCCCACCAAACCAGCTACTGCTGCTCTCCTGTAAACAGAACCAGGAAAGTGGTGGAAAGGAGAGACATTGTGCCTCTTAGAGGTAGCCTGAAGGTCTATTCATTTATTTACTCCTTTTCTATACCACCCAGTGGCCAAAGTTTGAGGGCTACTAGAAACAAGAACTAGCTATCAAGCCAAGCCATAGTTTGTGAATCCCAGAATATGAGTTTGAGATAGAGATAGGATGAAGGTCTCTTAACTTGGTGGTAGAGCATGTGCTTTGTTTGCAGAAATATCTCCACTCTGGTGGGAAAGGTATCCCAGTTGAAACCCTTGGAAGCAGCTGCCAGGCAGAGTCAACAGTGCTGGCCCAGTTGGCCTGACTCTGTGCAAGGCAGCTTCCTATGTTCCTAATCCTTTTCACAACCCCGTTCTCACAGTGGCACTCTGTCTGCATAACACTAAACCAAGGTTTGGCGTTCTGAGGACAAACTGCAGCAAATCTTGGATTCCTGTATACTCCTCCTCTGGTGCAGTTGTTGCGGGGTGGGATTATCATGATCACAAGCTGTGCTTAATTCTTCACTAGCTTTGTTTCCATTAACCAGAGTTACTCTAAACCACAGTTAATCCAGGTTTCGATAACACTGCAAGCTCTGGCTGTTCTAAAATAGAAGCGGACCCTTTCAAACTCCCCCTTGTAGCCACCTGGGGTGGAGGTGGATAGTGTTTGATCCCAAGGCTCATTCTTATAATAAACTCTGGTTTCGCATCAAGGCTGGCCTGAAACGTTTTGCGCTCTGAGGCAAAAGGCAAAACGGCGCCCATTCCCACTCTATGTACAACCTGACTGGATTGGCAGATGGATCTGTTTTTAAATACTGGTGTTGGGATAGCATTCTATGCTGGCCCTGAAGGTGGCAGGCTAACTAGAGTGGGCTGCCTGACCGAAGGCTAACTCTGGCATTTGCCACTAAAACCACTGCTTCTCTTTAATGGTATGGCCAGCCCTGTTCAACATTAACTTTGAACCAGCCCACTGTGTAACATAATCTGCTTTGAAATTGAGAACAGCAAACATACTGAGAATTGTGTGCCAAACACCCATTTTGTCACAGGCTGTTACATAACTCTAACACATCGGGAGGTGTTATTTGCCCCTTCTTCCAACAATCCTTACTGAGCTCAGTGGCCACTGCTGTAAGAACTGACTCTGCTAATGCTGCGTTGATCAGAAAGACCAAGCAGGGCCACTTGGCAGCACTGCTACGATCATGAGGCAATCTTTTTGCAACAAGCTGATCCACAGGCTTTGCGCAGGCCACTCAGTTGCTCTAGACAGCAGCAGATACTTGGAGAAAGTCAAGTACAAGCTACACTTTGAGTGTTGCATGGAGAGTGATGCTAAGAGGAGACAGGGTAGCTCCTCAAAAATACACCAGTGCTTGAATTGCCACCCGTAACTGCGTGGGCCAACCTGATTTCAGTAGTCACCACAAGACCAACAATATGTATTACAAACCCTATTGTAATACATATTCAAAACTTATTGAAAACATCTCAGATGATAGATCAATGTAGATACATTGGATTTGGGTGTCTATTCTTCCAGGTGAGGATGTGACAGAACTGACAGTATCTGAAGATGCGAATTTTCTATGGTCCACCAACGCTTATGCCAGAATAAATTAGTAAATCTCTAAGAGGCCAAAATATTCTTTGTTGCTTTTGTTGCAATAGGCAAAGGCAGCTGCCCTCTGGAAATAAGAAGAAATAAAACCTGAGCCCATTGAAAAGATACAAGCCTCAATATCGATAGAGAGGTTAACTTTTTCTCCTATGTATGTTGCTCTATAGCCAGCAATCTGCCTAACATCATTCATATACAACAGTGGCCTTAAAATGAAAAAGAAAACAATTTCCTTCCTTCTTATTCCCCTTTTCAGGGGCTTTAATTGCCTAGGTGCTGCTATGCAGCACTTAGCATGAGCACAAGAGAGTTCTCCAATGTACACCTTCTTGGTTTTGACTCAAAAGAATGGCCTTACCTTTGGAAGGCATCACTGGAAAAACACAAGAAACAGATAACCGCTGCAAAGGCCCAGTACTGCTGCATTGTACCTCTGCTTTTGGTATGGGGAGCTTCCTTCTGGAGCTGTGTTTTCTTCTTGCATAAAAAGAGAGGCCAAGTCCACTGAGTTTTTATAGGGAAACTTTCTGAGCCTGACTTGGGTCTCTGCACAGTTTTAATTCATGGGAAGGAGGTAATAAATCTTGCCAATCAGGAGGGGAGGGGACATCTTTGAGGTATAAAACTTGACCTTGCTTCCTGGCACAGGGCAGCTTGGTTGGAGCCCACTGATGTGTGTTTGTGCAAACACACTATACTACATGCACACCATTTATTCCATGTACGTAGCTCAGTGAGGCAAATCAAAATCCCTCTTAGGCACATTGCAGAATATATTTAAAAATACTTCTAAGTAGGTCATGTTGCTGTTTTCATTTAATAGTGTTTTGGGAGGCTCGGGGAATTTCTATGTCTTATATTTAGAATGTGGGCACTGTTGGTCTTATCCCTAGCTGTAATGAAGATGGAAATCAATAGGATTGCAGTTTCTCAACATTTGAGCAGAAATCTCTGCCTAGAAATTCTGTATTAATTCTGACCAGAACTAAGAAGGAGGTAAAATCAGGCAGTGGCATGGATTTCTTCTTGTCATACTTCTCCGTATGAACCTGCTCTAGTATTTTTGCTTCAAAATATCTTTAAGCACTTTGCACTTCTGGTACTTTGTACTTGTGGTACTTTCCCCATTCAAGTTTTATCCCAGGGACATCCCAGACAACTTCCAACAACACCAACCCACAAGGCCACTGTTAAGAAAACATGGGTAGTGTTGTCTAAAGCATCTGGAGGGTTCTCAGTTATTTAGCCCTGATTTATTTTAAAAAATGTTTGGGTGTTGAAAACAGTGACTTTCCCTGGATATGTGCATTCTATACTATCAGTGCAAAATCAAGGCTGCTCCTATCTTAGATGGACTAAAGGGGCTGTCTCAGGTGGCAGATGTGACGGGTCCAGGAGCAGTGGTGAGGTGAGGAGAGGAGAGGAGAAACAAGCCTGTATGTGCCATATGGCCAGCCTGAGGCTACTCTGCTGCCTTCATTTGCTGTGGAAGACACCACCGAGGCTACAGTAAGATCCAGCCTCCAGGGTTCTTGGCTTTTGTACATGGGATGGTGGAGGGCATCGTGCAACACAGGCAGCAAAATGGCTTGAACCAGCCCTGATTATCCCTGTACAGTTTTCACAAAAGCCATCCCTGGAGCCATTTCATAACTGACATTTCTCCTAATCTCAGTATACCTCAAGATGATATATTTGCCAGGAGAGACTGATGTTCCTAGTGCAAAAAGCCATCTCCAGGCAATTTGAACATGCAATAATAAAAGCCACTACTAATAAAGCAGAAAAATGAAATCAATATAAACTACAACCAGTACGATAATACAAATATGTATACATACCATAAAGCATAAGCATAAAACAACATGAAATGTGTTCATCTGAAATACACAAAAGCTCTGCCCACTCCTAGAATAAACATCATATAGGTTGCTCACAATAGTTGGCTATAGCTAACGTCAAAATTCATGGGGCATAAGTACATCCATGCCTGGTACCAAACATGTGAAATTGTCGGTGCCAAGTAAGCTTCCTGAAATGAGATGTGATGAAGCTCATACGTCCCTTCTCCGTGGCTGATTGGTCCCCTGAAAAGGCCAGGGATGTTCCATGAGCCACCAAATGTGCCTGGGAAATGATGCACCAATTCCTCCATCCCAGCCTGAGAATGAAAGCCAATGCCTCTTGCCCCAGATTTTACAAAGTTCCTCTGTCCTACTATGGTAGAGCCTGTCAGAATGCACCTGGGCTCCCTCCCTCCCTGGGAATGATCTGTTTCAGTAAGGCAAATAGCTTTGCTCTTAATGTAAAAGCAGGCCTTATTTGCAGAATGACTGGGGAAGGCAACTTCAAGGGTTATCATGGTGCTATTTTTACAAACTCAAGGCCAGGAGGCATTGGCAAGACATGATTTCAGCTTTCAGACACTGTGAAAGTTTACTACACTACCTGTTGAGCCTCAATAACCTCCTTTTTATTCTTCCAGAAGAGCTGAGTAATACAGGATCTAAGAAGAAATCTCCATTTTACAATCAAATGCAGCTGTCTGCTAAAAACAGAAAAGATGCTAGTTGCTACATGCTGGATGCTGGCATTGCAATGGAAATGCCCTGCCTGAGGTCCTCCAAGGCCAGGCACTTGCTTTTAGCAAACCCATTGACTGGTCAACCACCCAGGTGCCAGACAGTAAGGCATCTTGAAACTCCAGCTCAAGATTCTGCAGAGATGAGCATTGTGCAGAATATCAGTTAGACTACAATACATGGTTCTTTTGGGGAGCCTCCACCTAGGCAGGCTTGGGAGCAGCATATCCAAACAGATCCATTTCCCTGGGAAGGAAGTGTGTGTGGGAGGGTGTTGTTTCTTCAGTCCAGGCATTAGAGTCTCGGTTTCCCAGAAAGTTTCCCACTGATGCACCAGAAGAACAATGCCACGGAAACCATGGTTTTCAGGTAGGCAGCTTAACACGGAGCTGTGAATAACAAGGCAGCGTTTTCTGTTTTATTTGTAGTTGGCACAAAGTTAACAGGAGCTGGCCATGTAAACCACCACAGACACTTAAGGAGCTGATCCAGATATTAGGACAGTCTTATGGAAAGGAAACAATGAAAGTTCCCACTTTCAGTGAAGGCAAGCTTTCATTTCTGTGGGCGACAGCAAGAGGTTTCTCGTTCTTTCAAATGGACTCTTAATGATTTTCCCACAGACTGCCTTGGGCGGTATAGTTGCGAGGAGGGATTTTTCCCAAACTCCAGTTTTGTTAGAACAGGTTAAAGGCCACCACAACGGGGCAGGCACAAAGGTCTTTCAACGTAAGAATGTTGTGAACTACGTGCGGCAATGGAAAAGTGACCTCCTCCTAAGGTCAGCTGGGTTGCTTCTATTGCGATGGCCTCAATAACCTTTGGGTGAGAATTTTTACATGATATAAAGAGGCATGGGAAGCATCCAGTGGGCTCTCTCTCTCTCTCTCTCTCTCACACACACACACACACTCACAGAGAGAGAGAGAGAGAGAGAGAGGGAGGGAGGGAGGGAGGGAGGGAGGGAGGGGGAGAGGGAGAGGGAGAGCGAGAGCGAGAGCGAGAGCGCTTAGCCTAACTGAATTGGCCCGGAACTTGAATGTATTGTCCAGAGCAGACAGTGCTGAGATAGACAGATTGACGTAGGGTGAATCCTATGCCTGTTCAGATATAAACAGTCCTACAACTGCAGGCATTCCCCAGCAAGTATGCAATCACGTGCTGTGCAGTGAGGAGGCAAGTGACCCTGGGGAATAGCAGGGCTGTAGCTGAGTGACTGAGCACATGCCTTGTATGCCAGGGGTCCCTAGCTCAATGCTGGGCAGCGCCAGGTAGGCCTAGGAAAGACTCCTGTCTGAAACCCAGGCGAGCCACTGCCGGTCAGCACTATGGTTGACACTGTTAGGAAAATTCAGGCAAGTCCTGGTAGAAAAAGGTTGCTTGTATGTGCCTTTGTGTTATAAAATCAAACCTGCACTTCTTTCTTGGAAAGCAGCAGAATTCCAAGCCAGGTTACTGCTTAGCGTTGCTGTTCCTTTAAGAAGATGGACTTCTTAGCTGGACTGAGAAGCCGCTGTAAGCTAAGACTATCAGTGGGGAAATACAGGGTCCACAGGCATTCAACTGCTTCTGAGTGGACCCGTTTAAGCATCTAGTTCTACAGAGGCAAGCTCCTGACCTGCTCAATCAGACACATTTGCATGTTTAAGCAGACACACAGGCTGACCTGAACAAGGAATTTATTGTAAGGAATTTATTGTAAAGCAGTCAATAATATTTTACATACTATTGTTAGCAGTATTTCTGATTGGTTCAGAATATTATGTCATGCATAATTTCTGCATGATTGTGATGGATTTGAGTTTAAAACACAAGGTTCCATGGCTGTCAAGTCCAGCTTGGCTGTTGGATTGAAAAGGTAAGACATGCTGTGGGTTTCTGGAGCACATACTTAGACCAGGGGGTGCTTATTCTGGGGGTGCTTATTCTGAGGCATGCGGCATGGAATGCCCTCCCTCCACCCAGCAAATGGCCCTGCAGTGCCTTCTCCTACCAAGAAAAGGGGCACCCCTCCAGCAAGGGGACACCCAGCATGGTGGGACAAATGGCAGCAGCCCCCCGCAGCTGTCACTAGCCTTCATCAATAGCTGCCTGGCACTGCAAAGAGCAATACTGGGTGAGCCAGTGGGGCAGCTGCAGCCGTTCTAATTTCCTAAGAATTCCTCTGGGCCCAGCACAGGGTTAGGGTTAGGGTCTGGCGGTGACAGTGGTCTCCCCATCTGTCATTTCTCTTCAGAACAATGGGCTGGGCACCACCCTCTGTTTGTGTTGCTGTGGCATTGCCACCTATCTCAGCAAGCATCCGTGGAGGGGTGGCGGGGCTAGGCAATGTCAAGAAACGTTGAACCGTTTCCATCCAGAGGGCTGCATGCTCTTTCAGAGTGGTTCCCAGCAGTCAAACTCCAGTGGTAGGCAAGGCTGAAGGCAAAAGGGGTGGTGCCAAAGCTAAAAGGGCTGGATCCCAAAATACCTGCCCGTGACTAAACCTTAGGAGCAGCATTTCAGTCTTTGAGAGTGGGGGGAAGTTGCTTAAAAGCTGTGAGAGAACCAAGGAATTGTTGCTTGGGAAAAGGGATGGTTTGTGGAAATGGACTGTGACCCTTTGGGGGACCCTGGGGACTTGGATTTGGACCCCAGGCATGCCAGATATTGCCTCTGGGCCTGAGGTTCTGCACTCCCAGGTTATGTGAACTGAACTAGTCCGGAAACTGCTGACCTTTCCAGGCACATGTTACCCCACTAATCCATCTGCTTAGAATATACAGTATATACTTCTACACAGTGTATACTTATTCAACAAAACTACTTCTCCATTCAATTTCCTTTCCCAGCTGTCCATTCTGCTTCTTGGTGGCTTTGCCCTGGAAGTTTATTGTTGAACCACCTCCCCTGAAGGAACCGGGGGGGGGGGGGGCTGCCTTGTTGCCTTTTCCCACACAGGCACTGAGAGACTC